AAAAATCTGAGGATTTCCTCTGAGATGCTCTTGAAAGACCATCTCTCTCTGTCTCTCTCTCCTGTTCTGTCCCTTGTTCCCTCTTTCAATGATGCTGTGTGAGTGACTGGTTCTTCTGACTGTTCTCAGTTTGCAGTGGGTTTATGCTGCTCCCCCCATTTTTGCCATGCACTGATTAGTAGCATAAATCTTCCTTTGAGGCACTGAAAATCTCAGAGACAGCAAGATCTGAAAAGGGAAACTAGCTTGTTCTTCCACTCAGCAGGAACCAAGAAGCATCTGTTCAAAGCAGCACAGTGGTACAGACGCAGTCCTAACAGCAGCTGGCCGAGCTGAAACTCAGAAGAGGGAGAAGTTGGCAGTAAAACCTTTATGTACTGAATTTGCTATAATTAAATATTTAGCTGTGCTGCAGATTGAGGGTTCTGGGATATGCAAGCACTACAGACCAACATTTCTTGAAGTTAATGGCTATTTTGCCCATCATTTCACACCCATCTCACGGAAAATGTTGGGTAGCTCATCTAAGGTCATGCATACAGAAACATTTGTGAGGTCACCTGTTGCATAAAGGTAGCATAGCATTATCACCCTAAGTAGCTAGGGCAGCCTGATTTATGAAGTCCTGTTAGATTTCAATGAAAGTCTAAATCCCAGAAATAAATCTTGACTACTGATGAACTTACTGATATATTGCCCTATGGCTGATCAACATGTGGATGTACTTTCACACTCTTAGTGTTATGGGATCTTTTTACTTAGGTAGTCCATAGCAGTTTACAAGCAAGCTAATGAATTAAGTCTCCCAGCGTCTTTGTAAGACAGATAGGATGTATTGATACCTTATATCCATCTTTAACAATAAGTATACCATGTAAAGGAACTTGAAAATGTCTTGTATCTCACAATAAGGTAATAGAACAGCTAAATACAGAATATAGGACTCCTGTTTCTTTGATCTCTGGTCTCGGTCACTATTTACCACGTGTAATGAAGAATAAATTATGTTTTGAGGTAGAAGTAAGATCAATCCATTATTTTTAAAGGAAAAATTCAAAGAAGCAGAAGTTTCTGAGCATTGGTGGAAATAGTATATGTAGCTGTTGGATTACTTGCACTAAATAAGATCTGAATTTCATTTGTGCACACCTAGATGCAATTAGCTATTTGCTCTGTAATGAATGCAGTATGCAAGATGTCCCAGTGCAGCCAGTTATGGTTGAATATGGAATAACTTGTATACTATATGCTTGGCCAAGAAGATAGACATCTATTCTGAAATTGTTTAGACACACAGGTTGATGTTTTGCTGTCCTTCGCTATACCTATTCCACTGCAGTAACCACAAGCCTTTTGTTCAGCTTGTTGCATACTCAGTGTGTTGGTCGCTGGCAGTGCTGCAGGAGCTCAGGCAGCTCTCAGTAGCGTTCATTTCAGCTGCACGGTTTTTGCTTCCTTTGGATTTGATAATAGTGCCCAGCATGGCAGTCGGCCCCACATGCCTCATTCTACAGAGTTTATCATGGGTTTCCTGCTTGCCTGGAAAACTGCCTACTCTTTCCACATGGCCTTCTTTCTTGTCTCCTTTCATTCCTCTAAAGATTCTTTCAGAAACAAACACGGCACATTTTGCCAATTCTCAGATAAATTTAAATACACATTTTACTCTTCCACCCATCCATCTCTATCTCTCTTCCTTCATCTCCCTTTCCTTGTTGCATTTCAAGTGCAAGACAAGTGATCAACTAACCAAGAATTAGTTTCTGCTGTCCAAAAGCCTGGACTTATGCCCACTAAATTGATTGGAGGGAGCATAATCTTATCTGAGTCCTGTCTCGGTCCTTGTCTGAGACCACAGATTTCTGTAAGAGTAGATTGGATGATCTTAAGTGTTGAATGTGCTTTTATTTGTCTTCATCAGCCACTGCTTAATTCAAAATGCTAAACTGAGAGCTTTATGCTTCCAGGTACACAACCCCACTTGGGAAATATTTAACAAGAAAAAAGAGAAAAATATATTCCATGAAATTCTGGTGTTTTGTTCAGCTATTAAAATCTTTCAAGGCCCCAGGAAGATTTCTGTAGGCCAGTACCTGTTTTCAAAGCAGAAGCTAATATTTTGTGTCAAATTGCAGGACCTGAGAAATGCTGACCAAAGTTTTCAGAGAAGTAGAGCACTTGCATCTTAAAGTAATTTCTTTCTCTGAGATCAAATCCAACTTTTTAAGTCAGAGAGACAGGAATCAAAGTTTCCACCATTCATTTTGAAAAGCTGGAATTTAACAACTGGAGAACTGTAATATTCCAGAAAGCAGGTTTGCAGGTTTAAGTACCTAAGCACCTTTCTGAGTAGCTGAACCAAAGGTTGATTTGTACATTCATGCCATAGATGCTCTTTCCTTCATGTAATCCATTCTCATGTTGCTTCTTCCGGCCCCTGTTACTCATGCAGTTGGTTAAAATACTTCTGTTGAATTCTTTCAAAAGCAGAATTGGTGCAAAGTTGTCTAACTTTTCTTCCTCCGTCCCTTCCTCAGTCTATAGGAAGAATTACTCTCCATTTTCTGTCCCATTAACTTTATGATTACCCCCCATTTCAGGCTTTTGATATGAAATAATTGATTTATATTTAGAAAAAGTCTATTTGCTTTCCTCCATTTTTTCCATAATTTCCTGTAGTTTCCGCTCAGCTTCTGCTCAGCCTTTTGTGCCTAGATGCTGTAAGCATTAGCTGTATCTCCACAGCTAGCCTGTACATCATGTCTCTGACCCCTCCTAACATTACTGAGCAATTAGTGAGATCTTTTCAGCAGCTTTTATGGAGAGTTCCAGTCTGTCCTTAGTATGCCAGGCACAAGCAAGCTACAGAGAGTTCTGCTTTTCCAGCGAAAGCTTATTTCCCATACCTCATACACAGTAGATGACTCATTTGCACAGTGAAACTGTTTTTGGAATCACAAGCACTCTTTTTGGCCTTCCCATCTTCCTAATATTTTGCAGTCCTGCAAGAACAGACCATCTGTATCTCTAATGCTGCTTTTTTGACTTGACTACTATGGAAGTCAGCAGAGATTAACTCAGGCCAGTGAATAAAAATGCAGATAGAAACCTGTAGAAACTGCACTTAAATTCTGGAGCACATAAAATTCTAGACATAAAAGAAGACAGCTGGATGTAAGTAACAGTAGGCTTGCATACAGGAGTTGATGTAAATTTGAATTTGATATCATAGTTTGAACTAAACTAAGTACTGGTGAAGTAAAACAGTGCTGACTACAGCTATGTTTTGATATGCCTGAGAGTTTCCCCTTGAATTGTGAAGTGGGGTATTGCAGTGCCATGGAGCAATGCTACCATTGGCAGAACAAAGAGCAGAAAGCTGAGACTGGAGAGTTTTAGCTGACAAAAGCAATAATGTGATGTTTTTTTTTGCATCAGCTGGAAAACAGCTTCTTTTTCTGATGTTCACTCCAGAAACAGAAAACATTCTAAAAAACACAGCTGGATAATAAGGTTATAAGAAGTACACTTGTCACTAAATTGCAAAGCATTTGTAGTTTAGCATAAGAAAACAAAAATAAAAAGGTAAAATATTTATTATGAAATGCCCTAGAGTATTAAGGCCAGTGTATTAAAAATTGCTGACTGATTTTTGGCCAATACTGTTTATACGCATAAATCATTACCACTAAATGTTATTTTCTGGGTTTGCTGTGTGTACATTCCTCTTAATAAAATATTCTTGAGCTGAATTTTATATGGAAAGGATTATGGCAAGCTTGATTGTTTATTAAAAAGTAGAGCCCAGTATCTCTAACACTTCAAAAGTGAAGCATACTGTCCTGAATCCCTTACAGGACCTCAGTTAGATCCCTTGCCTTCAGACAAAGCACATCTGCTGCCATCTAGTGGCTACAGGCTGATAGCTAAGTAAAAAAAATACATACCAGCAGGGAAAATGGGTGGAGATTGACAAATCCTCAGATTTCCTCCTTTCCTGGCCACCTCCATCCTCCCATAACAGGCATTCATAGATCGTTATTTGTTTCCAAAAATGCAATTGTTTTAATGCCTGTTATTCACCTTCTACTGTCAGGCTATTTGCTAACGTCTAGATCAAAATAATCTGTTATATCAGTGTTATGGGCAGAGAATAATTAGTTCTGTATTTACAAAGCTTTGCAAGTCATATTTTAGCATCACTTTCAGTGCCTGCACTAAAGCTCACTCTCAGTCTTGGAAAACCCCACAAGGGGCGGAATCCTGCCATGTGTATGCCGTTGTTTCATATACTGGTAAAGTTTCATATTAATGGAACAAGCTCAGGCTGTGTTTTCTGTTCTTGATAGCACTTTACTCACTTTGTTGATGTCAAGAAAGCAAAGACATTCATAGCTGTGTACGCTGAGGCAAGCCCATCAGCTTCTGTCAGGACTTCAGATGGCAGTGTGCAGGAAACCTTGCCCAGCTCTTTGTACAGCTCTCCCTTGTGTAGCAAGGGAGGTTGCAGTCACCATCCCAGCCTTGGAGTGTGGTTTGAAGAGCACAGTACTGCCTGGGAGTTGCGGTGCAAAGTAGCAATCCTCATGCATTCTCTTACCTATTGGTAATAGGCAGTTACTAAACCCAACCCCATCAGAAGTCAAGATCAAAAATAAATAAATAGGTAATTTTTGTTATTAATCAGGGATGGGGTTATTTGAGAGAGTTGACACCTGCCAGCTTTATAAAAGAAGGGAAGAAATGCACTCTGAGAATTGTTTTTTCCTATACATGATGTTTGTTAAGTGATGTTAAACATTGAAAGCAACATTTTGGTGGTGGTAATCTCTGGAGACACCAATACAATTCAGTCCAAGTCGCTGTTGCTGTAAGAAGCAACTATATGGGTGGATCCCATCTTATCACGTATTTGTCATCTTGATTTATAATGGTCTTTTTTTTTTTAGGTTGTTGGCCTAAAGAAAGTGTAATTATTTTTCTGTTTCATTCTGTTCTAGGATATTAAACACTACGTTGTTTGAACTGTATGAAGCTCTGGGCAATTTTCCTGCCTTGTGGGTCTTCAATGTGTTGCTTGTGGTTCTTCAAATTCTGCACTGTTTTTGGTCTTACCTAATCGTAAAGGCAGCCTACAAAGCTATTTCAAAGGGCAAGGTAAGACAGCACACCTCTGTTTCGTGTTTACTCTTTTTAACTTTTTCATTATCAATACATGGTTACTTCTTAGGTACTTGTTCTTTCTGATCCATAACCCATTACTAAAGGCACGTGTTGTCTTACATAAACACATCTTTCCTTTTCATGGAATTTTCTTCCACTCCTAACAAATGTTAAATAAGTTAGTACATTCTTTATAGTGACTGTATTTATATATGCTTCCATGCTTCTTTTTTATAATCTGATGCACTGAACCAAGCTACATTCCAGAAATTGGATTAAAAAAAAAAAAAAAAAAAAAAAAAAGGCAAACTGCTCTTTAGTGGCTGCCAGTTCTGTTTCTCTTCTTCATAGTAGTTAGAAAAGTGTTAATTTCCCAAATTTCCCAGCTGGTAGTTATAATAATACAAACTGAAATTCTTCTGCCTTTGCTAGTGGCAAAGTTACAAACCACAATCTCTTTTGGATTTTGGTATAATGAGATCCTGCAAAGGGCTACGTAGTTGCTTTCTAGGAATCTCACAGCAAGACTGGGATGCAATGTAGTATATTGCTAACAGTGTTAGATTTGATGGGGAGAAGTAATTCACAGAAATACTAGCCCCAGTACACTTCCTGTGCAGAATCTGCACTCACATTTAGATTAAAGAAGTTTACATTGATCATGTAAAGTACAGGGTATTTTGCCCTTAAACAGTAGAGCACATAAGTTGATATTTTAGACATGTGACCACCTCTGAAGGGAATGGGATTGTTCTGCAGATAACTGCTTTCTGTGAATGTACTTGAGAGCTCAGCCTCTTGCTGGACAGTCCAGAATCTGCCACTCGCTCTTGTGGCTACATGTTCTTGAACTGTATTATGCCTGAAAGCCACACTTCAGGCTTCTCTGCTTTTACCAGTTATTACCCTCAACTGTCCCATTTGAATTAAACCAGTGACTTCAAAAAGTGTTTCATACTGTCTCTTACTCTGCTTGTTTATCCTTTCCCTTGTGCTGTGCTGGAAGGCTGGGAAGTGGAACCCCTTGCATGTAAGTTTCTTTAAATTTACTATGCAAAAGATGTGCTCTGCACAATAGCAGGGTGTTGTTTTTCTTTTTTTCTTTTGCAGTTTCTGTTTGATGTTTTTATCCATTGTTTGCGATTACATATTTAAAGGAAGACTGTCTTTAAAGGGTGTTTTTGCTTCTTTCCTGTGCATTGTCCAACACCATTCAAACCCTCTTCTATTCATAGTATCTGAGTGTTATTGCATTACAACCATTTTTACACATGCTGCTCTGTCACCATTGAGGAAGCATACATGAGAGCATAAGTCCTCTGCCTTGTGCTCAACCAGCTGCACAAAAGGAGGAAATTAAGATTGCATGAAAGCAGAGTCAGACACTTGCAAGAAGACAGTGACAATGTTAAAGCTGCACATACACGACTTGAGGATTCTTCCTCTAGATCTTAACTTTCTTCCTCACTTACAACCCTAGTCTTTCAGTTTCCACAGTAAAATAAGCAGTGTTTTCACTGAACTTTGTAGATATCTTACAGTAGATCTTCTTTCTTAATTATGGTTTTATTGTTGTATTACTAGTATTTACCTTTGGAACAGCTCAGCTAGTAAAGCAATTTCTTATCGTTAAATTTGTAACCAGTCCTGATAATCTATTTCTTAATTTTTGTTATGCTTAGGAGTTTTATAAATCTAGGTACATATTTTCTAAATGCACTCTGTAGGAATTACTCCAATGGGTTCTTTTGGAAATAAACAAAGATAATTAAGTACTGCAAGATGTGCTGCATTCATACCACATTTTATGTACGTGTAGAAAGGCCCTGGTATGTCACTTGCTGCACTGTATAAATGGTCCCATCATACAATCTTCTTCTGGTTAATTGGCTTCGGGGCAGGATGCTAGGAGAAGATTTTGCAGTAAATTTAATATATTAGAAGAATTTAAAATGATGCAGAATTTTAAGATCGTCTAGTCTGCCCTCACGTTGATCACAGGCACACTGTGAGAGCCCGTTCTCTTTTGTCTGATAAAGGTGTAATTCTGAGCTTAGTTCTATATCCACAACAGTTTTAATACAAAAGTCCCTGTATATAAGAGACTGAAGTAATCTGTTAATTGAAGCTGTGTAGGTATGGTATTGAATTTCTGACCTCAGCTGAGTCCAATTTCACAGGTGTCAGAACTGCTGCCATGCTAGACATTGACATTAAAAAGCAGTTATGCTCAGGCGTATGGAAACTTTGTGTTCCTTTCTTCTCTGTTCCCAAACAGAGTAGTGTTACTCAGGTGTTACAGTATTGTAAGGGTGGTAACAGCACTGGGAGCCTCAAAGGCAAATAGTCATTTCTGAAGCAACAGCTGGAGAGCAAAATTGTCTTCAGGGGTTTCTGGGATGGCAGAGGATTGTTGTAAGCAAACATATATATATTCAGTGACATTCCCTGATCTTTAATTGTTTTAATTTCCTTGGTGAAAAGACTTGCCATGTGTTTTGTCACCTTTATGTCCACTCACTATAGTAAAGTCAATTGTAATTTTCAGATGTGGTAACTTGCACAGGATGGATAGATCCCAAAAGAATTAGGAAGCTCAGCTATACAGTCAGGCATGGACAGCTGCATCTTTAAAAGCTGCCTGCATCTTCAACTTCATGCCTCTCTCTGTTGCTGCTGATTTTTCTTTTTCTTTTTTTCTCTTTTTAAACTTCTCTGATGTATTTTTATCAGTTTTGGAGTTCATCAAGACCAGACTGGATAAAGCTCTGGGATAAACCTTCGATGACTTCACAGATGACCCTGCTGTGAGCAGGAGGCTAGGCATAGACTTCCTGAGGCCTCTTCTGACCTGTTATCCTATGATCCTATATGTTGGCAGTGCCACTGTTACCTCCTAGAAAAAAACAGCCCTGAAAAAATAGGGCAGGCAGGGCTTTTTCTTTGCAGGATTTTCTTTTCTGTTGCCCTTCTTTGCTCTTCTTAACCTGTCTGTTGTTGGCTTCCCCACATTTTTAATTGTTTTGGGTGCACATGACTGAACACAGCAAAGCAAAGTCACCTCAGGGATTCTGAAGGGACTTAGTGCTCAGTTCTCAAACTTAGTGATCCTCATTTATAATCTTCAAAGAGCTCTACAATGGAGAAGAGCAGACTCCTTAGTCTAAGGAACATAATTCATCCAGTAAATGGGTATAAATTGCCAGGAATGAAGTTCAGCTGGAAATTAGCAGGAAATCCCTAGCAGTTAAAGTCAGTGTGTTTCTGAAGCAGCTTTCCAATGGCACACTGGGGCAGATGGTTGAAGTGCTCAAGAACGTGTGGGGTTCCTGTGCTAGGGACTGGAGTACAACTGGTGTTCCCGAGCACTGCTCTCACCACGTCTCAGAGGTGTGTTTAGGCCAGCACTCCTACCTCCTACAGCCAGCCCACAGCACAGCTCCTGGGAGCCATGTGGGAGGTGAGGGGGGAGAAGTTAGTACTTATAAATAATAAGTTAGTACTTTAGTAATTTTTATTTATTCTGGCATTATCAGGTCAAAGAAAATCACCCCAAAGGAAGTATGGGAATCCCTGTGCCAGTTATGAGACTCTGCATGTCTGGAAGACAAAGAAAATGGAGTTGTAGTAGGAGGGCAGAAGGACACGGACTAGGTTGAACTAGGGAGCTTGAACTGTGGTTACCTTTAGTTGGAGCACCACCCATTGCCTTGAACTCTGTGTTCTCCCTTTGACATAATGCCTTTAATGCATCAGGGCACAGTTCTCATCCTGCCTCTGCATGCAGAGGATGTGTGTACAGGCAGCTGTGTTTGAAGCTGTGCAGGCAGGCAAAGACAGAGAATGTGCCAGAGCTGATACCACTTTCAAAGCTCCAGCTGAAAGCTGTTTGAATTCTCTGACTCCAGCTTGAACCAAAAAGCTCAGTTCTTTCCTTAAAATTATCTACTGCTTGCTTCTTCTTCAAATTCTGCAGGTAGCAAAGGATGACCGAAGTGACATTGAATCAAGCTCAGATGAGGAAGAAACAGTACCTCGCTCAAAGACCCCGCACAGCTCTATCACCACTAATGGGACCGGTGGTGCCAATGGGACAAACGGGTATATCACTGGTGGCACTTGCTCAGAGGAGCATTAATCCCTGAGTGTCATGAGACACAAACAGAATGAACTGTTTGCTATGGAAGTAAATTATAAGTTGCGAATGCGGTTTCTTCATATATCTCAGCATCAGAAAAAATTAGGAGTACAAAAGCATTCAGATAGTGCACTGCCATATTTCCTGTTTGTGAATGAAGACAACACATCATTCTGTATACGTAGGCATGCTGTATGTGTATGTAATTGACACAATGGGAGCAGTATTTTCACTTGTACTGTCTTTAAAATATTATTTATTTTGTATTCTTTCTGGGAACTTCTGAACAAAAGGGAATATCCTTTCTCAAACTTTTTTCTCAGTGGTGGAGAGCATCATGCTCAGATCTCTTCTGTCCATCCCTGTTGCTTTTGCTGAGTCTGCTATAAGTAATAGTTGCTTGATTTATTAATTACAAAAGATAGAACATAGCTTTACAGATTCTAGTTCTGCTTCAGATATTTTTGCTATCTTTGTGTTTTAAAGTGCTGGTTTTGAAATTGCCTATCAATTCACAGTGGCCGTTTCTCCAACAGAAAGTTTTAAAACACTGGATTGATATTTTAAATAGTAGGTAATATGGTCAATTAGCAATTTGGGGAAAAAGACCTGTTGTCATTGTGAGATGTTATTTTAGCATAAGCTAAAATTCAAAATTGGTGGTTAATTGCATTAGAAGTAGATTTGATTGGTTGTGCAAATGCCCAAAAGCATTTATGTTAATGGTTAAGATACACTCATTCTTGTATTGTTTTTTATTTGTTTTGTTGTTGTGTTGTTTTTTTTTGTCTTGCGATTTTTGACCTCTATAGATTGCGGCTTTATGCGGAGATTCCATGTTGAAAGGTATTTGTTCAAGTGCACCATTGTGAATCCAGAACTCACTCCTGAAACTGATCTTGTAAATTAAGATGGATGAGAGCAGAGTTGTTATTGAAAAAACAGCAGATGGAAAGTCATTGCTTCCTCAAACACAGTTCAGTCTAGGTTATCATTCTTATAATTATTGCCACTTTTTTGGTAGGCTGAAGAGAGAAAATGCACAATGTCATACATTACTAGAAGTAGTTTATTTTAAATGCATGAGAACTTGAGCAAAATTCACTTAACATAATTCACAGCAAACTTTGAAGGCTCAGCAGTATTTTGTCACCTTTATAAAAAAAAAAAAGGTGTGTCTGTTAAATAATTTTGCTCTCCTACTTCATCCAATATTTACAAACCGTGTCCCAAAGAAGACAAAATAACACCTAAAACTAACATCCTCTTTTAACATAATATATATATACATATATAACACTTCTTCCAGTTTCTAGATCACAGTTTGATGTAGGATGCTAAGGATCATACAACTCTTGGAGGACACTTTTCTGTGATTTGTGACAGCAGTGCCAAAAGTAGGCAAGGTTCTTGGGCAACAGACTCTATGCAACCTACTGTTTAACAGTATTGTATATGTGCACACAGAACCAATGTGCTCGTAGACCAAAGACTTATATATATATTTAAAAAAAATAAAATAAAAAGGAAAAAAAAAAGGAAGGAATAAATCAGAAAAAAATGTAACAGTGTGTCTTCTGTACAGAAAGGGACTGGAGTGCTGTGTTCAGCTGGAAGCCTAGGCCAAGGAAGTATTTCTTATTCCTTCCACCCTATGCAAATAGCAAAATATAGATGATTTCTATCATCATAAAACATGTTTAAAGGCTCTAATGTATACAGACTCCACTGAAGAAAGTTTTGTTGCCACTTCTCTCTTTTTGAAACACTGCGATTCGTTCCATTCTACTCATGACTCTTGAAAACTTTTGAAACCTTTATTATCCATAGGGACCATATGCATGTTAGTGAACGATGTGCTGAAAGTAAAGACAGAATGGTGTGAATGAAAATAGTACCACCATTTAGTAACAAATAAAGGTAAGAAAACTGAAAACTTGTAAATCATGTGAGGAACGCTGTCTGTTTTACAGACATCCCTTGAAAAATCCAGGCACCTTGTAATTCAGCAGCTTCAAAGCTTATATGTCCCTGAGCATATATGAGGGAGCAAGAGTCTTATTCAAATCTCCTTCTCCCCTAAAAGCTTCTTTGCCTCTAATTTTTCTAATCTGTCTCCTGTGACCCTGATTTCATACAGTTATCTGTAAGGCCAGCTATATGTGTGAAGATACCATGATTGCAATAGAAGGTATCCTATCCACAGTATTTGAAGTGGCAGTTGTTACTAATTACTATGAACATTATAGTAAGGTTTTAAAAGAAAATTTTATTGGGATATATTGAATAAGCATTGTTAGTTCTGACATCTGACCTGCTGAGAAAGTTCTTGAGAGTAACAGTTTAGAATCATAGAATTATAGAATACCCTGAGTTGGAAGGGTCCCGCTAAGATCATTAAGTCTAACTCCTGGTTCCACACAGGTCTACCTAAAAATCAGACCATGTGTCCAAGAGCATTGTCCAAATGCTTTTTGAACTCCAGCAGGCTTGGTGCTGTGATCACTGCCCTGGGAAGCCTGCTCCAGTGCCCAATCACCCCCTCAGTGAATAGCTGAAACACATCTTCATAATGTTGATTTCTACCTCTACTGGACCATTTTCCTTCTCCAAAGATAGGTATAAAAATGGCATTCTGGTAAATATTTTGTTGTATGTGGGGACAAAATGTTGCTCTCAACTGTTGGTGTACACCTGTAGTGCTGTGATATCATCGATATCAGGAAAGAAAGCAGTTCTCATGAACAGTCCTCAAACAAGAGACAGGAGACCTTTGCTCTCTCTCTGTTGGTCCTCTCCAGTTGTGCTGTAGAGCATTGATTCAGATGTTCAGTCATGGTTACAACCCTTGAATTGGCTTGACCATTTCTGGATATGTAGATTCTTAGAGTACCCCCACTGTTAAATAATGCAACTTGAATTTAAACTCTTCCTTTGACATTTAAAATAAGTTGTGTCTATTACTCACTAAAGCATGTAAACAGTTACCAAGATTCAACTGATGTCTAGTAACTTATTCATCTCCTATAAACCAGGCTTTTTGGAGTCCATTCTTAGCAGCCTAGGATAAACTTAATACAGATATGTCTGGAAAATAGGCAAGGTCAGTGATTGAAATGGCATGTTTGTGGAAATGGGGTAAGTGTCAAGTACTTAATTAACTTTTGCTGAACAATCGCTAAACTTTCAAGCTACAATTTTTAATGGAGATGAAAAATTCACACATTTTTTCTGTCTTTACTGAGAAGGACCAAGTGTTTTAGTGATCATACTTGGCAGTGTGCTTTGATTTATTGCTTTAACCAATGGTTGTCAAAACTTTGGCTTCTTCTTCTACTCTGCAGAGATAATGTCATGCAACTATTTCCTTTTTAATTGAATTTGTTTGCTTCTCTGCTGAAGAGCTTTGCAAGGTGCTTTTGGAGGCCATTAAATATTTAGAAGATAATCACACACATTCCTGAAAATTTATTAAAGTGATTCGCATGGCTCATGGTAAATGCGATATCTTAGAAAGTTCTGTATATTCGTACCTTTTGTAGAATTGTCATTTTATTCATTTTAGAAATAAGGGTTTGTATTTCATAACCTATTTGTCTTCAAACTCTATGCTCCCTTTTTATAGTACAGTACACAACACAGTGGTTGAGATGTTGAAGTAGGAAAATGAGGAAATGATGTGTAGAGTTTATTAGTAAGTAGAAAGAATTTGTCTTCTCTCCCTAGCCAGCCCAGAATATAGTGAAATAAGATTCAGGTCTCCTTTTGTTTACTGCTTTTCATATTGGCATTTTTCATACCAAAAGAAAAATATGTTGCTGTTTTTGTTGTTGTTGTTTTCTCCATTAAAAAAAAAAAACAAAACACTTAAACATTGCAGAAATTGGTAGGAATATCTGATCAAACAACAAGGGTGGATATTGGAGTCGTTTGAATCTTGATTGCTGTTAAATAGTGCTAGTTCTAAAATACCAAAGTGTCCCATGCTGTTTCCTTGTTGCCATTTTGTAGTTTTTATATGTGTTATTTATTTAATGATTCCAGCAGAACTGAAATGGGTGTCACATTTTTAGGTGCTCCTGTTTCAGCCTGGAACCAGTCTGTGTGATTGCTGATGCCAAATCCTTTTTCTGAGACCCAAGTACATGCACTAAAGCTTTGCTTATGGTAAAACGATTCTTGTTTTAAATCTGTATCTGTTTTAAGTGAAAATCACGTTCTAGTTCTGAACAGAACACAATGGCAAAAGCTGTTACCCTGCAGCAAATGTCAATGATGATCAACATGAGTTGATTTAGATGCTGCATGTTTTACGCAGCGTATTCTAGTAGGAAGCCTAATGCCTGTTACATTCATCTTTTCATTACTGCAGCCTTCTGTATTCTCGGAGAAATATGGGCTATTATTGGTTTTCTACAGTTGATGCTTTGGTATTTTTTTAATCTATTTGCTACAACCCATTTTTGTATGTCTCCTATTGTCTACTACTTGTGACATTTGTGCAAAAGGAGCTATTGAATACTTTTTACCCTTCCTGTAATGTAAAACCTATTAGGCCTAACTTCAGTGTTCTGCAAACTATAGTTGCCTTTAAATCATAAAGCAAAACCAGTTTGTATTACTTGTTTTGACTGGTTTTGATTTGGAACAGGGACCTAATGGAAACTTCAGTAAGACAACCTTATTCTTTATTTCTTTTCTTTTTGAAAAACACTAGTGGAAGTTTGGAAAAGTGGCATAAATGTGTAGCCTTTAAATGGTAAAGATTTCTGATTGTAGTTGCAATGAAAACACAGAGTTTGAGTGTGTCTGTACAGAATTCTGTTTTTGAAACTGCTTTCAATTTGAAAAAATGGAGGAAATACCATGGATTGATGTTATGGAGCTGTGAGGATGAAAAACCAACAAGATTGTCTTACATGACCTAAAATGATCTGTGTAAGGAAACACATTTTACATCTTCTTCTGTTGAAATTCAACTTCTCACAGTCCTGGGATTTAAGTAGATCCATAGACGAGCTCTCATATGTATTGTGCATGTTGACTGCCTGTTGCAAATCAGGGTGAGGCAGATGACACTATTTCACCTGTGTTTTCATGACAATCCTGTGCTTGAGCAACTCTTTCAGAATGCAGTGATGTGTAGGAACTCCACTGTCCCAGACACAGTGATGTGCTAGCTAGCTGAAAGTCCTTTTATGTATAGCTATTGTGTAGAACTTTGGGAGTTATTTTGTGTTTAACTTGGTTGGTTTGGTTTTGTTTGTTTGTTTGTTTTTAATATGGAAAATAATTATCCCTCATAAAGTCTCTGGAACCAATCAGTATTGTGGGCTATTTAAATTTGGAGACACTTTCATAATAAACATAAGTATTAGGAATCTACTGTCACTTGCCTTCTCTTTTTCATGAAATGCAAATGACATTTTTCCTTTCTTTTAGATCAAGGATTGTCATCTGCACTGCAGATGCCAGCATTTCTAGAGCAGATAAAGTATGTTTTTGCTGAGGTCATCACTGCGGTATTTTCTGGTATTTTTTGGTTGAGGCAGTTCATAACAGTAAGTGTCAGAAGAGCAAGTTCTCTCTATATAAAATATAAATAAAATAAACTACAAAAAAAAAGGCATTTTGCTAAGATTTCAAATGTAAAATTTTGAAAGTTATCATTTCTGAAATACCAGCTTGAGCTTCAGAAAAACTGTAATTTTTTTCAGTACAAGTGGTCAGAGTTTATTTTTAATTAGACATTCATTTGTTTGTTTCTGGTTAGGCTATCAGTCAGTAAAGCACTAACAACTTACCTCTTCTGGAAGTGAGAGAAGAGGGCCACTGTTGTATAGTGGTTCTCCAGAGAAAAAGCTGTTATTTTGCTAAGGAACCTGCATCTTTCAGACCTGTGTCATTACGGAGTAGACCAAATCTGCTTGCTTATTTATGATAGGATTCTGTGGGTTTTTTTCACTGCTGTTAAGAGGAAGTGGGGTAAAGGCTTATAGGTGGGTGGCTGAGGGTTTGTCTTTTTATTTTGTTTGTTTGTTACTTTTTGGCTGGTGGATTTGGCTTTGGTTTGTTTTTTAAACAAAGACTAGCTATGTGTAGCAATGCCTGAGCTGGAATTTCTTTCATACAGTCCCAAAAGTAGAGCTTACAAAATTCCACTGTCAGGCAGCCTGTGGTGCAGCACTAAAACATTATGAGGAATTACTCAAATGTTGTATAAACATATATACTTTTATGCGATGCATAAAAAGTATTCACACAACTTCAGCAGAAAATTAAGGAAATAGTTTTCATAACACAATTACCAGTTATGTAGTAATCTTCACATGTCATGTGGAAGATTTGTCTTTCAAAGAGAAGTAAACTGGGGATTTGCATTGTATTTAACAAACTAAAGAACTAATTCTGTGATTCTGTAATTACTGCAATTGTTAATATATGTCTATTATAATATATAAAGCAAATCTTGCAGTGCTTTTAATACAGCATTTGAATTCTTGTTATTGAAGAGATTTATTAAGAGATGTAATTATTCTTTACTTTATTCAGTTGTATGTCTAACGTCTTTTGCTTCCTACTCTATGTCTACCCCTCGACTTACATAGTACAGGAAGAGCCACTGTGTACAGAAAGTGGCTCAGGATAATATAAGAAATAGCAAGAATTTCTTGGTGTACTGCCTTTAAGTTTGTAAAAGACCCTCTGTACAAGAAACACCATCTCAGAAGAAGCCTCATAAGGAGGTCAGTGCTGCTTCGGAAGAGCTAAAACCCAGTGGTTGCCCATAGAGAATGCCATTTGAGAGACCAGCACAGGTCAAGCACAGGCAGGACAAGAGGTGAGTGGAAGGAATCTGATTGTATAAAGGTGTTAAGTGGGCAAATTTCAGTGTGACGCAGCTCATCACACTGTGATGGACAGAGCCTGGGACCTTGCACAGAGGAATTTCCACTCCACACCAGTAGTCCTGGCTCTGATAGCATGGATGGAGGATTGCTGTTTCCCTAATTTATCCTGTTTTTTTGCTTTTTTTTTTTTTTTTTTTTGTTCCTCTTTGTGCCCTGTTTTGTGTGATGCTATTCCTGGCCCTTTGACTTATTTCACACTGCCCACCTTTGTCAGTAGGTTGCCTTCTTAAGTGGATTTCATAGAACAGGACTCTAGTTTGTGCTCAGGTTTAGAGGAGTCCAGGATGGTTGTAATGTGATTTCCACTGAGTTCCCATGTTTGTTTTACTGGGGAGTTTGAAAATGTAAACACACTCAATATTAAAAAGTATAAGAGATATCAGAGGTATATTGGTATGAGTAAAATGTGTGAAGCTAGAATGCATGTTGGGCTAACTGAGGTGTCCAGAATTCTTGCTGCTGATTTCTCTTCCCTCTGCACTGTAAAATGCAGAGATCACAGCTTTGTGAAAACCCAATACTAAGCAGCTATCCATTAATTTTGGTAATCCAAAACCTATCTGTGCAAGGCAAATGTAGGTTAATTTGCTTTATGCAAATAAGATTATTTTACTTTTACATTTATTTTTCATTAACACCTATAACCTGCCCTGTGAAGCTTAGCTATGCAAGTGTTAGAGGGGCAGGGGTTGAGCACTTTGCAGATAGCTGGATTTCCCCAGACTGCTGCTGCTGATGCATCAGGGGAGCCACGGGGTTTGCTTTGCTTTGCACAGAGGAAGTAAGTGAGGCTGGCTGTAGGAGGCAGCCCATGCTTTTGGACTCCTAGTTCAGTCCTAAAGTAAAAATGTGATGGAATCAAGAGTGAAATTTAAAAAAAAAAAAAAAAAAAATCTGAAAAAAGTGTTTTAGAACTAGTAGATGAAAAGCACTGAAAGATTACCATGGACGTAAACTAGCCCTACTTTCATGAAATTCAGAGTTAATGCACAGTATGAGGGGCTATGGATTGCCACATAAAACAGCCTGCAGAGAGCCCTAAGGTTAGGTGTGTTGGCAAAATAAACATATTAAGGTAATACTAAGGTAAACTATTAAGGTAAGCATATTAAGGTTCTGGGGAAGAGTCACCCTACAGACACAGAGAGAGTGGGAGAAAGAAATTGAAAAGCAATAGTGATAAGAAAGATTTTGGAATATTAAAAACAGCAAGTTGGGTTTGAGCTTGCAGTGTAGGATGTTGGGGAAAAAAACTTCCAGTGCAATTGTGAGGCAATCTGAACCTGTATCTCAGAGCCAGGAGATGACGCTGTCCTCTGTACAACTTGAGTTGGTGGTATTCTCAGTAGCCTTCTTGATTCAGGGTTATCAGAACGGCCATCGGGAGACTGATTAATATATTTTTTAAAACGTAAAGCTTCAAACACACTGCTTCTTATCAACAAAATCAAGAAACAGAGGCTTCTCTGTACTGTTTCAGTGGAGATGGGGAAACAGTGTGGAAATGTCATCAGGCAAATACTGTACAGGAAACTGTTAGACCAGAACTTGCTACACCATTCACATAACCAAGCCACAACTATGGAGCAAGAGGTAACTGTTTTTAGAATGCCATTTAGAATGGATGTATGTATATTGACTGCACTGATGAATATTCAAATCTTCACTGCTGTATATGTAAAAGGGCTTTGGTTTTAGTAATTCTGCCAGAGGATGGTCAGTGACAAATCAGTGTGCTGCTTGTTTACATCTCTTGCGATTTCCAAATCCTAATTTCCAAATTTGAAGCCCAAGACAGGTCTCGGTAACGCATATGCAGTTTGCAAAAACCCAGGAGTGGGAACTAACAGTCACACTTAAGGGGTGCATCGGGCCTGAAAGTAAGAAGTGTCTGTACTCAAATGGGTGTTGCAGGTGGTGTCACTAGTGAGTCCTTGTGACGGAGCCCTGACTCAGTGCCCAGCCTTAATGGTACAGCTACCCAAGAGTGAGCTATTTAAATTTCCCAGCATTTGAAAGGGGGAATTAGCTCGTGTGTCCTGGGGAACTTTCAGGAAATTATACTCATTCAGAGAGTCTCCTGCATCCCTGAAATAGAATTAGTCTTCAGTCCAGGTCTTGAATGGTGGTCCTCACTGTTACACTTCACACAGTGGAGGATGAAGTCAGTTCTCCATAAATATATCCTAGGTAAGCTGTAGATTTTGGAATATTCGATGATTGATCTTCTAGTATATTCAGTTTCCTTTTGGTGAAGTACATTAGCACTATATAGGTATATTCTTATTGAAGTCAGTGGGCCAGATTCTTCCACCTGTTAAACCTTCTTCTGCAGCTGTACTGCCCTGTGAATGAACACTGTTCTTTGTGTTGTTAATTCTGTCCAGGTACCATTTACGATTATTCCCGACTGATGATCCATTTAATGGAGATCAGTGACTGATATTTTTAGTCCAGAAATAGATCCCTTGTAGAGCCACAGCACAGCACTGCTGCATGTCTCATTTACTTAAGTGTAGCAGAATCACTTTTTGTCCAAAAATGAAAGAAAACCGATGTGCCAAACTAATCTTTTGGTATTGGTAGCTAATTATTCTGCACTCATGTCCTAGCAAAATGATTGTCTAAACATGGAGCAAATGATTGTGAAGAGTTCTTGTATTTCAGTAAAGGCAAATATGTTCAATAGCAGTTCCTAACAGAGGCTTACTTCTAGAACCAATACATATACATGTCTGTTTTTTAAAAAACAGTTTCAAAATAGACTAATTTCAGGCCAATATAAAACTTGATTTGACAAATTCGGTTCAAGTTCTGCCTATGGCCTGTCCTAGTCATCTTTTTGGATTTATTTTTTTTTCAACAACAGAAAAAAAAAGACAAACTGACAGAGCAGATTTTTCTTTAAATGACGTAACTATTTGTTCTGCTAGGACTTAGTGCACTTACCAGGCAATTCATCCAGTGTGTTTATAGGCTGCCAGACTCAAAAAGGAGGAAAGGATAGTGCTGATTCTGAGAATTATTTTCTTGGGAATGAGATCAGTACTTTCATTTCATGATCTCTTCACAGACTCCTTAGGGGTGTGCCTAAGCTGGACTTTAATACTCTTAACACATTGGCTCTCCCCATGAACAGTGATGAAATATCAGAAGAGTGTCTCTTAAACCCAGTAAGTAAGATATCCAGGAAGAACAGATGCTCTTCTTGCTGAAATTCCCAGCACACTTGTCTGTAACCACTGAGATTGCTGACTGTTAAGCTTTTATAGTAATGTGTGTGCTACTCCTGCAACTAGTCCAAGTATCCAGCACAAAACCAAACCGGGAATTTGGCCTTGGGTATCTAAGCAAGTGTCCACACATCTGTCATAAGGAATAAAACAGAGCAATTGCAGAGAAGTTTGTTACAGCTATGAGAAAAGCTGGCAGGAAATGCTGCTGCAGTGCAGAGGACAGTCAGCCTCGTTTGAGTGGAACAGATTTGCACGCTGGCCATAAATACATTTATACATTGATTAGGGCTAGTTATCTAATGGATTTAAAGTCTCACCAGAAATACTAATGCTCTGAAAAAAACTGCATAACAACCAATATGAACCTGGCTGGAAAACCAGAGCTTATACTGTGCCAATGCTCTGCTGAGAGACAGAGAAATATATGCAGCTTATTTTGACTCTTTCCAAAATAGGACAGAGTAAGGCTTCCATACAACTGCATGACAACAGCATTTCATGCCATATTTAGGCAACTTCTTGCAATCTCCCCACTTAAAAATCCTAAAATTCAGAGGTGGAATGTGATCCTTCTTTAATTAAATTGCATCAGTACCCTCCTGTGTCTACTTATCTAGCAACTTTCTGTCCCATTTCTGGGCTCATTTTTTTGCAAGTAGTTCAAGCATCCAGCATAAACTTAGCTGTTTGGCATATGAGAATTCTTACATAAGACCTCAGCTGTGAGATCTGACATGTATCCACCATAGAGCTTTGAACAATGCTATCTGGAAGAAGAAAAATGTGTTGCTAACTGTGACGTTATCAGCTGCCATATGGATAGAATGAGTGCTGAATTGAAACAAGATTAGATGCAGATTTCTAATGCTTGATATTACAGCCAAATGTAACTTGAGCTCAGACTCTCAAAACTCTATTGCATGACATCCATCTCCGTTATAAATGGGGTGATGTAGTAACTCCCCAAAAGTCTGGGCCAATGCTCAAACTTTTAACATATTCTTTCAAGTCCCAGGGAACAGGCTGATAGATTAGTTTTCTTCCCTTAGTAAAGTATACTAAGTGCTAGCAATTTAACAAAATGATTGGGCAACCACATCCATTCCTAAGTAACTGCATGTCATTTCTTAATATTAGAGCTGATCATTCAACATCTTTATACAGCTTTGGATTCACTTAAGTCTTCAGTGTGTATAATGACAGTAGTTCCATCTTACAATTCTTTCATATTTTATTTGGTGTATTGGATGTGCCAAAGTGTACCTTCCTACACATCCTTTATAGGAAATACTAAGGTTGTTACAAGTGGAAGTCACAGAGGTGTCCGGCATGTTTACAGCCAAACTCAAAGTCATGCAAAATCCATCTCATTCTTGGTTTTCTTTTGAACTTGAACACAGTTCAGAATCCCAGAAATACTTTTGGCAGTGTCCCTACATTCTCAATACATGGGAACATACCACAGTTGCTTTTCTACTACAGGAAAGCATGCCTTTGTACCTTGGGAATAATTTTGTCCTTACTTCTTTCCAAATCAATGTTAAATTTAGTCAAATACAGTTAAAAGGACTGATGTTTTGCAGGCTCCCCTCTGTGCTAACCCACTCTGCTGATTTGAATAGGCTCCTCAAACTTCTCCCAGGATGTAAAGACTTTCCATGTTGATGAGTCTCTGCTTAATGCCATTACTGTAGTAAGTAACAAAAATACTTCATTTGAAAGTCCTTTCTTAGTAAGGGCAGAATTACTTGTGCTTGCAGAGGCACAAGAGCAATGGCACAAGAACTTGTTCTGTTCTTAGAAAAAATATTACCCTGTGGTGGATGCCAGCAGTAAAGTGTCATGGATTGTGTACTGTATATTTTCTGATCAGAGGAATAAGATCAGCACTGTGTGTGACCAGGACTTTTGGAATATTTTCAGATAGCATGGGTATGTTCATTTAATTAGGATTCCTTTGCTCCATCCTGTGCTATATTTGCTCCCCTTTCTTCTTTCGTTATCCTGTTCTCTTTCTTTATATTCTGGATTTCCTGTTCTGTACCAACCATTACAGACAAGAAATGATAGTGGAGGGAAACTTCAGCAAGACCAGCTAAGGCAAGTAAACCAACTTTCTCATGTAAATTGCATAAACATTAACTGTAATTTTGGTATTCTTGATTCACTGCAATGCCATCAGCAGAGCACTTAGTAAAGGTGGTGCCTACTGTAACAGTCCCAAGCAGACTGTCAGAATCATGGGCTACCTTTAGAAAAGGCTGGAGTCTAAAATGCCGGATAATCGCTGCAGAGTTGCACATGACAGCATGGAGGACTGCATGTCAGAAGAGGTTTTCCTCTTTCCATGATTTTATCAGATGGCTTCTCTGCCTTGCACAAAGTATAGGATAATACAGACCAGTAAGTCATGCTGATAACTGGCAGCTAATGTTAAAAGAATGCAATTATCAATTTGCTGCATTGTCTTTCCATTAACGGGGCTGTGTCAGACATAGAGTTAGACAACTAAGTATTCTTCTTGTTAGCTCCATTTGTAAGATTAGTTGCCTGTTTTTATTTTTAACCTAAATAAGCATTTTCTTGAATTGTGCTTTAACTTAGCTAGTACACCATCCACAAGGTTGCCCCTCTATCACTTCTACATTCTCCTTGCTTAGCCAGAAAGTTGATGTGTGCAGACTGGTCTCAAATGCCTGGAATCCTTTATGATAATTGTCATTGATGTAAAGTAAATGTAACGTGCTTCTGATCAAAACAGTAGCAACAGATGGTTGATATTCGTTCAACAGACCTGTTTCTCTGCCAAGCCAGTTATTCCAGTTGAAGCTCTGGTGCAGAAGATACAAGATATTGAAAAACTGAGCCCATGATCCTGTATTCAGTGCAAAAGAATTCATTGAGTCAAGCCAAAAAGCATGTTTCCGTGTAGTCACAAAACCAACAGGTGAGTCAATAGCAATTAGCATTGTTCAACATGCTGTGACTGAAAAGGAGGGAAATCGGATTAACACTAATTGTATCTTCCTTCAATTTCTCATTTCAGTGCATATGCACTTTAAAATATACATAAGATCATATAAAATACAGTATGCACTTGTATGATTAAACACTCTTTTTAGCAAACTTTTGAATCCAAACCTCTTAATCCAAATTTGAAAATGAGATAGTGTTGCAGCTATTGCTGTTTCAATGGTGTATTAGAAATCAGCAAGCAGGTAAAGGAGAACCAGAAATCAATGCTCTGCACTGAGGGAGGGTAAACAGAGCAACCATTATCATACTGTTTTAGCAGTAGCAGCCAAACAGAAGATAAACTAACATAATTGAGGACTGGTGCGGGCCCCCATCCACTAGGTAGATTATAAAGAGCTGAGATATTCCAGTGAAAAGAATGGCACCATTTAAGGAAGGAAAAAAAAAAAAAAAAAAAAAAACAGATCTGTAGGAAATCAGGCCTCATTAGCTCTGCTTCTCCTGGAACAACTTGTTTATAAGCTCAGGATTCTAAAATGCTTTCTGTGTATAATTGTTAGACTGATTAGGGGTAACAAGAAGAACGAAGTCTCACTGTCTGGCAATCAAAGCTGTTCCCCCCACCTTTCAGGCATACAATCCTATTTCAGCAGTAAAGCTTAATGTAATTGGTTGCAACTATTTCTTTTAAAAACGTAATGATATTACTATAATTACTTAGTATAGTTTATTCACACAGTTAAAAAACATACTGTAATCTGCCTGTGGGATTAGATGATTTATGTATGTATGTGTTTGTTATATCTAGTTCAGCAGGGATTTACAAAGGTTATAAATCACTCACAAATGATTGCATAGTGATTTTACAGTATTATAATGACAGGACTTATTTAGACAATTCCAGGGTACTCAATAAATGCACAAAGTTTACAGAGGCATTAAAGATAGCAAGTAATATAAAACAATTGAAATATGACAGAAACTCAGCATAACTTCAGTGTCTTTCTTAATTTTCAGAAGTGTAGCCAATACTTGTTCTTTTGCTTTTTAAAATATCAAGCAACATGCAAGAGGGTTTATAAAAAATGTCAATATACTCAGCATAGCCACCTCCACTTTTACTTGAGTAGGTGTGTAATAAAACTGTTCTATTAACCAGAATGACTGTTATAGTAATTCAATTTCTTTTCAAATCTGACCTTCAACTAGCATACAAACAGTGATTGTGATTAAATGCACTCTGTATATTACTAATATTTAACATTATTTTGTCTTCACAGTGCATTTTCAATATCTAGTAAATTCAGTGCCCTTTTTTTCCAGATTTTTGCATTACATTGGGAAATAAATGTGATGAGGAGCTGAGCATACACACTGGTGTCTACCAGCTGTTTTCTCTGTGGTCAGCAGTAGCTGCTGGCCAATGCATGGTAGCTAAGTACATGTGAATGGTCTGAAAGGGAAAGCAACCTTCAGGGCTGGGCAAATTGATTTATGAAAAAATAAAAGCCTTTTCTGACCTTCACTAAAATAAGATTTATGTGTGCCTTGAGATAAACCCGATCCCGCTAAATAGATAGAGCACTAGCACCAGCTGGAGGGAGATTTTTAACTGCGTGTCATAATCCCTAAACTGCATTTGCTTTTAAGATCAAGAGCTTGTCCCACAACCTCTTTGGGATGTTTCAGTTTGAGTGCTGTTCAGTACTTGGGGGTCCCAACAACTGCATCTGTTGAGTTAGTATTATTTGAGTTGTCTCTGTTATTAGAATGAGCTGTCTTGTGCAACTTCCTTACAAACAAAATTCCAAATTGCCAGATTCCCATGCATGACGTTTTGTACACACTAAGTGCAATCAGTAAAAGCACAAATGTTTTAAAATTTAAAGACAAGATTTCAAATATAAAGGCTGTTTCAAGGATTTCACAAGCTAGTTTTTACTTCATATATTGTAATAAGTGAAACAATTCTATTGTATACTCTTAGTTTTAATCTGCTTTTGGAACGCCTAGCTTTTTTCTAGAGGAAGTAAGATCCGCATCTGATTTTCCTTGGTTCATTATTCAAACTCCAGAAGAGGTTGTAAAGGCTTAAATTACACGATAAACATTTTAAACGTTGAGGCTTGCTTTAGGAGGATGTGCAGAATATTTATAAGCAGGCATATCATCTTTTTGAGCAAATAATTCTTAATCATGTAAATTCCAATGCCGTGGTTGTCACATATTTTATGTTCTGTACACAGCAATCTTCATAAAGTAACTTCGCTGGAAGCAATAAACCAGCTACTCATGCCCGGGATGAATGTGAAAATAAATGATGGCAGATGAAAAGAAGAAACAGGCAGTAAGTCTATTCTACTTATTACTCAGAGCATGTTTCAGTAATTTTTTTACCCTCTGAAGATGACAGTCAAATGAGATATGCTAGAGTGCATCTAAGCAATATGTACAGCCCTAATGCATAAAAGTTCCCTTTGAAAACATTGAAGTGAGGTGGCTGCATCCTGCTGGATGTTTTGCTTCCATACAGCAGCTGTTAGATAACTGGTAGCACTGTTATGCTTCTTACAAGCTAGGTGATTTAAAATACAGTTCTCATGAGAGGGGGCAGCGTTCTTAAGTGTTAAAAAGAGTAAGCAGCACCAGACTTAGGTGGTCACGTGTAAGATGAGGAAGATATAGAAATAGGGTTCGGTTGTGTGGCTTTTCCCCCACCCCCAGCATAAGATTATATGTGTGAAGCATGAACAATGAGGGCTGCTATAATTCCATTAGTAAATAGAAGACCGACAATTTTTAATATACAATATAATGGGTAAAACCTATTTTGTATCATACACTAAAGACCATAAATATAAAACCAGGCTTCAAAAAGAATAAATAAATGCAGCAGAAGCATAAGGAAAAAAAAAGCTACCAAGAAAAGTATTTTCCTACCACCTGTAAAAAGTAAGAGGGTAATCTGGCTCTCATGTTTCAGAAAAAGATATATTTTTCAAAAATAGTTATGGCTAGTACAAAGGTTTGGTTTGTGTTGTTTTGGTTTGTTGTTGTTTTTTGTGTGTTTTTTTTTTTTTTTTTTTTTTTTAAAAACATTGTGCAACAACCCCACTCACCTCCCACATCCCTGTTTCTTGGGCTTCCACTTTTGGGCTGACTGTCTCAGAATATGAACAGAAATACTATGCTAACCATGTTTGAAAACTCATGAAACAAAGGCCTCAAATCAGAATTTAAATACTTGCTACTGGATTTATATTTACATGTCTGGAGCCACTCAGGTAAGCAGTTGATTATAATGTTGTTCCAAGAATGATCAAAAATGCCTCTAGATGATAGCGGACTAAAGCATGGTTTTCATTATTTTTCTTTATTTAAAGATTAGAGTAAGACATGAATAAATAGATACTTGCACAACACACAAAGGAAAAATAAGAAATGCTCTATAGCTAGGAACAGATTTATAAGCTAAGTTTAGGCAGACTGTTTATAAGATAAAGCAGTGAAAGCCTTTCTGATATTGGCAATAAATGCAGAAAAGTTGTTAGTTTCTCTCACTTTCTGCTGGAACTCTGCTATACAATCCAGAGGAGGAGTACAGGAAGTCACTAAAAATGACAAAAATTAAAAAAAAAATTACTTACAAAAAATTCACTATTAGTGTTTTTTTCTGGGCCTATGAAATATAATGTAGTCTGCTATATTTGTATGTTTTAGTTTGTCATTATTTTTGAGTAATCTATTAAATCATTTTCCTTCAGTGAAGACAAAGCCTCAAAAGAACATACAATTCTTTTTGATTTCCAGTCCTCCCACGCAGTGTTGTGCTCCTGCTTCAGTTGTTAGAGCAGTTCTCAGCCTAACTCAAAAACTGAGACACATTCCTAAACATTTTTGTTGCTCTGCAGGTGTGAAGACTGAAAATTGATGTAGCCCAGCATGTGATAAACTTTTTATTTCAGCCCCATTTAGACTTGAATTAGTAAAAACTGCAGTCTGCTGTGTCCATACCTAGAGGCATAGCAGAGTCTGGAGTATTCTTCTAGAAGCAACTCAGCACAGTACTCAAGTAACTGCTGCTGGTCTTTGCTATCTTGAGTTAAGATCTGGAAGGCTGTATCTCTGAAAAGAGGAATTCTGCATTTCTAGTTTCAATCCTTCTCCTATATCACACAATCGTAGGGAATCAATAGTGGGGAACCAATTTTTTTCTCTCCTATAGGCTTCTCGAGCAGATTGAAATACACCTGTCAGCATAGACATTTATTCTTGCGTAAGAGGCAACAAGTATCTGTCCCTGTATCTCTCTACTTTGTACCAAGCAAAGCAGCAAACAGCAATTCCACAAACAGAGGAGCGTATATTTTCATATAAACAAGAGAAACTATATTAAGTTATATTAATGCTGCAAAGTTTTCCATGCAGAAATTAGAAGACAAAGATGACAACTTTTTTTCTTCCCCAAATACAGAGATCAGATTCTGTCCTCTTATTTACAAATTTAAAGTCCACGTACCTTCATAATCTCCTTGGTCATTTATGGAAAGCGTAAACACATATGGCTTGTCAGGATCTTTGTGGTCAATATGTCTGAATATAAACTGTAACTGTTCATCTAAAGCAAATACAAACAGAATTCATTAACACTTCACTTGATAGTCACAGTGATGAATAAAAATCACAATATTACATTGTTTTAATTAATGCTTACAATACTTGCAAATTCAGTAAACCTGGTTTCTTTACAAGACAAATATGTTTTAATATACCATCTTCTGCCATTTGAGGAACAACGGTAATATCTGAGCTAAGGAGTGGGAATAACTTACTTGGAGTTGGCAAAGTTACCAACCATTATCTTCCTCAGATTTGCAAAGACATCTGAACTGCTCTTCAGTAACAAAAGCAGCTGTGAGCAAGAGCCACAGTCCAAGGCCAAGACTATGGCTGCTAATCAACCAGCACTCATGGTCAGCGAGTGTGTAATTGAGAGGAAGATGACCCAATGTAATACACTAGTCTACTGCCAGGTACATGTATGTCCAAGGCATACAGTTGCATGAGCTACTACATCCTTTGCTACATAATTCAGCGTAAACCACATTGTATCACTGCATATGGAACTGAGGAAACTGCAGGAACATACCATGAATTCTACGTATTTCCAATCCAAGCCGCTCTTCAAACAACTCTTTAGACTTGCAAAGTCGTTCCACTCTCTCCTTAGCGGCCTTGTTTTTAGATGATACCACTAGGATTTTAAAAGCCACGAGAAGTTCCAAGTAAAAATCAGTAAAGCACAAGAGAAAAAATAAACAGTAGTAAAGCCCATCAAGAACAAGCGATAAAAACACTTCCTCCTCTAATTAAAAACTCTCACCTTCCTTTTTCTTCATCAACTCTTCTTTAAGTTCTTGGATATTGTCAGTCAATTCCTTCTTTTGCTCTTCTTCATGGTTTAGGTTAGATTTTATTTCTGTCAATCGTTCTTGATTTTCTGATATGTGTTTATTCTGCTGAAGAATCTCTGAAAGGAAGCAAGAAAATATGAACATTTACAGCTGATGAATTAGGCTCCCACTAGTTAGCACTTATCTGTACAGTTTGAGGTGACTGAATAAGATCTAATGAAGTGCATACTGTAAGCATCAAGTATCAGGATGAAGTAAAAGTTACTCAGAAGTAAAGCTACAAAGTAGGCAGCTCCTCTGATACTGTCTGTATCACATGCAGTCTGTTTCTGCTGCCAGACACAACTCATATCTTCAAAGCACAAGGATGGTGGATCTTGTTTAGAGACAAATTGACAAAAAGTACAGAATGGTAATGCTGACTGATATTTCAGAATGGTAATGCTGACTATATTTACCTGAGATTCTGAAATTCAGTTACGGAATTCAGAGCAGTTAATCCTAGACTGATAAGCTGACCATATTCTGTTTTTATCATACAGGAGATGTAACTAACCTCACAACATAACTCACAACTAATAGTTTGCAATATTTTACTAAGTAATTTAGTTTTTCTATTGCAGTCAACAAATTCTGGTACTTTGTTGTTTTAAGTGTAATCACTTATTCTTCAGCATCAAGAATGCTACAGAGAAAACTTTTAACGAATCTTTATCCTTTTGTATCATCAATGAAATTCTCCAGCAAGTTGCTTTTGACTTGCAGTTTGCATCCTGTAATTGCACGTTTAGCTTCTGTTCTATCTTCGTTCTGACTTCACAGGTTACCTTTTAAAAGGGAAGTTAAACGTTATTTAGCTGCGTTGTTAATTTTAGGAGTACTACGTAGTAAGTAAAGCACCGTACCGTTTCTATACTCCTGAATTTTATCAATCATCAGGTCCCCTTCTTTCAGCTTCTTGGCCCATTTCTCTGTAAGGACAAGAGACTTCAGTTACCCGAAGAAGCCTGGGGATGGCTTAGAGAAAACGGGGGTGCAGGGACCGCGCCGCCTCCTCACCCGAGAGCACCTTCAGGGACTCCTTGCACGAGTCCCTCAGCGCTAGGGTCTGCTGCAGCTGCTCCGTGCCGTAAACGCCCTTCAGCTCGGCCCAGAACTCTTTCATTTCCCTCTCAACGAGCGTTATTTCGTCCTCTGCCTTTACGGTGGCCATGGCCGCGGGGCAGCGGCTGCGGGCCACAGCCGGGCTCCTCCGCCGGGCCGCTGCCGCCTTCAAACCGCCGCCGCCTTCCCGCCCGCCCAACGGCCGCTCTCCCATTGGCCGCCGCTCTCGCCCGCCTCAAAACAAGCCCGCCGCTGATTGGCTCAAGCCACAGTCGCCCGTTGGGAGCCGCCGGGGCGGTAACGGCTGTGAGGGGCCGTGAGGGGCCGGTCCCGCCCCGCCCCGCCCCGCCCAGCCCCGCCGCACGGAGGCCGCCCGGGCGGAGCCGCCTCGTCAGGGCTCGCAGAGGGGGCGGGGAGGAGGCGCTGAGGCGGTGGGGCTGCCGTCCCTGTCCCGCAGCCTGTCCCCGGGGCGGCCCAGCGGTGAGGCGCGGGCTGGGGTTCTCCCGAGCGGCCTGCAGCTGCCCGAGCCGCCTCAGGAGCGCGGCGCAGCAGCACTGCCCGCCCCCCCCCTCGCACCCTGGGACAGCGCAGGGCTGGGGCAGGCACCAGCTGTGACCCCAGGTGGCAGCCCTCAGCTCGTCAGGGAGGCTGCTCAGCGTTTGTGCCCACAGCTAGCGAATTGCTGGCTTCAGCTTGCTCAGGTGTTACTCAGGTGATCTCAGCATAGACTTAATACAGCTTTGAGGATCGCTCTGAAGCCATTCATTATTCTAGTAATTTCCTTGTAACTACTACTAACGAGGGCTGATTAGATGAAGGCGGCTGACCAAGAGAAAGCAGCTGGTTCACATTAGCATTCGCTTAAAGCTCCCCGGGTCAGTCTGGCCGCAGAGCAGTCCAACCTCCGCTAGGGCAGCGTGGGGCTGGTGAGCACTGCTGGAAGACCTGAAATGTGCAAAGAAAGTAAGAGCTTCCTAAATACCTCTCTTTTTAAATATATAATTAAGATACATCTTCTCAGGGGTTCTATTTGGAAAATGTTCATTCCTAAGAAAATAGTTGTCTGTTGTTGTATACGGTGTTTACTTGTGAACTGACTAAATTGCTAGTTAGTCCTTGTAGCTGGTCCAGTGCCAATGAAAACACCGATGTGGAAATCAATGTTATTGTTCAATTAACTAAACATAATGTAGCAGAAAGCTAGACCCAGTACATAGGACTCCATTAACAGCATTTTAGAAAATGTTTACTTTGATGGTTTTTCCTTCCCTTGCAAACATTTGCTTAGCAACATCTGACATGGGTTATGTAACACCTGCTCTGATGTGTAGGTGTAAAGGAGATACAAACATCTTGTCCTCCCTTCTGTGGTTAATCAGTGTGATTTTTGATTCTATGTTATTATTACCAAGAATACAGAGAGTCTCTGTTTTTACATGTCTTGGAAAATAAACTGAGAAGCTATCAATAAATTAAAAACTCTTTATGTGAACGGGTATGATTTTAAAGGGTTATGCATTGCACAAAGAGCTCATTTGCTCATGTAAAGACCAAGCACTGGTCTTGGATTGTGTAAAGACCACAAACACATCAAAAGCTTTGATTAAAAACTTAATGCATGCGCTTCCTGACTATTTTATACAGATCACTGGTGTTTCTTACATTTCTACTTGCTTAAAAACAGCAAATAGTTTTATTTATCTTAGGGATATGGTTTAGTGGGGACTGTTAGTGTTAGGTTAGAGGTTGGACTCAATGATCTTGAGGTCTCTTCCAACCTAGAAATTCTGTGATTCTGTGATTTCTTATATACCTCAAGTGACTTAGAAAGACTACAAGTATTACAGATGCATTTTGCAATGCTCTGTGTAGAAAAGTAGGGAATAAAAGCCTATTGAGGAAGCAGTTCTCAACTGTTGGAGTTGAAACAAGTTCTTAAATACAGTATTTCCACACACGTTTCTCCATCTTTTCTTTGCTCATCGCTGGAGTTAAAAAGAGCTGTAGTATCAGAATTTTATAGATTGCCAAATATCACATGCAGGACAGCAGATGACACGTCAGCTGTTGATGGCCTGCAGGATGAGGCAGGACCCAGAGTGGGGCAGGCAGATGAGAACATTGCTTGAACTGCCTCGCTCATACAAACCTTCTCACCTATTCCAAAAACTTCCTTCTTGCTTTTTTTGTTGATTGTGGGTTTATTTATTTTTAAAATGTTTTTGTAAACATGACTGCATGTCCAAGATGTACCTGCTGCTGAAACAGGCAGAAGAAATAGGAGAAAATTAAAGCTTATGTTTGCTGCTAGCTGTTAACAGCATAATTCTGTCTTGATTATGTCTAAGGTGCTTATCTGTCTAAGCAGAAGGATAATTAGCAGTGTATGAATCAGCAGCAAAATATTTGCAATGAAAATTAGTATCAGGATGTTGGTATTAAAAGAGGTTACTTTACTGAGGTGTTGCCAAGACATGCCTTCCAAGATTACATCTACCACGTTTTGGGGGCACCAAAGTGTGCCTGAATGGTTCAGTCTGAGAAGGAGGATTCAGCCTGAGCAGATGCAGCACTGTCCCAGTGCTAGCCAGGGGTGGACTTTTTAATATTCAGAAATAATGCAAACAAGTTACTGAAATGGTCCTGCACGTCTTGTACGAGAGAGACTGGAAGGTGACCTCTTCTATTGGTGGTCTCTTCAGAGGAGATTGCATTGTATCTTGATGGAAACTTACTACAAAATAATTTTTCCTAATAGACCAATAATTATTTACCTTATTACAGTTGCTGTCTTAAATAAGTACTATAAATAAGATAGCTGTTACTCAGCCACTGACTTGATATTTACACGAAAGCTTAGAGCTAATTATTTATGAACTAGACTGAAAATTAGATGAAAGCTTCAGGTTCTCCACTTCTTTTACACACTAAACCCAGATATGTACAAAAGAGTGATTGTTGTTGTTGTTATAAATTCTACTGATCTTTAAAGGAGGGATGCTTTAAATTTGAAGCAAAGGGGCATTTCCTCTAGTGCTAACATGCTATGTGGGAAAGATGTTTCTGAAGAAATCACTTATTGGGAAAGTTAGGTCCTTCCAGATCATTTGCATGGCTCCATCCTAGGCACCCTGAAGAGTACTAAGCTGTAGGGCTTGGCAAGAGACAAACCTCCCCAAAGATCTGCAGCCAGAAAGCTAGGAAATATTTATGTTGAAGTGTACTGAAATTTAGTTTTTAAGAAGATTTTCTATGAAATGAAGGGACACGTATTGAGGTGGATATTTGTTCAACGTACAGAAAAGTATTTTAGTAGTTATTTCACAGAATCACAGAATTTCTAGGTTGGAAGAGACCTCAAGATCATCGAGTCCAACCTCTGAGACTGTTCAGAAACAGTCCATGGAGTTTTAAATCTTTTTTTTTAACTTTAAGGTCTTCTTCATGGCTTGCTGTGAGTGATAGCAGTAACCAGTATAGGATTTACATCTGCTAAGATGTTTCTAAAAGCAGACTATTAATAGCTAGGTAAAGGTGAGACTGTGTCAGAAGAGAGGTCTCCTAAGTCCATTCAATTATCACGCCTTATTTGTTGATTCTGCTTTGGGTTTCCGTGTGACTTCCCTGACTACACATCATCAAGCTGCGTTAAGCTGTTAAGTCTCTCCTCAGCAAAGGCGGTGAGGCAGCCCGCATCTCTGTCGGTGCAGCTTGTGCTGTTCAGCCTGGGCGCCACGCAGAAAGTGGCAGGGAAGTGCTTGGTGACTGTGTACAGCTGCTTGTTTTCTGCTTGTGGTTGTTTCAGAAGCACAGGTTACCTTTAATGGAAGATAGGCCTGAATATTAGAGCCAGATACAGAACTCTGCTTGTTCCCTTGCATACGACTGCCTGTCAGACAAGGGTATCGTCAGACTTTTGGCATCCGTTTAATCTCTGGGAAAAGCATTTCTTACGTAGCTGCCTCCCAGGTGAACACGATCTTTTCCTATGCTGCAGTTATTAATATTAAAGTTGCTAGGTCTGATGCGCTAATACATTATTTGCTGTGTACTCTTAAAATCCCAGTGTCTGGAAGACTCTCCACCTCCTCTTGGCCATTCATCCAGAGGAAGCCAAGGGCTTCCCATGGAAATACTACAGGAAAGCACTGCCAGCCACACATTTGGCAAAACAGGTCTCATTTCTGCTGGGCTGGGCACCAAGAAGGGGGCTGCAGTAGGTCAGGCTTCAGGTCCTCCTGGCAGAGGTGTGCAGCACCCCCATGGTATAAGCAATGTGCAAGGTTGGTGATGCTGCGTGAGATGATTCTGAGACAAAGCTTCATCTGCAGTGTGCCCTGATCAATGTGGCCTCTTGTACAAAGGAAACGGTTGCTTTTTTGTGCTTTGAGAAAACTGTTTTAAGAGTGAATCTAGTGTCCAACAGAATCATTAATGTATGGATGATGGCTGTATTTTCCTGGACTGAAAATGTGTTGTGCATAAACAGTATAGTCGCCAAATTCAGTTTCAAACTGAAATGAACAGTTTTAATGACAGTTCTGCAGAGTCCAATCATTTGTGTATTCTTTCTATCCTTTATAGAGGCAACACTTAATGAAGTATACACACTACTAATGTCCATCCTGCAGAGAAATGAACTGTGAAAAAATTCAAGCAAACATGTTCCAACTGTTCACACAAAGGATTGCATAAGTCACACATTGTGTTTCCACAAAACTTTCCCCACAATTTGCTGCTGACCAGCATGTACTTCACTTAGTTTCCTCCAATTAAAATTTGCAAACAGAAAAGCTTTCCAGTGCTAACAGACTCATGTGCTTTCCTGGAGATTTGGAGCCACGTGTTCCAGGAATGGCTGGGTACACCCCACCAATACGATATAAAGGCAACGTCAATCACCTTCTCTCACTTTTTAATAGCTCCCTTCCATGGTTGTCGTTCTCCCTAGAAACTTAAGATTAAAGGAACTTTGCTATATTTCAAGTACAGTCTAACCAATTAAGATGGATCTCCTTCATAGCAATGGCGTGCTTATCATTCAGCATTTACAGAGGGACTACAGGGCTTATCAGGATTTTCTTAATTTTATGTCACATGTTGGAGATCCTCGCAATATATTTTCAATTTATTTTCCTCTCTGGTTTCAACTCAACCAAGTGGTTGGTACTAAAATGATATGGGTGGCTGTCATTGGTGATTGGTTCAACCTCATATTTAAATGGTAAGAAGTCATGTTTATTGTAAAATTTGCTATTTCTAATGATGGTTACTGCATGTTCCTCAAGTTTAGAAAACATTCTGCAAATGGTGTAGTGGTAGACTTTCCTTGTACTCCTAAACTAGGAATTCACACTGAAGTTATTTAAGGTGTGTTTGAAATTAAATTTTGATAAGACAAGAGGAACCTATAGCATTATTATGGAATAATTTCAGCAGCATAGCTCTTTGTATTCATTGTAAGTTTATTTATCATGCTTTGTGTAGGTGTTCTTATATAAAAATATTTTTATTGCATCTTTGCTTCATTTCACTTTTTTTTTTTTTTTTTAATTATTATTAGGATTTTATTTGGTCATCGTCCGTACTGGTGGGTGCACGAAACAGTGATTTATCCCAATCAGTCAAGTCCATGCCTTGAACAGTTTCCTATAACATGTGAAACTGGACCAGGTAAGAAATGTTGGAGATCACATTGATACATTTAATACAATGTTTTCTGGAGGGGGGGGAGGATGTGATTTATGATGATTTTGTATGATGTAGAAATTTTGAGGTGGCCTATGCATATATAACTTGTATGTTGTATGCTACAGCCCTGAGGGGGGGTTCTGGTGTTTATAGAAACAAGATGTCAGAATAACATCGGAGGCTTCAGCATGAGTATTTGTTAAATTAGGCTTGTGGCCACTCAAATTGATGGAGATGTATTTAACCACAAGTAGCTGAGGTATGCCATACATTGAGGAATATGACAGAAATACAGCAGTTTGACACATTCCCTGTAAGCATGTTCCTGCAGGAGAAATACACATTACTCAAATTTGTCATCCCGTATTTTTTAATGCTTCTCTGACTCTCTGGGGAAAAATGACAGGCAACTAAACCTGTACACATATGACAATGTTGTAAATACATCAGTATTCAACTAACAACTTGATGCTCTGTTTTTTAATCATAATCAAAGTCTACGTCATGGAAAAATTGTATGCTTTCTGGTCAAGATACCAGCTCACCCCAATATGGGTAAACTGTTACCTACTTGATTTCTGGCTAAAGTTCTGGACTCTGTATAGATGAGTTTTCTGAAAAAATAAGAAATTTAAACTTTTGAGACAACATCCTTTGAGGTTTTGTTAACCTTTTCCCCCCTTCCCTAAATGATTAGATGCCTGAGTAACAGACAGTGGGTATTTTCTTTATGCCAAAGTTATAGTTTTATATTTTCATTTATATTCATTTTTAGCTTGAACTTTTCCTTTTTGTCTTTATTAGGAAGCCCATCTGGGCATGCCATGGGATCCTCCTGCGTCTGGTATGTAATGGTAACAGCAGCACTTAGCTACACAGTAAGGTGGAAGGACAAATCAGCAGTTACCCTTCACAGGTCAGCATCTCTCTGTTATTGTAATTCATTCTGATGTTTATTTGCATGTTATGTTTTTAACGGGCTCATTTTAACAACATATTCAGTCAGTTTTATCCAGTTTGTAAAAACAAGTAAACAAACAAACAAAAAAAAACTTTATTATGGTTTACTTCAACTGAAGTCAAATAATATTAAGATTTGTGCATTTCTATATGTTGGTGTTTATTAACTTAGGGTTATTGCATCACGGTATCTGTGATTCAGCTCCTATTAAAGACTGTCAGGTCTTTTGTGTCAGATATGTAAAAACATTTAATATAATTCAAAATATTTTATCTTTTGGTTAGTACATAAATTTACTGCTTTGATCAGTCATTGATCCGTTTTAAAGGAAACACAAAATACTGGCAGAGTTCAGAGTGTACCATGGTATTCAGCTCTGCAGGGAAGCCTTTTAATTACTTTGATGGTTGTACTTTCCAAGCTTTATGAGATTGTTCCCATGTTATGTGGATTTTGTCATCAAAATAATGATCTTTTGTGTTTAAATATGCTGTCACGATGCTAAATATGTTCAAGGTACTAATGCTAATTTAACTTGCCACTGATGCCTTTCATCACTGGATGTAGCTGCAAGAACAACCTCTCTCACTAGTATTTTAGCACTGACTTTACTCTTTGATCCTATGATTCTAAACTTTTCCGCTTGTAAACCTCTGCTTGGGAAAAATATGAGCCCAATACAACCGGGCCTGTTGTAAATTACTATGTGAAATATCTCAATTTTTAAGCATCTTCATTTTCCCTTTCAGACTGACATGGTCATTACTCTGGAGTATTTTTTGGATTATCCAGATCAGTGTGTGCATCTCAAGAGTATTCATAGCAACACATTTCCCTCATCAAGTTATTCTCGGAGTATTTGCCGGTAATGTTGCTAATTTTACTATTTTTTTCATTATATATGCAAAATCTAAACATCCTGAAATATGATATGTTAAAGAGATTTTCAGTAGTGCTACTCAACCTGCACCTGCAGTGGTGCTCTGCACTCTGGAAGATCGAGGTTTGCTGACAGTCTGTCTTGTAATTGCCTTCTGTACTTGCAAGACAGTTTGTATCTGATGTCTGTGACTCACACAGGAAGTGAGACCTGCTCCAGATGACAGCCAACTCCAACTGCATTATTGCTACAGGCAATATGCTACACAGTGTATACTGATACAGGCTAGCACTATAGTTTTTGTACTGGCTACATCTGATCTTCATCTGTGCTGCCTGGGTGGAGGGTAGCTGGGAGGAAATAGCTCCTATATGGCTCTACTTTCCTCTCAGGAGGAATCTATTTGTTGCTGTTCATTTCAAGTGAGGTCCGAGGCAAACCAGTATGGATGCAGTTGGGCCAGAGATCTGGGGCAGAACTGAGAAAAAGCTGTCAGCAGTACAAACTCCCCAGGGGAATTTAGGAAGATTAAGTATGTGGGGGTGATGTTGTTTGTTTGTTTTTTATTTGTATGTTTCATATTGGTGTCTGGCATGTTCAAACAATAAACAGTTTCTCTAGTATCTCTCAGATCCTGAGGAGGGTGACCAGAGCATGGAGTAGGGGCTGCCTGCTCCCATTCTCTTTAATGTATGCAGAGAAGGCTGTGCAGCACTGCTAACAGTTGCAGTCCAGCTGTCCCTTTTCACAACCAGGATAAAATGAATAAGAAAGAGGATAGTTGCATTCTGTGGCTTTTCCTTCAATGCTTAAAGCCTGTGTGGGAACTGGTATTGAAAGGTGCATTGCTGAGGCCAGCCTTTGAGCAGAGGACTCTTCTAGAAAAGGAATGTTCTAGTTTATATCCCATATTTAATAGGGTGTCATCTGGGAGATACAGTCAAGCCTAAGGCATGTCTCAGATACAGAACACGCAGTGTTTGGCATTTTATGTTTTTTCTTTTTCAGTTTATCAGGTATGAGTGGGAGACTTGTGTGTGTGTGTGTACCACAGGACTGGTTAATTCTGTGTGTGTATATATATATGTATGTATATTTGCATGTATGTATATTCTGTCTTCAAAAGTCAAATTCTACACGGGCAGTGTAAAAAGTGCTTCTTCAACATGTAAGTGTGTTGTTCACTGTAAAACTGACTTTTGAATCCGCAGGCATACTTGTGGCGGAAGCATTTGAGCATGCCCCTGCTATTCAGACAGCAAGCCTGAGAATGTACATCAAGACAAACTTGTTTCTTTTCATCTTTGCCCTTGGGTTTTACCTAGTCCTCAAGCTTCTTGATATTGACTTGTTATGGTCTGTTCCAAAGGCCAAGAAGTGGTGTGCCAATCCAGACTGGATAAACATCGACACTACTCCATTTGCTGGACTGGTGAGGAATTTAGGTGCACTCTTTGGCCTAGGTCTCGGTATTAATTCTGAAATGTTCATCGCAAGCTGCAAAGGTAAAAATAGCTGTAAGATAAGCTTCCGCATATTGTGTATAGCTGCTTCTTTAGCAACGCTGCAGCTGTATAACGTTGTTAAGATACCTACTCATACTGAGTGTTTGTTTTACATTCTCTCTTTTTGTAAGAGTGCAGCTATGCCTCTGACTGTAGTTGCCTTGGTTCCATACTGTGTCCACTCATTAATGAGGACAACTGAAAAGAAACTTAATTAGATAAGTTTTTGAAATGGTTGGCAATGTAAGGATGGATATGAGCTGTTCAAGAACCCTCTGCAAAGACAGTTCTGCTAACTCATTTTATCCAAGGGAGATGCCACTGCATCTTTGATGTGTTCTTGGTAAGTAGCCAGTGTATCTAACATCTGCACATTCAGGAGTGATTTTGGCAGCTCAAAAACGTTAAGTAGCTGCTGACTTTATTCTTAGAAATATTGTAATGAAGGATACTGCAGTATGGTTTTCTAACAATACTCTGAGTCATGCTGAAGTTTTAAAGTATAATTGAATAGTTTCATTTAGCTACTTGGTGGTCTTTTAGTTCTGTCCACAAACTAGATGGTGCTTCAGTTGTATATAGTGATATTCAATATTTTTGATTTTTTATAGAGATACTGTGTGCTAAACTGCTAGCTAAGGGTGTGACAGTATTATACCACCTACAACTGTACAGCTGGCCCTATGAACTGTGAAAAGGCCAACATAATTTTAAGAAAAGCTTTCTATAGGCTTAACTTATTGAGCTTCCTGAGCAAAACAGCTTCTGATTAAGCCTGATGAGGAAAAAAATTTAAGTTTGTCTCAATTAGACTCTGTAGAATATATCATTGTATTACTGTGGTTTTGTCATTTTTACTTTTTAAAAATGTCATATAAATCATGAATGCTAATTATTATACCTTTGATGTTGAAAATGCATGTGTATGATGTGGAAAATATTTGAGTCCTCTACTATACAGAATAACAAATGAAGAAAGTTATCAATCATGAAATTATCTTGGCATATTCCCTCAAGATTGTTGTTCATGCTTCTGTACCGCAAAGGTAAATTAGTCTAATTCTCTCAGTTTGAAAGTCACAAGCCTGAATCAGTTAGTGGTTGTGTAAATCAAGAAAATGAAATTGCAGAGTAAATCATTGCAAATTTATATTCTTGTATGCTTAGTTTATTTAAGCACAGGAGTAACTAATATTTTAAATATGTTTGTTATATAAAACTAATGCTCTAAATATATACATGGTCAGATATTTTTCCCTTTTTATTCATTATTTAGCACCTATTGTTGCATATTCTCTTTCACTGCACAATTTCTAAGCACTACTTTCCTTATAGTACTGAGTATATGTGCAATGTAAGGTTATAACAATATCTGTAATTAGGGCTGTCTATGTGTGATCTGGTAACAAGGCTTAGAAGATGTAAGCATACTATTGCTTTTAGACTTCCAATTAGTGCTGGGATGACAGAAATGTGAAGAATCTCATTTAATTAGGAAAACAAGCTGAATAATTTTGGGTTGGCCCTTGGGAATGCACGTGATACAAATGACAGAGGCAAACAGAATCATTGAGGTTGGAAACGACCTCTAAGATCATCTAGTCCAATCTTTAACCTAACAGTGCCAACATGAAACAAGCTCTAATGATTAAAGCAGACAGCCAATAACGCAGCTTCCTTACTCATTTTCAGTTAAGGATTAAATAGAATACGCTTCTTTAGAAAAAAAATAGCACTTTGATGTTGATTATGTGATTTCACTAGGTTCTGATAAAGAAATGCTATTACTGAAATTGTGTGAAAGCTGAAATTGTTTTGTTTTTTGTTGCCTGGAATTATTTGAGTTTCAGCAGTTGGTACAGTAGTTGCACAGTTTTGTAAGAAACTCCATTATGGTGTGGCTTGTTACAAAGTGGGAAAACTGCCCCACCACCCCCTGTAAGTTGCAGAATGACTTTGCCAGTAACAATCTATTGCTGCAAATTATGATTTAAATTTTAGTACTGTAATTTGGACTTTGTCTCCAAGTTCCCAGTTCCTAAAGGAAAGAGGCCCTTGTCCAGCAGACAATACCCAGTAACATATTCCAGAGAAACATGCAGTAGACCTTAAAACAAACTGTTCCAGATACAAGCTTCAGTCAAAGGTAATTCCTGATCTTTGTTATTCTTGAATGAACTGTTGTTGTATTTATCAACTCTGCCTAATATAAACAAGTAGCTAATTAAGGCTTTTTTTTTTTTTTTTTTTTTTTACTTTTATTGATTATACTTTTGGTATCTAAAAATACTTCCCGAAGGCATTGTCATGCCTTCTGAAAAACACAGAAAACACATTATCCATCACCATCTCAACAGAAGTGAGTTAAATAACTGTGCTGATTAACTGTAGAATTTTACATTGATTTAACTAAAGCATTTATTCATTTTTAAAATCTATTTGACACCTTTGAGTGGTGAGAGCAGGAGAACTGAGTCTTACCGCTTTCTGTTCCTCTTTGATTTTTCTTTCCTTAGTGTTGTGAAGCTGCTGCCTTCTTTGTGAGTACTTACTGGTTTTATTGGAAGGGTTACTGGTATGTCAAGCTGAGGGCTCCAGCATGTTAGCACTGCATGCAGTGGAAACCCAGCCTCCCCCAACAACACAGCTGAAATAGGCATGGCAGGGAAGGGTCAAGGTTTCGCACATGTAGCTGTTGTAATCCTCTGCAGAGCCGAACATCAGGAGATATTTGAACCGAACATCAGGAGATATTTGAACCTTTCAATAATACCACATCATGCTTTGGATTGTTTTTTTATTCATACAGCTCACCTAGAGAGAAGTGGCAGTTTCCAGAACACCAGACTGGAGTCTTCCTTGATTGCTAGTTGTGAGGAAGGACAGGACTGTGCAGTCTGACTGGGGCTGGTGGCAATTCCCCAGCTCAGCAAAGATCTTTTCATTTTTGGGCTTGCTTTCCTTTTCACTTAGCAGTGGGCTAAGCTGCTTCCTGCATGCATCAGCCTATGCGTAGTCCTCAAAGCACGAAAGGGTACCCGCATACGCCTACCCCCTGCAGACTATTTGTTTAGAGAAAGAAAAAATCTGAAACTTAGTATCACAGCAGTTCAGCTAATCGGGGCTCCAGTGGTAACAAGCTTATAATACGCTCCTTCCATGGCCATCAGTTCGTCATGGGTGCCCCTTTCGATGATGGTTCCTTGCGACATCACGGCGATGATGTCAGCATTCTGGATTGTGGACAAGCGGTGAGCAATGACGATGCAGGTACGCCCTTCTCTGGCCTTATCCAGTGCGGCTTGTACAGTCTGAAGGCAACAAAGTGGGAATGGCAAATCAGGTTGGGGCTCAGAGCTGGAGAAGGCTGATTGCTTCAAACTCATTAACTATATTGTGCAATACTTGTACAAGTGACTACAAAGCTAAATTGAAGGTTATGTTATTGGTGTGCTTAGCTGGGTCATGAACTTAATCTAGTAGCAGTACAAAGCAGGGACAGATAAGTATACCGAGGAGTAGAAATTAAACGGTAAGGAAGGCGTATTTCAGCTGTCACATTGAATGTTAGCTCAGCCTGGATATGCTTCTAAATTTCTAACATTTGTCTAATCTGAGTGTAACCAAGCTATGCAAACTATTGCCCAAGCTCTTAGGCCCCACAGTGTTTTTCTTCTGTGCAAAAGCTATATTTATTGAAGATTCCCACTGAATGCTTTGAAATCCAGGGAATTAATATGTACAGTACTTTAAAAGTGCTGCCTCTCATCAGCAGTCTTAACAGCCCCTGTAGCTTGCTGTTGTGTTTATGGCTATGCTTCTAGATCTTTCAAAAAGATCGTTAAAGGTATAAGTGCTGAATTAACAGTGGTGAATACTTTTGCGGTGATGTGGTTTTTGTACAGCAGGATGTCTCTGAAGAACAGAAAAAGGTACTGTACAGCCTAAGCCATTGCATTAATTTTGCCTTATTTCTGATCACTTCAAACTTACCTTTTCACTTTCTGTATCTAAGGCAGATGTAGCTTCATCTAGTAATAAAATTTTAGGATCTCGTATGATGGCCCTCGCTATAGCGATGCGTTGCTTTTGCCCACGAGACATCTGGGATCCTTGTGCCCCAACATTAGTTTCATATTTCTGAAAAACATATGAAAAGGGAGATTTTTATCTAGGTGTAAATAATATGTAAGTACACAAACTGAAGGAGCAGCAGGAGAGGCAAGAGCTCTGACCATTGCTGTCTCCTCCTTAAAGAACCCAGCAAGGCAAAAATACTCTGGGAGTAATACAGTGTTCAGGGAGACATCTTTGAACCATGTGTTTCAGTATGCTGACAGACCTGGAAGAAAATTTAATGGTAAGATGATGGCTGATTTGTCTGATGAAAAAGATCCCCCAACCTAGATTTGGGTAAGAGGCTAAAAGTGATTGAAGGGCTCATTGGACAAGTGCTTTGTTTGGGTGCCTAAATTGTATTCATACCTTTTGTATTCTTACAATTTATGTCTATATCATTTCTGTGCATTTGAATACTTCCTAAGTGAACGTGAGCAGCCAGTTTCAAAAATTCTGATTTAGGGCATCATGCTCTAATTGCAAGGCAACACTCCCACAGCTGGGAACAGGAACTGTATTTCCTGACTCGGTATAATGCTTTGACTGCTGAACTGTGCTTCCTCTTCTTTCTTGTCAGTTGACAAGAAAATCTTCTGTTTTCTCCTAACTCAGAATTATACGTGTTATTTTCAGTTTTGTAAATATTTGCCTCTTGAGTAAGAACACAGGGACAGCTCACACCTAAGCTCTCAGGAACAAAAGGAGGCTTCTTTGCTCCTACTGGTCTAGCTGTAAAAGCAAGATAAAAAGAATTCACTTCAGCAACTGCAACTGGTTTTGGTGAGCCTCCCTCCAGTGAATGCTGAGCAGCCTGTCCAAGACCCACAGCCAAGCATCAGTTGTACTTACTTCAGGAAGTGACATGACAAAGTCATGCAGCTGAGCTTTCTGGGCTGCTTCTATGACTTTTTCCATCGTTGTGTCTTTGCTGTTACTGCCATATTTAATATTATCAGCAATGCTGCAGTCAAATAGCACAGGCTCCTGGGACACCACTCCAATTTTTGATCTAAGAAACTGTACATTTACTTTCTTGGTGTCATGTCCATCTATTAACTAGAAGGAAAAAGGAGAAAACATGAAATGTAATTCCAAAACAATCTGCAAAGCCCAAATAGTTTACAGCAGAACTAAATGATGTAGCCATATTACTTATACTTTAATAATTCGTAATTTAGTAAGAATCTGCTTATGCTTCTTTTTGTATGATGAATAGTTTCTGTGTCTGTGATCCAACCAAACACTAAACCATTTGCTTGATCTTAACTCCAACTAAATTATTTAATTGCTTAAGGTTAGGCACATGATTTGTTGCTTTGCTGGCATAGTGATCACAAGACTTAATTTTTTGCAAAGATCTCAGACTGGATGATTAAGTATTTACAGAAGAAAAAGTTATAAAGGTTTTTTAAGCTATCAGTAATTGAATAACTGGAAGATAAACCTAGACAAATGCAACCCACAAAGAAGCTGCACGCTGAGGCTATATATTTAGTGATGTTCCAGATTCTCTGTTGCTTCAGTCAGGCTTGATTCTTGCTTGTGCGCCCACAATGTCAACCACACATTACGTGTTCCATACAGGAGCTACCACAGTGAATGCCTGTGGCCTGCATAATGTGAGACAGCAACTGAGGTTTACAGTAGTCTCCTTTTGCCTGAATACATTGGAGTTGATACTCAGGGAGTTGTCTGAACAGTCTTCATTTTTCTGAGAAGCTGAAAACCCAACTACATATGCGTACTACCTTAGTGAGGTTGCACAGTAGGACACATTTGGAGGAGTCCTTGTAGCATTGCTGGAAACAACAGTACACAAATCATGCTTGCTTTGCTTACCACACTTCCTTTCTCAGGGTCATAGAAACGCTCCAGAAGCTGGACACTGGTGCTCTTTCCACAGCCACTACTTCCAACAAATGCCAAAGTCTGGCCAGGCTTCACAGCCACAGAGAGTCCTTTCAGGACCTGAATATCGGGCCGAGAAGGGTATGTGAATTTACAGTTAAGAAATTCAATGCTTCCCTTGAAATCATCCTAGAGAAAAAATAAGAAAGACACTGCAATGAGTTCAAGCTTGAAACTGAGTCATAAAGTACAAAATAACTCTTCCTCTAATTCCATTCTTGCATCTGTCATTTAAAATTTGATATTAGTGCTTATGAAATCAGCCCAGAAAGAGGGATTAGAAATTTACTGGTGTAGCTGTTCTACAGATGGTCAGTAGTCGTCACACTATTGCTCTACTGATGTGGCCCTGTACTACACCAGCCAGAGGTACCAATTGGAAGTGGGATCATCTGGCAAATTGGTAAGTTAGTTATTTTAATACAGATACTGTTTAAATACATATTTGGTGATCATGCAAACACATCTATGCAGAATGCTTTAAAAATATCAACTGAACTTTGTAAGATTAAAAACATAGAGGAAATCTGGTCAGTTTTCGAACTTTCTCAGAATTGAAAACTTACTAAATTCTTAAAGGAATCAAGATACCCTATTTTTACGGTCTGAGCAAAGTATTTAATATACTTGTGACAATTACTTTAAAAATTACTTAATTCTGGAAAAAGTTATAGTTTTTTGAATTTGCTGAGTCTGAGTTTTCCATTGACCAAAAATAAAGCGTTTTGCCTCATTCCAAGATGACTCTCCTTCTCAAAAGCAACCTCAAGTTTTTGATATAAACTTTAAAAAAATATATACAAGTTAGTTATAATTTGTTTTATATGTGAACTTTGGAACAGAAAGCAAAAGTGTGCTATTCTGTGACTCATCCCAATTACTCCTATTCTAATTTACAGGAGTTTTACCAAACACATTCCTAACAGTTATTCATAACAATTCCAAATTCCTAATAACAAATTCCTAATATTTACCCAAACAAATTCTTAATCGGAATTTGTATTAGGAATTTGTTTCAAACAACTTCCCCACCCTCATTGCTTTTTAAATTGTTACTGCAACTTCAATGCTTATATTGAGCTGAGCAACATCTCAAATTACTTATCTGTTTCCACTCTTACCCATTTTTCCCCTTTTTCACTGTAAACACTGATTTCAGGAACCCGATCAATTAGTTGAAAAAAACGTGCAGCAGATGTTTTGGCTTTGGCATAGTTCGGGGTGTAGGAAGAAGCTCTTCCCAAAGCAGTCCCACTGGTCACAATAGCAGAGATCACCCTGCAGGGAAGGGGAACACGATCAGTTGTGGGAAGCTGTAGGGAAACTGCGTGCTCCACCCAGACCAGCACAGCTGGAGAGGAGCCTGGGTCTGGCTCCAGGCACGCTCCTACCTGAAGACAAAGCTGTAATGGAGTCCTTCAGTGTCAACCAGAAACCCTCCGTATCTGTAAGAGACGGAGTTGGCAATGAACACTATGCTCTGGGCAAAGCCAAAGGAGATTCCATAAACGTTTGCTTTTTTGATTGCAGCTCTGTAAGGCATAACCAGGTTCTTCTCAAAAGTGTCAATAAACATTTTCTCTTTCCCTATCCCAGCTACAGTTCTGATGTTAGAAAGGGCTTCACTGGAAATCTGGAGGAGAAAAAACAATTATGAGTACGATTTCCTAATTTTTACTTAGAAAAGTAGTGCTGCTCTTTCACAAATGCATGGCATTAATCATATATAAGCTTATTGAAATACGATACAGACTGGCCAAATATTGGAAACCTAAAGAGAAACTTTACATAAACCAGATCTGTACTACCATCCTCAGTAGCAATGCTCTGCTCCATTAAAGCTAAGTTACTGTAAGTACACTTACAAAATCAGGTATGTGCTCTACTTGTGACTTTTTTTATGTAGTGAGAATAAATGTATCCAACAAAAAAGTTTTATGAACACTATTATTTCCTTGATTACATGTATTTATTAATTAAGCATGTATATTTCAATTACGCTACTTAATTACTTATACCAGTAATCAAGGAAACAGGTAGACAGGTCGCTATGCCCAACTTCTGTTTCATAAATTAAAAGCACTTGATTGTGCTGTCTTTCCATTCCATCTCAACCCTTACTGTTTCTCTTATATCCAAACAAGCCTGATGCGATGGAACCTATAAAGGGAAGGTGATATTTTGACTCTAGTACCAGTGACATGAGGATTTTACCTTGCACATAGACAAAAAGTAAGCAAGTTCTTGTAACATGGGAAACTGAGATAATCCCCATGATCCTTCCCTAAGCTGGAAACCTCTCTGGAGCCTTAACTACTAGTTAATTTTAGGTTTTCTATTATATTTGTTTCCAGTCAAAATTTGAGATTTTATCCCCAAAACAGCACTACAGTTTCATCTATAGGAGTAAATTTACAGTTTGAGCCAAGTTTCACTGTACTTATCTCAAGTAATTTTATTTGGAAGTTGGTTTAATAACACTATAGTTTGTCTGGAGTTTGATAGTCATTTCAGGGTGTGACGCTTCCCTATGTAAACAGCTTATGGCTGTTTTCAGAACATACAAAGAGATCCAACTATAAATCATTACAAAGTATTCCATTCAATTTCAGGGTATTTTTTTCTGGCCAAACTTAAGGGTCAGATCTGTTGCATTATCACATAATGTGAATGTACAGATAGGTACGGTAAATTTGATTGTTCAGACTGGACTCTTCCATGTTTAGCAGTCTCTATGGATCACTTCCTCACATCACCTGTCTTCTAACTCCCCTGTATTTATGATGCAGTTTGGTTTCTGCACTGTTGAACTAGGTATATTCAAAAGGGATCAGGCTCTGAGTGATGTGCCAGAACTCAGCAGCCCTGAACTCAACTCAAAAGAAGTTGTTTGTTCCAAAGGCAGCAGGCCTGCCCACATTACACACAGTAAATATTTTTGTAGCTAGGGAGTTCCCAGTGGCATTTCAGTATTTTTACAAGCTGAAATTTTGCAACTTATTTGCAAAAAAATGTAAGTTTCATTACATTTGAATTGCTGATGGTCTCAAATTCCCTGCTTTTCAACTGCAAAATAAGAATTGGTTGCAAATACAGTTTTTAAATAACTTTACCCGTCCAGTAGCTTCCAGAGCCTTCTTGTCCTGAGCAGCAAATCCTGTCAGCATTTTAGCCTGCACAGCTCCAGACAAGGCCAAAAAGGGCAGGAAACACATTATGACTAAACTCAGTTTCCAGCTGAAGTAGAAAGCAATAATGATGGCCACCCCGATATTGGTAAAGGAATTGACGATCATTCCTATCTGTGATCCAGTTGCCTTCAAATAAAATAATAAAAAAAAAAGATACGATTGACTTGTGTTCCATTAGTAACTTCAATAATCTTTAAATAATTCTTCCTATAAAACTTTACAAATCTGTAAATCATATTAAAATATGCTCTGAAGAGGCTTGCAGATAGTTTCTCTGAATCTATGGAAATTCCTGCTGACGGGGGTTTGGGAGCCACTTCTCTCGTTTGCCTTTTAAATTCTTAAAATGTCCTGAATTAGTAGTTTAAAAAAACAAATCCACTATCTTCAGTCATGCTGAATCAGGCCAATTATTTGTAACAGAAACATCTGTATGTTTCCTTTATTTCAAGAAAATTACTTGCACTGGGGCCAAGTAAAATGGTGTCTGACTTAATGTCTAACAAAGCATCAGTTCAGATAGGTAGTGTGCTGACAGTTCAGCATGATTTAATCTTCATCCCCTAAGGAACACAGCACATGGGGATAGTGGTTCACTTTCCCAAATAGTAAATCCCACTGAAATGGGCTGCATGGATCCCTGGCTAGTGCACCTTCCAGTATTGTTAAATGGTTTTCCACTGGACTGTCAGTTTAAATCAAACCTGTCACAAACAGCAAGAACAATACCATGCCAAACACTCAAAAACATGATTACTGGTCAATGTTGCTAAAATATGAATCTGACATTTTTGAAATAAACACACAAACATTGTGGCAAAAAGCTAATTCATCTTCAGAAAAAAAAAAATCAATGAAAGTTCTTGGATGTTCCTCCTGGTTCCACTTAATTGGTATTAATTTCATTGATTTTTGTGGTTTTTGTTTTGGTAATACAGACACAAACAATGTAAATGGTGATCCTAGTTGTAATTTTAGCTAAATACAGTGATAGTTGTTCCAAGTTCACAGTCTATGATAAACAGAAAAAGCTTAATTGGCTGACCAGCAACAGATCTACACTGACTTTGCCTTTTGCATGCTAGTTAATGTCTGTGATGATGTGCCAAAATAGGCCTATAGTACAACTATACTATAATCTGTGCCTACAGTAAAACAGTGTTCAAGTCTTACCCCTTGGACTTGTGATGCATCTGTTGCAAGTCTTGTGGTCAGGGCACCAGGGCTGTTCCTCCGGTCATCAAACCAGCCAATGTCTTGCCCTAGCATTGCCCGGAAACCAATTTTCCTTAAGCGTCTTGTAAGCAGCTCACCAGACTTGGCGAAGGTGTATCCCTGTAGTTCAAGACAATAAACAAAAATTTTGTACAGGAAGAGATACACACAGAGTAAGAGATCAGAAATAAATTTACTTACATTGCACTGGTATTACCTGTAAAAACTGTGTAAAAAATGAAAGAAGTCCAATCAAGACAAAGAGCAGGCAGACACCATTGATCTGTGTTTTTTGTTCTTCTTCATCAAGAATGGAGAAGGTCTTTGAAAGAAATGCATGGTATAATATTAGAAGTGTCAGTTTAGGTACAGGTAAAGAAGGAAGGACAACACCAAAGGAAGTCCCCAGCTGAGCCCAAGAGACAGGACCACATCTGGCTTCTACGGCTCAAGGACAGGCAACCTGGGTGCACACTACTCTTCTCTGGCTCAGTCTGTCCAGAAGGAGAGAGGACAACAGGAAATGTTATTCTGCTGCCTTTGGGCAGAAGTGTGTCTCCAGGAGGAGAAGCATCTGTGTGTTCATCCCTGTTTCCAGAACCATTAATTCACAACTTATTGTCAAATGCAGAAGCCCTGCCTAGAACCAAAGCCGTAACACAGGGCTCTCCCTCACCTCTAGTAAATGCCAACTTACTTCCCTACGGTAAGCCTGGGTACAGCATACTACTGTTAATCAACAAGTTTATTATATTCAGCATCTACATAGACTGAGATTATTTGCTGTCCGTGCATAGTTATAATTATCAACCACATCCTTCTCCCCCCAGTATTGGCCGATAACCAGAACAGCAATAAAATAAATAATGCAGGGACAAAGCGACACTGCAGCATCTTCCTGACCTCTCTAATCTATGACAATTTGAACCTTACAAGGCCATACGAAATGAAGAACTCATAAGTCATTACACTTTAGGATGACTCTACTTGCACAACACTAATGCTGTTATAATTGCTGTAAGCAGGCTTCAAGAGGAACCTATTGTCTTCTACTGAAGGACTGTGGATATGTGTTTATTGCTGAGTACTTAAGAAAAAGCATTAGAGCTTAAAGTACAGCCCCTCCATCCTGCGCCGCTGCAACCTCCATTAATTTTTTCTTTTATCTGGTGTTATTTATATCTGGTCTTCTTCAACAACAGCTGGTGTTACTGGCTGCTGCTCAAGTAGTGGTACAAATCTAAGAAGCCATCTTTTAGCAATTACTTACACTCACATCTGTTGATATGTAGCTCAGTTAACTTACCTGCAGTTGTTGAACTACTGCTACTCACAGGTATAAGCCACAGTTTATGTTTGTACTTCTCTGCTAATATTAAATTCATTCTAATTGGATTTCACAGGTAAGAACTGTGATAAACTGCCTCACCTCTCAACTTCTCAGCCTGCTCTCTATGTAGTTAAATTGTGCATTTGAGCTTCACTTAGATCAAAACTATCTTAAACTCTTCTAGGTTAGTAGCTAACATTAGAAAGAGAATAAGAAATTTTCATTACAGCTGCAACGTACAAAATTTCCACAAAAATAAACTTAATTCCTATCTTAAAAGGTCAACCCAAGTTATTTAGTGTTCAAAGCAATCCATACATTAAAGTAACAGTGAGGAATTAGAGCCTGAATTTGAGAAAAAGAAATAGCTGTTCTCTATTGGGAATTCTACTTTGTACATAAGTACCTTGGCAGCAAAATAAATCCTGCAAAATCCAGAATGATAATATCTAAACAGCACTTAGCAATGCAAGCTAACGTCTGCTCCAGTGCCGTGCTGTGATACTCCTTTTCAGTAGCAAGGGATATTACTTTCTCAGACTAATCTTTGTTTGAAGAAAGTCACCAGAAATGCTTTGATGCAAAACTCTTAATTTAATCCTTCACAATAAGAACAAAACAAAATAGTCTGCTGCTTTTCCTATCCCCTTAGTGAAATCCACTGTAGCTTCAGTAGTTTCTGTTTCATCCTGAATTGAACAGGTTGTGACCAACTTTCAACTGTCTTTGTAACTTACATATCTAGAAAAGATACAGCATAGTTTTCTTTCCATCACATGTTCTAGTTAAACAATTGGACCGAATGAAAAATAACAAAGGTGAATGGATGAACTGTGAACAGATAAACTGTGTCCTGCAAGAATTCTGGATTCGAGTATTGTTGTAACAGTATGTTAGTATCACCATGGTATGCACTATCTAGACAGGAAGGTAAAATGCACTTCATTGTAACAGTCATGTCACATACATTGTTAGTGTAACACATAACCAGCAGAGTAACTACTCATCATCGCATACATTTGTTAATGTGTATGTGATATTAATTATAGTCCTATGGTACTGTTTCTGGTCTCCAGGCTGAACAACCCCAACTCCCTTGGCCAGTCCTTCAGAGGACAGTTGATGCAGCCCTCTGATCATCTTTGTGGCCCTCCTCAGGACTTGTTCTAATATGTCCATGTCCTTCTTGTGCTGGGGGCCTTAGAGTTGAATGCAGCATTCCAGGATAACATTGTTTGGAAAGAGATCTCTTTACTGCAAACAGTTGGAACACACCTTCCAGCTGAGCTTCGCTAGCACATGATTTCCCATACTCAGACAGTTCCACAATGGGAACCAAAGCACAGAAAGAAGAAACAACTGAGAAACGTGTTTCACAAGTACACTTCTGATCTGAACTGAACAGCTAAAAAGACATATCCAGTGTTATCCAGATCTTCACTGACTTTTGGGGACTAATTTCTGAGCACCTTCAAGGCAGACTCTCCTAAATTTACTCTGATTTTATAGCTGTGGGGATTTTTCCCCTCACTTCTCCAGTGTATTGCTCCCAGAGTACAAGCCTACATGTCTGTCACAACATCACTGCAGATAGTCAAACAGCTTGGAAAGCAGATGCATGTTCCATCTGCCTGCCTTCCTTGGCAGCAGACAGAAATTTCTTAAATGTATGAATAATAAAACACAGATGTTGGACTTTGCTCATGTTGGCTGTGGCTTGTTTTTTCTTGGAGCCTCTTTCTTTCCATGAACTCAGACCTTCAAGAGGAGGAATGCATCCTTGGCTGTAAAGGCATTCAGCATCTTGAAGGATGACTTGAGGCCCTGACCTCCCAGTGTTTAGAAAACCCAGCTCTCAGAAGGAGTTAAAGGTTAGATTCATTGCAGACTACACAAAGCAGTGCCTCACCTGCTGCCTAGTGAAATTCACAGCCCTTGGCATGAGGTCTAGACACTAACAAGTGTTTGGAGACAGCAGACCTGAGGCTAAAAGGCTATAGCATATTGGCCAGGAGCCACTAACTGGACCACCAGGGACAGCCTTAACAACTTCCTGGAGAGAAACACCAAAGCCAAAACACCCACCTACCCCACCGCACCCCACAGAAAACAACAGTGAAACCTCCAGTTTCTAGAAGCATGTCTACCCCTTAGATCCTGCGTTCTTTGTACAGATACCTAACATGACCTAAACAAATAAATGGGGATTGCAACGCAAGTTTTACCCTCTCTCTGATAGTTACCTGAACCACTAAACCATACTAGCATTTCCATTTTATTCCCAGTGAATTTGTCATTACTTTACTCAATAGGAAACAACACAAATCCTCTTGATTCTTGACAATTTAGGGCACTTTCCTGGGCATTGGTTACAGCAATGCTGAATTCCTTCAGCAGCCCTCTAGTTTCCAACTAACTTGGAAAATGTTTTCCCCAAAAAACTGTTTTACAAAAGGAGGAAGCATCCTCTCTTTCTATTCCAGCAAGTGTTTGAAGGAAGAAACAGACACAAGCTCTTGAAAAGTTTCAAGTGAGGCTTGCTGGTAACACATTCCTTAGTGAATGACAAGGTTTAAAAACACATTCCTCTTTCCTGCTTCTTACATACTTGTTGATGCAAGTCTACTTTCTGCTGGCAGGTATGAAACCTGTTACAATGATCTGTCTCTCCCTGGGCATTCTGCAGGGAGCAGACAGCAAGGAGCTGAATGTTCCAGTAATGAAATATGAAGAAAAATGTGAAGTATTTAGGGGGTCCAAAGCTTTCTTAAAGGCTTGACCAAGGCTGCAGAATGAAATGCTGCATGGAGGGATTTCTGCAGGTGTCCCTCCTCACCATACCTGGATGCAAGGTATAGCTTGTCTCACGTAAAATAAACCCTGTGTGTGTGCAGAAAACCACCACCAACAGCTCCTGGAAAGTGAACATGAGAGATAATGAAGCACACATGACAAATGCTAATAAGCCTGCCCCATCAAAGAGCTCAAATGATAGCATGATGACAATGATATAAATATCCCTACTGAATAATTGTTTATAAGCAAGAAGCCTAACCCCATTTGCTTGACAAGATCTAAAGACTCACCCAAAACATGTCAAGTACTGTTTCACAGGTTCCTTCGCTCCCTTCTGCTTAAGAGCTAAAATATACTTCAAAATGTTAGCATTACTTACCCCAAGAATCTGACTGAATAACAAAGCGTAGAGAGGACTGACTGCTCCATTCACAGCTGCTCCCAGAGATCCCAGCACCATGTATGGCCATTCAGAGGCATTGTATTTCAAAATCCTGGTAAATGGTACAGGCTTGATGTCTTCCTCCACAACAACAGGTTCCTGAAAAAAACAGGTTGGATTTATGAAACAAACACATTCTCCCAGTGATGTTCTGCCTATGACAGCAAGATAAATATCATTAACATTGTCAGTTAAATGGCTATGTCCAAGTCCCAAACAGCCGCTCTAGCTTTGTATGGGAAGGGGCAATGATAGGCCTTGGCTGCTGCATGGAGCTCTTTGCAGGGCTAGGGAGTCACAGGAAGGTTACACAAATGACTACTGCTACTGTCCCTGGAGAAAGAGAGACAGATTCATGCCTTATGTAGCTCTACCAATTCCAAATTAAGAGGTTAATTAGGAGCAGACTTTCTGCTACAGAAACTCAGACTGTTCCCAGTCTGCTGTCTCCAGATGATGCATTATGCAGTACTCAATACCAAAACTTATGCTTCTTCCTCACAAGGGGCTTTTTATGTCTCTCCTGGAACGTTCTTAAATATGATTTTACAGCACTGTGGGTAAACACATTGATCAGACTCTGCATCAAATTAATAGGTGTGCAACATAACTAAAATGGAGACGTAAGAGTGAGAGCCAGAGTCGAGCTTTATACGTGCTAATTATGCCTCCCTTTTGTGAAACATCGTCAGACTATGGACAGAATTCCCATAATTACTCCCAGTACCAGCAGAATATTGATCGTCAAATTATAACTTACCCTGCAGTTTGATTTGTGCAGTATTTCTGCAACACTCAGTGTGCTGAACTCTGCCATTCATATGTCTGGAAACGCCCAGACAAAACAGACACTGTAAAGACCCATCTGCTGGAAATGGGCAAGGATGAATGGGTGGAAACTTTTTTTTTTTTTTTTCTCTTCCTTATGAGCTAGTATCAGAGTCACAGCACTAAAGCCACTTATTTATCCACAGAATAGGCTCAGCAATAGCAGGAACAGAGACTTCTAACTGCTGTTTTCTGCACTGAATATCTGTAGCCCTGCAAAGTGGGGCAGGGAGCTTCATAAGCACTTTGGAAACCCACTGTGAGTATTCCTAAAGAACTGGTTCTATCCTGCATGATTTTAACGTGTTTGTTATTTTCTATACTACTTGATTGTGCAAGGACACTTGTCAGTGAAAGGACTCTGGGCCTGTTAGCAGTGAGGATCTCTCTTTACTCACACACTTTCGGCTGATTTTGAGAAGAAATGGAATTTACTCTATTGAACAAGAAGTAGTATCATTTCTATTGCTGAGTGGCTATTACATTTCACAGACTGAGCACCTTGAGCTTTTTTGGTTAATTCAACTTTAATTTATATGCCTTTTAATTAATATGTCTTTTTTAACTTGATCTACAACGTATGTTGTTTTAACAAGAGCTCATGGTCTGCTAGAAATTTTATGTGGAACAATAAGCATGAGGTCCATCAAAATACAGCTTAGAGGATATAGAAGATAAGACTTGAAGTGGTGGTTTTGTTTGAGAAAAGTATCAACCCAAAAAGACATATCTGCCTATAACAGAAACATACATTTACAGGTTCTCATTAACAAGCAATTAAAAGATGTCCTTTTTGGTTGCAATTTAATAATGAACTATTGGACCTGACCTTTTTGGTTTGTCCATCATCTTCTCCATATGAAGACATAAGATACACAGACTCTGCCTGATCTCCTGCAATGGATAATGGAGGGTCGGGGATGACATTGGAGAGCTGAGATCTGGACCGCTGCCGAAGTGAAGCTCTGTGAAGGAGGACAGATATAGTCTGTTCTTCACAGTTCAGTAACATAATACTTGCTCTCAAAGCAAAAACAGTTTTCATAACAACTACATCAGGTTTTCACTGAAGCAAATCATTGGACTCCCACTGACTTCTTTCTTTTCCTGTGTTCTCTCAACTTTTGAGAAGAAAATATGGCACAGAGGGAATAAATACTTTTCAAAATCTTACTCTACCCCAACACTCAGATGTTGTCTTCTGTGTGACCTGCACTGTTTTTTGTTGTGTTTTTTTTGAGGAAAATTATGGTGTATCCTACTACATTTGCATAGGCTATTAAGACATCAAGTCAATTCACCATTATCAAGTAGTTCAGTCCAGAAAAACAGGATGCTGAAAAAATCCAGCTCTCTCCCCACTGAAACATGACCCTGTGATGTAGGAGATACATTCACTTGCATGTCTGACATAGGCTTGCCAGAAAGAAATAATAGACATCTAAGTAGACTGCCTGGCTTTAAAAAGCTTTCACTTTCATCAAGAAGAAGCCTTAATAAAACTGTCCTCACACATTTTATCATTGACCTCTCAATGTCTTTTCTTTAAAAAAAAAAAAAAGTGAATGGATTGAAAGTGCATTAGGCAATATAAATGCATGGCTGTATGATAGTAATATCAAAAATGGAACATCAATATAGAAAGCCAGAACCTTGCAAGAGGGTCCTATGTCTAGAAAGGGGAGTAAAATTAAGTCTTTCTATTTATCCATGGACCTTCAATCATTAATATATTACCCAAGCTCTTGCTTTCCAAGTGGATGGTGTCTCAATGAAATGTTTGAAGCCCTTCCACCCTTTTTTCAAAACGCACAGACCAGTGATTAATTAACATTACTGGGATTATGGAATGGTGGGAGAAATTTAGAAATCCAGAAATACTGAGATTTACATTGATTTTTAAGACTTACCGCAAACTGGCCCGATAGCTTCCTCTGCTGAATGACTGGATTTTCTCAAGATTTGGCTCAATGTTATTCTCTGTTGCTGTAAAATACAGTATATACAGCTCTTTAGTTTGTGCTAAAATTACATACAACTTAAGTCCAGTGTTGATTTGTAAAAAAGTGCAGTCTCCAAGCTATAATTGAAATACTTTGTAGAAGGCAAGGAATGTAGCACCACTTTGCTGCTCATCCTACATATACCCCAGGTTTTAATATTTGTATTTGACAAGATGAAAATAATTGAATATTGGGCCATCTCACTTGGGATGTGAGTGCCGAACGCTGTTTCCCTATTTTGATACTGTAATTGTTCTTTTAAGACAATCATATCCAAGTTATGATGCTTCCAAAAATAAAAAGGTCATTCTACTAGACCTCCATTTCCAGAAGCTTTGATTCAAATCTTCATCTAGTAAAACAAATAGGGTGGTTTCAAAATACTCTGTAATTTGCTTGTACTTCAAATGTGACATGGCTGGACTGTCAGCACAAAATCAAAATATAAAATGGCGGGGTACTGCTGATGAGGATTAATATTTCAGGGCAGATCTATAGAAGGAAGGTTATTCAGTGTACATGCAGTAAAAACCTTTTGGTTAGGGCTATCAATGTATTACTTTGCTGATTGCTAAAAGTCAGTCATTAAGAGGGTGGAGAAAGCAATTAGCCCCATTAAAAAATAATCTATATTTTGTGGAATTCTACATCACTTTGTTAAAGAAAATAAGACACTTACTTTCTGTTGCTGCTCTAGTAAGTGCTGCGTCTCCTTTACTCTGCAAGGTCACCAACATGAAATAAACCCCTTTTCTCTTCATGAGTTCCTCATGAGTTCCTCTCTCCACAGCCCTTCCATGCTCAAATCCAATGATGACATCAGCAGCTTTGATGGTTGACAGGCGGTGAGCTATAGAGATCGATGTGCGGCCGAGGCGAGCCTGACAGGGAACAAAACCAGCCCCAGTCACAGGACAGCAAATGGAAACACTTGGAACCAATGCTCTATCACCTAAAGTTTCTCTAAATCAAAGGCAGTCTTTCATAGCCCACATATTCCCCACAAAAAAAAAAAAAAAAAAAAAAAAAAGGAAACAGACACCTGGGTGTTCATTTTGCCAGCAGTCTAAGCTATGTGGGAACATCTTTTTGCAGTATGAAGGCTGTGAAGGGGCACTGCTGCAGCACTAAGTGAAGGGGCACTGCTGCAGCACTAAGTGTTTTAACTTGGACTCAGCACTAACACTTGTTGGAGTGCAATTATCTCCAGCTTTGCAGAGAAACCCAGACATTTTCAAAGTTCTAGAACAGTCAATTACACATGATGGATCACTGCAATATTCTTTGCTACCAGAGAAGAAGAATTATTCCTGAATGTAGTTCAAGTGTTCTGAATGCATTGCCTTAGCAAAGTCTTTCTTGGATTCATGGACTGAAGTTAGGAAAAATGACCAGGATCGCAAGTGACACCTCTCTACAGACTGTAGATTCTTCTTCAGTCATCTGATAGTTATTGTCTGTGTGTAGCATTCCAATGGCATTAGGAATGGTGTTTGTTTTAGCAAAATTTACATATGAATAAGCTCCCTTTATATTAAATGTAGAGAAAAAATGGCAGCTTTATTTTGACTTATCTTATATATTTACTGTAGAATTAGATGAATCTACCTGGGATCCTATCAATTTTATTGGTCACCTCTCTGAAGGCTAAAAGGAGCTTAGCACAGCTGGTTTGGGAGTAGGGGTCTATGCTGCCAATATTTAGTTTTTTGGATGAATCACATAGTTGACAAGGAAAAGAGTCTTTCTTGGCATGGATAGAATTGGTGAAATCTTGACAGTCCTTAGCATCTTATTACTTACTTCATGCCAAACTCCCCTCATAAGGGGTTTGCTGTGGGACTCAGAACACATGGACTAGATCCTAATTCACACAAAACAAGATGGAGCATAGAGATCCCCAGGATAAGCACTTATCTTTGGAAAAAGGGAACTATCCAGTTGAGGTCCAAATGCAAGAAAAAATATTTCCTGCCAATAATACTAAGGTTCTATTTCTGCATAGGAATACCATTAAAAAAAGGTCTTTACTGCTTTGTTGAAATTTAGCAGCACTGTCTGCAGAATGCATTCAAAATAATTTCTGCCCTTGTAAGTCTAACTTTTGTTATACTATAGCAAACCTTATGAAGCGCTTCTTGGACAATAGCTTCACTTTCATTATCAAGTGCTGAAGTTGCCATATCCAGTAGCAGGATTTTAGGGTTTCGCACAAGGGCTCGGGCAATAGCTATCCTCTGCTTTTGACCTCCACTCATCTGGCTTCCACCCTCTCCAACATGAGTGTCAAATTGCTGAGTAAAGGAAAAAAGAAGAAATTTGTAACGAAGAGGTCTTATTAGAAATCAACGTAGATACTGGTACAATGTCTCTCAGACTTCTCCTGGGAATAACTTAGAAAATTTTTCATTTTTGAAAAAAAAAAAAAAACCATCATTAGTGCACCAAATGCAAAGGAGAGCTGATGAAGTAATTTTCTTCATAATGAACAATGTTGTCTTGCCTGGAGCAAAGTGCCAACCCCAGACCAAAAGCATGTACTGATAAAAAAAAAGAAAGTGCAGTGATCTGTTCTGGCTCAGAACAACTCTATCAGCAAAAGCTGCAATGGAGAGGAAAACACTTGCCTACTCTCCATCAGATGACTCACCAGCAAGCTTTCCAGAGAGCTGGATTTGTCTGCTGATGGCATGTGACTCATGAATACCACGTCTCTGATTCATGATTATCGCACCAGCTTCAGGTAGAGAATTAGATAAACACATACAGCCTAAGATCTAGACAGCCAGAATAATTTATAATTATGTATAATATATATGTGAACTTGGTGAAATCCATATAGTAAGACCTAATTAACTCTGATCTGAGGACAGGTTACTGCCTACTCTCCATTTTAATCTTCTGCCCATCACAAGTGGCTGCATGAGGGGAAAGACACAGAGAATCTCTATTTTTCCATCAAATTTTACTTACAAGGCACAGCATACCTGTGGCAAGTCCATGATAAACCTGTAAGCATTGGCTTGTTTGGCTGCTTTGATTATGTCGTCCATGGTAGCCTCATCCCGACCATAGCGAATGTTCTCTGCAATCGTGGTAGCAAACAGCACTGGCTCTTGCTCAACAATACCAATCTGTGAGCGTAGCCACTGGATATTAAGGGAGCGAATGTCATGGCCATCCAGAGTAATCTACAGAAGCCAAATAAAGCAAGGACAAGCAAAATAAAATTCAAGGACATTATTCCCTTCGGTCCAGAGACAAAGAAAGACACAATAAAAATAAAGGGCTTATGATGTTGTTTTTCTATGCCCATTGTAAAAAACAGCTTTCATACAAGAAACACTACAATGTAGTAGCAGAAGCGTACAACAGCTCTAGTGTGTAGGAGTTGTGCTTTTGATTTCATTTCCCAACACCTCTCTTTTCTTGGTCTCACAAATAAATCCAGGCAGAAAGTACCCATCAAAATTTCTTTATTTAAAGGAATTACAAATTTGAGCATATACAGATGATGTATGTTTTCCATTAGAAAAATGGATTAACTGCTCCATAGAGGGCCAGGCAGAAGAATAAACCATCTGACGTCTCCCTGCAGACACTTTTAAAGACAGGTAGTTACTTTCAAAGGGAGCAATTTCTATTTTTTAGCCTGATCTACTCACAAGGCCTCAAAGTATGTCTGTGTACCTCATTTTCTAGTCCTTATCTTTCATCTGTGTAAATCAAGACCTCTAGCCAAATTTATTCTTTTGTCTCAGTACTGGGGAGGAAGCTAATGAAGGGGAGGCCTTTTTCGTAAAATGCAGACAAGCAAAAGTTTACAAAAATTTTCTTCTTGACAATGGAAAAAGAGAGCTTGTTGTGAACAGCACCATTGTATTTTCATACATTTTCTAGTCTTCAAGATTCCAAAGTACTATTAGGACATATGGTGAAATGTTCTTTGTTAATATTGAAACTTTTGGCATGAAAAACACAAGAAGGAATCACAGAACACACACCCAAATGTAACTGAGTTCTGCATAAGCGAGTTTTGCAGATTATGCTGACACTAAGTTGGTTTTTGTCTCTTATACATTCAAATACAGGTCACCATATGTGTGATTTGTGCCAACTAGGAAAACAGAAAAAGAATGAGACTTAACAGATATAGTTCATATTCTTAGCCAAACTATTATTAAATGGTAATGGCAGATGCTAAATCAGTATTATGGGATAATGATTAAATGTTTAATACTGAGTTTCCCGTAACATAAAATGGTTTGTCACTCCTGAATAATTTTATCTATAGGTACAGATTTTATTCAGGTTGTCACTGATTTTTATTTTTCTCCCAGCAGTTTTTCCCATAATTTTTGATAATATTATCTATTCAGTATTCCCCTGAGAGGGGATTTCACTCATTTCTTTACTGGATTAAAAAAATAAAAAGTTCCTTAAAAAGTTCCTTTCCATCTCAGAGAAGAAACCAAGTCACTCTTTCGAGTCCCTGCGACTAGAGAAATCCCTGCTAGAACAGGACACTCACCATGCCATCAGTGGGGTCATAGAAACGCTGGATGAGCTGTATTGTTGTACTTTTTCCAGCTCCACTAGCTCCAACAAAAGCTGTTGTCTCCCCTGCTTTAATAACCATATTAATGTTATCCAAAATCTGGAAAGAAAAAAGAAAAGAGAAAGAATCTACTCATTCTAATTCTCTCACTGTCATATAGGCAAGCAGCAGGAGGAGATCCATCCTATATTCTTTATCTTTACATGGAGATTCAAAGTAAACATACAAATTTAAATATATATATATATATATATGAAGAAAAAGGAAAAAGAAAACTTTTTTTTTTATGTTGTTTGAAGAGTTCATAAATGCAGAACACAATTTTCCATGACAGGCATCAGATTTTTATCTCTCTTTGTTCCTGTTTTTCGTCATTAAGAACTAGTGAAGCTAATACCATCAGAGAACTTGGTAATAAATCACCTTTAAAGAACAGTCTATATGAATTATGAATGCCTGTTAAAGCATAACTGTTAGGAATGTAAAAGTGAAATTATATAGAATAATCTGATACTTCATATGCTTCTTTGTCTGCCAAATGCACTTTCCAAGGAGGATTTGTCACTTCAAACACAGCAGTAGAGAAATAATGGGCTATACAGCCAGTGCTCCTGTACCTTCTCCTAGATTGTAATGGGTCACGTGATACATCTCCAGGGTAATGGAAGATTTTTAGAAAATTTCCTTGCTCAGTTCAGCTTATTACTTGGTCTCCTATTCTTGCACAAGTTGATAAAAGTGCATAACTGATTGCAAGAGAAGTTGTATGCAGATGAACTTTCTGAAATCTACAAGTTTATGTTCAGCGGCAAAGAATCCATATGGCAACAGATATGTCAGAATGGTAAAACAAAATAATGGTAAATAGAATTACACCATTGATAGAAGAATTATTTACCGCCTACTTTTAAACAGAAGGTCTAGGCTTATGGAAAGCAAACTCTACTGAAAATCCAGAAATTGCTGGCAGGATATATTTTTTATAGTAAAAGTGTTCACAAAAGAGATGATGAATAATTACCTTTACATCAGGTCTGGAGGGATAATGGAATGTTACATTATGAAATTCAATTTCACCTCTTACTTTATCCAGCTTGTAGCCATCTTCTGACATGCAGTCAATGGTGGGTTTCTAGGGCAAAATGTATTGTGTTATTTACATGCTGTTAAGCAGCCAACGCTGTTGCAGTAGATAAATATTCCCAATACCTTACAAAGCCATGGCACCTTTGTTTGAACAGCAATTGGCTGCATTGAACCAGCAGCAGGATCTGCCCCTGGGCTAGCAGGCAAGGAACATGAAGTGAAAGACTAAAGTGATGGGAGAGCTGTCACTGGCAGCTAGTGCAGGCAAAATGAATGCACCCTCTTTTCCTTTTATGCTTACTGCACTCACACAGTCTACTATTCAGCTAGGTTTTGCTGAACAGAATAGTTAGAATGCTTCATGGATGCAGCTAAGTTGATTTAGCTAGCTCCTCATGACTAAAATGGCTACTACTTCACATATAAACACACTCTTACACCACTGGAAAAAAAAAATAATTGCTGAAAACCTACACACTTCATCATTTTACATTTCAAGCATCCATCCCTGTATGCCCTGTCCTAGGAGATGGAATTCTGATTTAAGGTTTTTCCACAAAGTGCTTTGGGTCTCACATATGTTTGGCAAGGCCTTGGGTATTGTGGACCATCAGACATGAGCACAGAACTAAGAAATGAACTAATCCTGCAAATAGGAACTGCAGTATGACCATGTAAGTTTAGTGCCAGAGAAAATCTGTATGAGGGCAGAGCTGAGCTTTTACTATCAAATCACAAACCTAGAAATGCAGCAAGCAGATTGATTAAATTTGTCACCCCTTCCTCTATATGGACAAAATCTCACGTTAGCTTTTTTTTTTTTTTTTTACCCTAAGGTTATCTGACTCAGCCTTATCTTGAATTTTGTGATTAATCATTACTGTTGCAAATCTTTTTTTGCTTTCTAAATTTTTCTCTAAAAACACTTCCCTTATTCATCTCTTTTTCAGTTATCTTAGAGCAAAAGCTTTAGATTATAAAGTGCATTTATAAGGCATCTATGTTATCATTATTATAGAACACTGACGGGTTGTGAAAAAGTCCATTAGCATTACCACAGCTCTTTGAGTTTCTTTATATACCATTATGTGCACTGTAAAGACAAGCAGCATTTTAATGTGTTTACACACTTTTAAATAGGCACAAGCACAGTAAGGCCTGTCAATGACCGGAGATATAAAGTACTGTTAAGAAATCTACAGTGTTCTGTCGGCCACTAAATATATACTGTTAGAGAAGGCATCCTCATGAATAGATGACAACGGCTCTCAGACTTTCTTATGCAAGTTTATTTCAAATATGTATCTGTACAGAGAATATTGTGATGAGCATTTCTGAATGCTGCAAGATCACTGCCTGCACTCATTTGGTCTCCCTTTGACTCAAGGTATAAATCCACCTTTGACACCTAAAGTCAATAGAGACACAACTTTTGACACCATCTTGGGGCTGGGAGCTAGGTGCCTGATCAAAATTTGACTGCAAGGCAACTGATAATGCCTGCCTGTACAATTTCTGTGCACCTGCACTAACCAGGAACCGTATGTGAGTATGAGGTATGGGAGTAAGAAACAGCAGTGGCTGAGGTAAAGCTTCATTAAGGAATCTGTTAGGCAACCTCTCTGAGCGTGTGTGCATGCTGGTAGACTTTTCTATTGCACAGTCAATCTTTCCTCAATTGCTTTCATTTTTCCTCATTTACACTGTGGATAAACTGCAGCTGCTTGAGGCTTGTTTATTTTCCCACCACACAGTGACACAGCTTAGGAATGTGTTACTTACTTTATCTATTGTCTCAAAAATGTCTGTTGCAGCCCCACGGCCAGTGGCAAAGGCTTCTAGGCAGGGAGATGCCTGACCAAGATTTAAAGCTCCTACTAAAACACCAAGGAAAACCTGTAAAAGCAGAAAAAGAGATCAACAAAATCTGACATCAAATCTTTATTACAATTGAGAGTTTAGACAGGCAAATCAAACTATAGTGGCTTAATGAGTTCTTGTGCATCAACTGAGCTGCAGTGACTCACTATGTGAGCATAATTAGCTCACAAAAAAGCAAACAAATGGCTCTTAGAAACAATTTTCATTATCTTTCACAACTTTGCTTCCAGGTTGAACTAAATCAAGTTATCATATTTGCACTGGCCTAAGCATATATGCACTCATATCTTTACTGACTTCTGCTAACGTGTTTTTTGAGCCACCTTACTTCAACTGCATGACTGTGCCTTGAAACAAGGGCTGAAACTGAATGTCAATGGCAAGTAGATTATTTTGGAAATGTCTTTGACCAGTAAGCAGACAGGAGTCTACAACATTTAAAAATATAAAGCATTTAAAAATGTGTTACAGTCTTTGTATATTGCAGTTCCTATCTAAATCAATACTCACAAAACTTACTTCTGGAGCAGGTACCAGCTACAGGGAGTATTTTGGTCTCCCTCTCACAAAGAAGTGTATGGGCTACTACCAATGCTGGATATGCCAGTATATGAGATTATGAAATTATTATTTCAGTTCTCTATTGTGACATCTGGGAACATTTGTCATCTCTTCATAAATGGCCTTAGGTCTTAAGTTGACCGTTTCTGCAGGTAGCACAGATGCTCACTGTTTCAAGCCCTTTCCCAACAACCAAAGGGAAGAGTTACTCACTAGCGACCTTCCTGGAAAAGCCCCACAATGTTCTTTTAGTCTAAGCCTAGGACAACGTGACAAAAAATGAGCCACAGTACCCATTCATCCTGTCAGGACTGACAGAGGACAAATGCAGCTGGACAGAGCATCCAGTATCAGAGGATACTTCAAGAGTCCAACCTTGGATCTTGGCCTTGCAGATCAGAAGCAGGTGAAGCTGGAGCACATCAACCAAAATTTGATAGATTTGATAAAACTTTGTTTGGCCAGGTTCCTCTTTATCACAATGGTTTTATTTTTATCAAAATAAAAGTTCTTCACAGAAGGCAATAACCCAGATGCCACAAGGCAACACACGATATGGGAAAGCTAGTTTCTGATCTCTGTCAGATGTGTACCAGGCTCTCAAATGCAAGCATTATTCTGATCACCGTAGGCAGCATTTTGAAATATTTAAAATATACATGTGTTTTTTTTTTCATCTTATTCAGTTGTGTCATATACTTTCAAACATACTGAGCAGTGACCTTGCAGTAAACAACCAGATACCAGAACATCACAGGTAAGTGTTCTAGAAATGTTTTAAGAAGCAATCCAGAAAAGTTGCAACAAGCTAAAATAGGTACCTGTAGAAGAGTACCAGGTGAATATTCATCTTCTTCAAGGACAAGTTTAGAGCCATACCAAAAGGCTAATGCGTAGCACAGGAAAATTACAAACCACATGTATCCAGTGAATAATCCCATTATTACTCCTTTTCGAATCCCCCAGTGCTGAGCAAACACCAGATTCTTATCGTATCTGTAGAAAAACACAAGTGAATGAAATGAACTTAATAATAAAATTAAAATAAACGAAGACCAACAGAACAAGGTGTCTTCAGTGGCTGACTGTGCTGCAGTGAACACAGGGGCCACGTGAGGTTGATACCTCTCAGTCTGAAGCGAGAGACCCCGACTACTTCTGCTGAAACCAGCAGTGCTACCAGAGTGTGAAACAAGCACAAGAAATACCACACTCACTGCAGATACCCGGCCGAGTGACTGGCAGTTTTAGCAGAGTAGCATGAGATTTGACAATTTGCCCAAAACCTCAGAGGAAGTTCTACAACCATATCATGCTTTAAATGAATTCAAGAGAAAATTGTTTAACATCATCAAATCTTGGTGATGAAAAGCACTGATAAATATTAAGTGTAACTGGGAAAGATATGAGCAGCAATCGGCAATCTTGGCAACAAATGAAGCAAATAGTTTAGATTCAATCATCTAAAATTCACCTTGCCCTTATTTTTTTCTGTTGAGCAAGTACTTCTGAAAACCTAAGACCAGCTAATTACAGGTGTTTTAGGTAGAATTTAGTCCAAATTTGAACCAAATATTCTATTCAATTTTAGAACCCTGTCTCCAGCACCAGGTTAAAGATCAGGTATGTCTGTAAGAAGATGAGGGTGACAATGACAAAGTGTTCGGGTAACTGAGAAAGACATAAGATTGTTTTCGTCTCCCTCAGATATTTTTACCAGTATTTTCATTTAATTAGTTTTAAGTATTTATAATGTTCATTTACTATTGTTAAGTACAGTTTCTGTAACTATCACTGTTACTACTTTCCCTGACATCTTTTAATGAATTTGTATTTTCATGCTCCATATTGCAATATTTAAAATAAAGCAACAAGTAATACACAGGTACATGGCAATGTATGTAAAAACAACAGACAACAATATGTGACGAAACTTTTCTTTCCCAATCCAAGAAGATTTTGTTTTTAATAATACAAACATTCCTACTTTACAGTAGGCACAACAAATACGGGTCTTTGTGGAGGCTATGACACTTGCAACTAGTTTTTTTTTTTACTTAGCTTGAAAGTACCCAAGGTTTTCAGATGTGCTCCAAATTTGCAAGTAAGTTTCTGCAAGTGAGAATGACTGGACGATAGTATTTCTGATGTTTTATTTCACTGATTTAATTATGAAATTGGTTTTGCATAAATAATTCTATTTGAAAACTAAGTTTTTGCAACATACACGCATTTAATTCTCAAAGCTATTTGATGGTCACTGTTTCAGAATTCAGAGACTACTTGAAGTGGATTTCTGAAGTGTATTCCAGTGCTATGTTGCTACAGGAAAAAGAAACCAGAGACTCTTTATAATTTGTCTGAACAAACCTTTCGACCTCTTTCTTCTCCCCACCAAAAGCAGCCACTGTTCTGATGGATGAGAGCACTTCGTCAGCCACAGCCCCAGCTTTTGCATAAGCCTTTAGTTCTCGGCCTGTCAGTTTTGCCACAGCCTATGAAACCATAAGAAATGTTGGTTACAGCTCAACTGTAGGTACAGACACGGACTGCAGTGAGCAGTGCTGATTGCCATGCAGTGCTGCCTGCCCTGCATGAGGTCACTCTGTTAGCAGCTCTGCTCCTAACAGCACACTGCCCACTCAAAGGCTTGTCTTTGTGTTAGGGTATATACCTCTGCAGCATGTTTTGCATAGCAGTTAATCCCATTTGCCAACAGCTCTGCTCCTAACAACTAGAAAGAACACCTCACAACATCTGCTTTCGCTCCCTCCCTTCCTCTCTTGGCTACTGGGTGGGTTATAGCAGACCACAGATTGAGGATGTGTGCACGCTGGGAGGAAGGGTTAGGTTAAGCAGGAAGAACAGCCTTTTAGTCACTTAGCAGACCCAGCCTCAGGAAGAAGAAGCAATGGAACTGATGGGGGAGGATGAAAAAAGATGTTGACCACCACTAAGCTTTGTTTCGTGGGACAACAGTAAGCAGCTTCCTACACAGCATCTCAGAGCATACTGGCTGCTGAAAGATTACTTAGGCTCAAAAAATGCTCACATTCATGGATGAAAATGTTATCGTGGACTGTTGTATAGAAAGCTACTGTATTGGATCAGGAGTTAAATACCCCTGGAAATTGTAAAGCATCATTACTTGTTTGCCCTCTTCAAATACACTACCCTAGACATCTATTAGCCACTCCTAGAGGGGAGAAAAAAAAAAAAAGGCTAAATTGATGGCAGGGATGTTTTCTTTATGGTACAAAACAAAGACTTGGGCTAGTAAGGTTCATAAGGAGGAAATGGATGTAGGTACACGAAAGGAAAGAGATGGGGACAGAGAAAGAAGAATTAAAATTGGGAAAATGACAAACGTAAAGGGGAATGAGGTCAGAAAGAAATTGCAAATGAAGTAAAGATGCATTTTGGAATAAATTTCATTCCCTGCCAGAATGCTGTTCTCCCACTTCACACTGTGTCATTATTCATATCATCTGCTTTGCAGCCAGCACATTGCAAAAGGAGAGCAGGAAGAAACAAAATTTGTCAGAGTTACACTAGAAGTTTGATAGCAAAATGTCAGCAAACTGTTCCTGAGGTAAAGAAGAAAGAGAGCTAGTCAGAGGGCTGATCCCAACCAAGGATCATGAGAGAATGTGGAGGAGGAGCATGGAGAGGAGGTGGCAAGGCAGACGATCCTGTGATTCCCCTCTTCTTCCTGGTTCCTCTGCACACTGACAGGGAGGTACAGGGTGTGGGTGGAGGAGCAGAAAGGAACAACTGGGAGGACACAGCAGCTGCTGGGAGCTGGGACGGCTTGAGGTAAGTCTGAGCAGTTGTTTTTGAAACGTTTTAAAGATCCAAGACTGGGTCATATCTAAAAGCCTAGTCATAGAAATTAAGTCCCACATCTATTAACCATCTAAACCTGGTGTGGAGTAATAATCAGATGCTGTAGGCAAGTCTCCGATTTCAGCAACCATAAAATTCATGCACAGGATCCCATGGAAGCTATGCTAACAATCCCATCTTGGAAGCCGGATATATTGTTCTGGGAATCAGAATACACAAAGTGGGAGTGAAGCTCACACACACACACACACCAGTGCTGCTGTGACCAGAATCTGCCTCTCTTGACTTTAAAGGGATGTAACAGCCTCCACTTTCAGCAAGCCTCCTAGCTCTATGACATGACCTTCCCTGCTCATCACACCTGAATGTGGACCTCTCAGAACGCACTTACCAAGCCATAGATGGCTGCTCCAACCCCGATCAGGGGACTGACTGCAATGATAACAAGGGTCAATTTCCATCCACTGACAAATCCCAGGAGGAATCCACACACAAAGGTGGTTAATCTCTGGATGAAGATTGCCACTTGATCAGCAATAGCCTCGTTAATTTTGTTAACATCACTAGGAGGGAAAAAAAATAATAAGATGGGTGAGCATATCTATCCTTTGTGTTGCTGGTCTTGGCCACATGGGGGTTACTTTTCCTTGGAGAGGGCCCTTTCTCACCCCTGTTCTTTCCATCATTACCCATTCCAAAGACCCTGGGCTACAGTGAGAAAAGCTGTTACCTTTGCAATGCCAGAAGGCACTTATACATGAGTACTACCAAGAAGATAATGTCTTTTCCTAGGAAAAGACATCCCGAGAGCAGTCTCATTCACTATTGTGCCCCAGATGATTCAAAGGAGGGGGCAGAGACATCACAGCTGGAAGCAGCTATTTGATAAAGGAGAACTAGAGTAGCTGATACGGCATTCCTCCCATCAATACAGCGCTAAGTACAGCCTTGCTGAGGGGGTAGGAGGAAGGCTATAACTCTCTTTGTTGTTCCACCTTCCACCACCTCCCAAATCCTCTCTAAACCTTTTCAGTTAGTTTGTTCTTTAAATGAGAGGGAGAGCAGGACAATAGATGACTGCTATGTTATTGCTGGAAGCACTGGGAAAACATGACAGCTGTATCACATGGGGGAGAGTGGCGCGGTGGTTAACATCATTTGAGCCCTACGCAGCTGCACAGTGCATTTGTTCTCACTTATCCACTGCCAATGTAGAAAAAAATGTCTCAAAGCAAAACACTCATTATACTTCTACCACTCTTGGCTACTATCTCACCCCTGAGATTAGAAGAACTAGGAAGTCTTGGAACAAAAATGAGCAAGCAGCACTGACGTTTAAGTTGCAGATTTGTTAGCTCATCGATGTATTAAGTAAGATTACAGTCTTGTATTGAAAACAGGAGAGTGATGAGTTGAAGAACAGGTTCATATTTCTTCTTGAGAACGTTTTGCGTTCAGGAAGCTTTATGTGGGCACAAGATAGTATTGTTCTAACAAACAGAGAACTGGGTGTTATTTATTAGAGAAGTACTGTTCAGTTCATCTTTTTTGTCAGAGAAATTCCTCACAGCCAGTTACACTTGGCATTTACTCCTCATAAAAAGAATACCACATAAAATCATAGACACCACTGGGCAGTGAGTAAAGACAAAAAAATTCCCTTCAACTACACAAAAACCTTTTGCAATCATCCCTACTATTATGCAGGCATGACAGAGAACAGAGAGCCATCTAGAGTTGGCATATTCATCTTGCAGCTGCCTTCATCCTGTAAACAGGAACCACTAAGCGAAGAAGCAAGCTTTAAACTCCATTTTTCTCAGATCTAAATGTTCACTCAGGACAAGAAGGTTGCTCCACCTACCTTGGGTCCTTTTCTAAAGGTAGGTGTTTGTACCTGCTTTAGCAGAAGATTAAGTAAACCTTGTTCTTTTCTTTCAAAAGCCAACAAGAGCAAAGTGTATTTGTAATTTTCCCTTACATGAGAGAAGGTTTAAACCGTCATCTTGAGTCTCAGAGGGGCGTGCACTGGCAAATTAGAGACTACTCTGAAAGGACTGGGCACAGAGTAAGAGAATAGGACAGGATGAGGTGACAAAAACAAGCAAACAAAATTCACTGACAGAAAAGGTATAAAAGGGAAATAGTCGTAGCTTAAGAGTTACAGCACTCAGTTTAAATGTGGGGGAGACCATTAGCCTGGTCCCTGCTTCCAGGTACATAGCTCTACTTTATACTAGAAGCATTTGTCAAATGCCTAGTTATTGGCACTCTGTTGTGCTTGGAAAAGAAGTGTAAAAATGTTCTTTGTTGCGTGTTTTTTTCTAAATTACTTACTCAGAAATTCGGGTGTTCAGTTCTCCTACAGATGTGCAGTCAAACCAGCCTATATCCATTCTCATTACTTTCCTGAAATATGCTTTCCTGATTTTCTGTGTCTGACGAGCTGCAGCCATAACCCATAAGCATATCTGGGAAGAGCATAATGTGGTTGATAAATTGCAGTAAAAAGTCCTTCTACTCCCAACAAATGGGAAAAGCAATTTGGCTAAAATGGGAAAAAGCAATTTGGCTATTGATAACTTACTATTCAGGTAAAATATATTCTAGCTACACACACACAGTAGTTGTTTTATGCCCCTGATCTTTACATAATCCAACATTTTTTTAAGCCTCTGGATCGAGCATTTGTCTCAATTTTGACAGACTAGGAGAAAATGCAAGGTTAATTACTTGTGCTGTTACATGAATGCCATAGGAAAAAAAAAAGTCCATGTACAGCTGTAAATAATATAGGGATGGCAGCCATTACTCTTCAGCAAAGCCCTCAGTTTTTAGGAAGGAGAATGACAAATGGTTTTTGTGATTACAAAAAGCTTCAAAAGCAGCAGATTCTAGCAGATTCTGCAGGAATTGTCCAAGCTTGTGGCTTACATGTATATCAGTCATAAGGTTTGAACCATTACTACAGAATATGTGAAGTGTGATTCTCCTCCAACACCAATTTTACACTATTTTACACTATTACTTTTATAATATCTCTATATCTGAAACACAGTGCTGAACTCAGTTGAGATGCCTACTAGGAATCTGCATGCCCTTTAGCTATTATTTCAGGAGGACATATGGCTTCCATAGTAACCACACTTGAGCAAATAATTCTTCTGGTGTGAAAAGAACAGCATGCATTTACCTCACTGGGTAAAACACATCTGGGTACAAAGGTATGCATGCACAAATCCAAGGAGGTATCAGATTGTCAGAGTTAACATATTCCAGCTGATAGGATAAGAACTGAAAGTGTCTGCTCTGATCAAGCAAGCTGTTGACTAAGCAGTTAAAGGAAACATAGTTATTATAAACTTAATTATTTAGTGACTTAAACCTTGAAATCAAAATAGGGAGCCAAATACTGACTTGGAGGTATCCTAACACAAGCACGGCACAACCAATTCCTGCATAGTAACCTGCAAACTTGGTCATTTCTTGTTCAATGTCCAGCAGCCTAAAAAAAAAAAAAAAAAAAAAAAAAAAAAAAGAGTTAATGATACTGTTAAAAGAGTTAATGATACTGTTTAATGTTTCTCACATATTTCCAATCTGGCACTTCTTCAAGTCTACAGTCAGGTTAGGTGGTAAATCAGCTTGTTTCATTACCAGAGGCACCGTTTCCCAATACTGAGGCTATTGCTAGCAGGGGCTGGTTTGTTTGCTCTCCCTCTTGCACAGGGGTGTGTAGCTGGCAAGTATCAGGAAATCTGACTGCATCCTGGAGCAGCTGTGCAGTATGCAAGGGCCAGATGAGAAATCCCACTGGACTGCATGCTCAACAGCAGCACACATAAGATATTTTTTCTGGGAAGAGCTGCCCAATAAGTTTTCATTAGATGTTGAATTAGCTTATTTTGTACCATTATACAAATAAATATCACTTGAATTTAAACAGTGTTTTACAGAGCAAAATGAAGGAGGTTGAAGTAAATTCAAGTATTACTTTCTTGCTAACCTGAAATGATCATCTCTTTCAGCTCAAGTAGTAGTATTAAATTATTCCTAGTATCACTGAAGGGCACTGAGTTGCTGGTATTGCACTCAGATTTCTTTGAAACAAACATTTTTTTGTTGGTTATTGGATATTCTTTCAGACCTTTTTTTTTTTTTTTTTTTTAAATGTCCTGCAAAGAACAAGCTTTATTCTGTTTCCCCAGAATTTGGTATACTCACATTCTAAGCCAAAAGAGAAAACTATGTACCTGACCTGATCTCTTGCAAAACACAATCATGAAAATAACCCAGGTGTCTATCATAAATACCCACTACCATTTTTAATGTCTTAATGTATCCTACCTGATGGCTAGTTAATGCCTGAGAGAAACGGAGGTCTGTAGCAAATCCTGTCACAACTGCCAGCCCCTTATCAGGGGCTGGTTTGGACAGTCTGGATATAATTTGGACCCGGCCACCTACATTTAAAAATGTGGATCACCTCTCATATCCTCTAAATTTCAGAGACCATTAGACAAGTGAGTTTTAATTTTAATTATGTAATTTACTACCACTCAGAGATTAGAAAACTCTCAGAACGATGCACTGCAAACCAAGTCTTAAGAATGGTTACAGGTTCAAATTTGGCTTTGACAGATTTCTATACATGAATGATTCATCTAGACTTCCTTTATTATAACTAATGGGAAGAAACAGGCACTGTTAAAGGGCAGTCCATCAGACCTGCCTTAGACATCTCCCATAAGCTAAAATGAATTGCATTCCAGAAGTGCACTTTATTAAAGTTTATCAATCAATTATTAAAGTTTAGTGAACTTGCTCAGAAGTCATCAGGCACCTATAAGCACCTAAGTCCTAACAAAAATGTCCAGAAGACATTATTACCTAGTGGGTCATCACAGAAAACATCTAAGTCATTTCAGATGCATAGCGGATATATGTTATCAGAACAATCACCACCAAAGAATATCCTTGCTGACACCTAAAGCTGAATGAACAATATCCAAGCTATCCTTCTCTCCCTTTAGCTCTGAAACAGGCCTTTGTAACAAAAAAACATGCTCCTTCTATGCCCTATGGCTAGAAAATAGAAACTTTAAAAGCTGAGCTTGACCTTCTGTAGCAATACATTGTAGACCATAGTAACACAGCCATAATAACACAGTAGAAGAAACAAGCACATGTACTACTTACCCACATCTTATTGTGGTGTTCTTTTCATTCTGATGAACTGTACCATTAATCCACACTATGGTGTTATTTACACATATCTTGCCTGGGTCTTTAAGCTCTTGCATTTCAATGTCATATTCAATAAATGTGTCTGCCATTGCACCAAACACAAGCAACACGCCTGGCTGGGCTGCTCCATGAAGAATAGCACAGAAACTACCAACAGCCATCATTAAAATTTCCATAGGTGAAGAAAATCGAAACTAAAGAGACAGGAAAAAAATATGGTCTCTGCTGAGAGGTAGTCTCCATGTTTCTTGTATACTGATAAATCATTAATCAGGTGGATCAAATACAAAACCATTCTCCTTAAATGTCAGCATTTCTTCAATACAGAAAGAAGACAAATCTCTCTCTCCAATCTAATCTAATTGCACGTGTAATTACAGTCCCATAAATTATGATGAGCTCCCCTTAAGTATTTGACAGCAGAATCCAATCATGTGAATGAATGTATTATCATATAATATTAATAGTGCAATATCATTCCACATTATCATCATTCCAGACAGTAGCTAAAAGATTAAGAATAGTAATTATAATCCATACATATAGTCAGCTGTGCAGATTTCTTGTGAGGAGGGAGAAAGGGAAAAGGAAGGAAGGAAGGAATGAAGGAAAAAGCCTTAGGGCAACGTGCAAAGCCTCTGAATAGAGCTTGCCAATTTCTCAGAAGTCTGGAGTGCTGTGGTAGAAAGCCACCTAAATGTCTCAGAGCAAATTCTCATAGTTAATATCCTGAAAAGCATTAGCTAAGCCAGTCAATTGTGCACAGGCTCTTAAGCTACGAGAAATATATAGAAACATAATTCATTATGCAGTAAAAAGAGGATTGCGCTAAGCCCTATTGCCTTACATTTGCCATGGGCCAAGAGCATTGACACATGCAGCTGGTGACTCAGCTAAAATACAGTGACCAAGTTACCTTGGTCACAACTGTGTGAAGTCTGATCCTCAGGTTGAAGTCGTGTAAATGTATAGACCAAATTGTGCATATAGAAAATTACTACCAAACACTATATATTTTGAAATAAGAGTATGAAGAAGAATTTTAGCCTGTTGAAGAACCTGTCCAGGTTCTATAGGTGCTATAAAGTGTTGGATAGAAGAAGGTGTGGGAATTTGGAGCACAAATGGAAAAGGGACGTTGGGACAGAAACAAGATAAACAGAAAAACAAGTCAACATACAAGAGAAATAAATGTTTTTTTTCTGGAAAAAAAAAAAAAGAGTGAACTGTAGTACTATCACTGTTTTGCAAACTTTATTCATAAGAAAACTAAGAATTCTCTTATTAAAAGAGCCACAAAAAGTACAAAGATATGTGATATCTAATCTTTCAGCACCTCTGATGCAAAAATATTGTGTTTAGCAATTGCACTGCAGGAGTTAATCAGCTGTGCATTAAAGGGTACAGAATTCAAACCCTTCTGCTCAACAAAAAAATATACAATGTGGAAGAGAGCTTTATTGGTTTCTGTAGTTTTAAATCTCTCTACATGCTTAGTTCTGTGTAGGCTAGTTCACAGGGAAGGAAAGACTTGTGATTCCTGCTCCAATTGCCATACAGAAATTGCATTTTATATTTTTCCACTATTCTCTATCTCTGGGCACATCCACAGTTGTCAAGTGTGGACTGTCTGTTCTCTCGAGCTAAAATTTGCCACATGGATGTAACTGCACTAGCTCAGTACTACAGTCAGGGTCTTACTAATTTGGACACATTACAGGCAACATGCAAAAACTACATGCAAAATAGAAATAATAAAAATTGTTGCATGCTGCTGGGTTGCATATCTCTTTTGATGGGTCTCCAAGACCCACCAAATGCATTACCTAAGGCTAGACCTACCACACGGTGTTGAGCATTTCCAAGTTTCTGTAGCTACCAAATCTTATGATACCAATACCGTAACTACAAGGGACCTAAATTATCTGCCAAAGATTGCACAGCAAGTTTTTGGCAGAAATAAGAATGAACTGAGGTCACTGAGATCCTTAATGTGCAACTTAACGCTTGTCCCCATATCTACTTGTAGGTTCAAAATAACATGTGTAATAGACATTTATGACACAGATACTGATAATTAATACTGAACTACCAAAATGAAGAATAGTTCTATTAAATTCCTATCGATTTTAATGGCAGGATCTCATGCCAAATAGTTTAATTCCTTACAAATTTGGCTTATTCACAGCTATTCCCCAAAACAACCGCATACATTATTGTCACTTATTCTACAGAACCATATAGACATCTATATTCATTGATTTCATTACCAGCTGGAAGAAGCCAACACGGACAATTTTTTCTTTCTTTTCTGGTGACCTTCAAGAACAGAAAACATACAATTATAAATTTGTATTTTAGTATTTATTCTGTTCTATATGCAAAGATAGTACACAGAATTGAATTTAACTCACTTTTCACTTTTCTTTTTTTCAGAAGGTTCTTCATAGGCATAGAAATTTCTAGCAAAGAAAGAATGAGATTTTACAATCATTTCTTCTATTTTCTTCATTAGTTTTCTGAAATTACATTTTGTTTGAGATATTTTGCCTAAAATTACTGAAGCAACAAGCCATTTCAGATTTCTTTGGAGTCAGTAATTTTATGGTACTTTTCAACTTTAGACGGGGACTAGAGTAGAGGTTAGATTAAAATTATCTGAAGGCTTACGCATTGTTTTTATAATAAACACCTCAAAACATCGGTGTAATAATGGATTCTTTGAGGTCAATTAGAGAAACAATTAACATCCAAATGTTTGGATAGTCCTTATTTAAATCTACAAATGCTTCAATTTGATATGATTACATAAAATTTATTGAATATTCCTAGAAATATTGATTGTTCCATTTGTGTACGACTTACTCTGATTTCTTGAAGCTGTTACCTATTGGGGAAGATAAATGCAGAGTTAATAATTATCATTCAAGTACAAAATCTTCTGCAGGCATATGAAAAATAAACCCTGGAATCCCATGGGAACTGTTCCTAAATTATAAAGCATCTTATTTCCACTAACACATCAAGTCAGGGACAAGAACTGACATGGGTCTAAAAATGCCCTAGCAAGTTCATATCAATATATGCCTGTTTTCTTTTGAAGAAGTAGTCTTAAGTTCTCAGTCCCCCACGTGAAAAAATGTGCCAAAAACATTTGCCAAAAATCAACTCGTTTTCATTGCAAACATTTTTTCCAGTATTGAGCTAGTTCACTTGAACACTGTCGCACCATGAAATACCTCACAACAGTTCAGTTTGCTGACAGTCCATGTGTGCTCCCTGAAAGGAGGGAGCTGTAGCTCATCATTCTTGCCTTCCAACAACTTAGGGATTGCAGATCCTGCAGAAAAGGGGCAGCTGTGTCACTGGAGAGTAAGAATAGATACTGGTGTCTTTTGGGATATTCTCTGAGGAACTGTAACTTAGAGAAATGGAACTATGCTACACGATTCAATTGTGCTGTAGTCCCCAGGACAGGTCTGTATTTAGCTTCTTTTCAAGAGATGGTCTTAAAGATGTCATACCTAAAGTGCAGCTTGACAGTTACCCCACAGAAGTGTCATCATAAGTGCTGATGTACAAAACATCTGCCATAAGTCTGTTGACATGACAATGCATAAAGAGCATTCTATACGCATACATACGTAGATAGCACAGTTTGTATAACCTAATGGCATATGCACCTCGCTCAAGTTTACCATGTACTTGGAAACTTAGCATTAGACTCAGAACCATGGTATGTTTTTCAACCAGTCACCATCTCCTATATGAAGTTAGTAAGATAACTTTATGTGGCTTTAGCTAACATCACTTTTATTCTGCTCTGTTTGTTACCTAGGGATGGTAAAAAGAAAATATATTTTCAATAAAGACATACGTACATCCCATGAATTCCAGAAACTTTCCAGAAGGTTTTATAATTCTGGATTATTAGTACAAAGAATCATCTGGTGTTAGAAAACAACTGGTTGTAAAGGAAAAAGAAACATCTGTTTTCAGTTTGCTGGAGGTTGGCAGCTGGTGACATCTATAATGATTTGAAAGATTTGAAAAAGGCTCATGGGAGGAAAATTTTAAAGGGAGAACAAAAGAACCTGGTACCTGGAGAAAAAGCACAGCATTCTGAGACTTTGATTTAGAGAGCAAAATAAGCACACTCCAAAGGTGAATAAACCTTAATCTATAAATCTGAAGAGGAAAACAAGAGTATAGCAATGCTATTCAAAAGTCCAAGGAACAGAGGTACAGCTGTTGTGGGCCTGCAGTTTCTAAGAAGGAAGAAAAATTGGAATGACATTACCTATGCTTAAATTGAAGGAAAGAAACAGATGAGTAATAGTTCACAATTATAATTAAAAAAAAAAAAATAGAAAGACAGGACACAACATGATTTTTATAGTAAAGACAATAATGTAGGGACAATGAAATAATATATTAACCATAAAGAAAAAAGCTATAGTAATCTTTGATTTTTATTTTTTTTAAATTACAATTTGAAAAAGCGTAGAATCAAAGAAAAGCTGCAGAACATGGTCAAGAATTTGAGTTTTTACTGCTGTTGTGAGAACACAAAAAAAGGAAGCCTGAGAAAATCTGATACTTGAATCAAATGAAGAAAAACTGTACTCAAAAGGCTCCCAACTAAAGTTGGCTATTAACTATACCTACAGCTGCAGTGTTCAACTTTTAACCCAGAGTGTGATAATTCTTAGTAACATGTACAGAACATGGTTATTGAAAAATACCTCACCGGAAATTACAGAGTGGAAGAAATCACTCAGCAGAATGCCAATATCATTTTAAAGCACTGATGCTTGCCTTGGGAAAGGTGCTCTAACAGTTCAGTAAACTGCACACTATATTAAGCAGAAGACAGTTGCATTTCTAAGGAAACTGAGAAACCAGAGACAACACTTAATAGGCCAAAAATTCCTAACTGTAAAAAGGAGAGTGGGTATGATCCCACTAGAAAGTCTTTTGCTAAAGTCCTATAAAGAGTAAAAACAGCAAGTGCAAAAGACAAGCCAGTAGACAAAAAGCAACCCTCCAGCACAGCTAGATAAATACAGTCAATCTGGGAGATCTAAATAAATGGCTGAAACAGACATGAGGTTTTCTGCCCTAAAAAGGCATACCCCTTTACCTATTCACTCCCTTTTCTGTTCAGTCTTTCCCCCCTCTCAACAAATACTAGTACCCAAAACATCCCAAGCACTTAAACTGCCCTCAGCTAGCAGCCTCAGTTAAAAGCTTTAAAAAAATAAAATTTTTAAAAAAAAAAGAAAAAAGAAAAAGGAAAGTAAGTGGGGAGGTCTGCTTTGCTTCAGCATGCAGAGAGCTGCTTGTTTCACCAGGATGCAGGGCAGCATGTGCTGGGGTAGTAGTATCCTGGGAAGAGAGCAGACTTTCAGAAATGCTTATGTTGGGTTTCTACTTCATTCATGGGGCCACAGTTGCTGCTGTTGGATTGCAGATTTTAAAATCAGCCACCCAAAACAGCATTCCAGCTTTGATTTTATCACAAAATCATAGAATCATTAAGATTGGAAAAGACCTCCAAGATCATCTGGTCCAACCGTCCCCCTCCCACCAATGTTACCCACTAAACCATTTCCTTCAGCACCAGGTCCAACCTTTCCTTAAACACCTCCAGGGACAGTGACTCCACCACCTTCCTGGGCAACCTGTTTCAATGCCTAATGCTGTTTATGAACACATTCAAGCTATTAGGAGAATCATGTCCTTCGCTGTCATCTTATCAGCTCTTACAATAGATTTGAAGTTCCTACCAAAAACAGCACCTTGGCTCTTTTCAACAGGAGATTATCTATTCCAGGAGAATAATCCCAGCAAAGTGAAAGATATTCGATGAGGATGGTTAAAACCAAAAGAATAGTCTGGCTGGCACAGAGAGACAGAAGGTGGGAACGTAACACTTTCTACACACAAAGCTCTTGTTCATTTCCTAACTTCAAACCCCTCAAAAAATCACATGTACCATCTGCTGAAAGAACAGCTGCTTTTATATTTGCATATGCCAGTCAGTCTCTACAAAGATAAACACAACCAGGGCTCAGTCCAAGACCAAAATGTATACTCCAGATACATTCAAACTCTACCATTATGCTTACAGTCCCTTAAGACATCCTATTGCAGATGAAGATTTTAAAGTCAGCCACCAAAAACAGCATTCCAGCTTTGATTTTATCATAAAATCAAAGAATCAGTAAGGTTGGAAAAAACCTCCGAGATCATCTTGTCCAACTGACCCCCTACCACCAATATTACCCACTAAACCATGTCCCTAGGTACCATATCCAAACATTCCTTAAACATCCCCCTGCAATCCCATAAAACCCAAGGAAATTCTGAAACAAATATGCCCTGCCACATCTCTGACTCACATTTACAGCAATGACCTTACAGTGATTGTTGCAGAGATTTTCTTAACCATCATAAAATTTTTCAAATGAAATAAAACTCCATAGTCTTTCTCATTGTCTAGTTTGATTGCTCCAACAAATCTGATGGAGTCAAAGAAAAAAAAAAGAGAACCTAAGACAAAAAAAGCACACTCCTCATCCAGCTGTTCTGTTCAGAGCCCACCTAAAAACACCTATTCTTGTGTTGGAGCAAGTGAAACTGGGAATGAAGGCCATTTTTGTAAATCCCAATAATGCCCGTGTTTAGTACACAGGCTAGTTCATGCATGGCTGGGAGCATTTCGTTAGGTTCTGCAAGAAGGTTTTTAATGAAAGCTTAAATAAATCCAGAGTTAGGCCACAGCTGGCAAGGATTTTAAAAATACAGACTTAGACGTTTATTTAGGGAACCTGGTGATACTTGAGTGGTGGAATCCTCTTCTGAACCCTTTTTACTCTACGTACGATGCAGGTACAGACGTACATTACATTTTATTGCAATTTATCTTCCATTATGTGCTATTGTTTTGCTTTCTTGTATAGTTTATATTTAATACAAAATTTTAATGCCTCTCAGATCTATCTGTAGATATCACTACAGATTTATATGTTTAATGAAAGCAGCTCTAGAAACCAGGGTAGACAGAACTTTTGACTTTTTTCCATTTACTTGTACACCAAAGTGCTGAATACAAAAAACTAGGTAGACACTGAATATGTAGGCTGGTAAGTAAAGATTGTCCCCCAGAAGGGATTGTTATACATAGCTTTTACAGAAATGTTGTTTTGCAGACAGTATACCCCACGGGTTCACAGAACAGCAGCAGGTGCTACATAAGAGTGTATTTATTCCAGAGCATTTGCTTTGTATTCTGTTGACTATCCGCTCCACTTAGACCACCCACTACCAGTTTTACATGCTTTATAAAATCTGAAACTGACTGTAGAATAAACTCCTTATATTTACCATCCAAATCAAAAGCATAGTTATCCTCTCCCAATCTCTTGATGCTACGTAGAACAACAGGGTCAGACATGTTGATCAGTTACTCAAATCCAAAGTCCTGAAGAGAAGGGGTGGAGAAAAAAATAGTATCAGCATATGTTAGCCTTTGAACATACAATAATATTATGTTAAATTCCTGCTTACCTCATCCTTGCCCTCATTTTGCCCTCATCCCAGGGCAATGCCCCCAATTACAGCACAGGTTGTAACAGAATGGACAACCCAAGCACAGTGAAACTAGAATAGAGAAACATCCTGGAGAAGGATCTCCATAGCACCCCAAAGTGCAAATCCTTCAGAAGGCTTCAGTACCTCCTACCTTAAATGGAAGTGGCTCTGACGAGCTTTGCAGCGTACTGCAAACAGCCCTGTCCCTGCTAATGGTCATATTACAATTAACTACTGCTTTTATGCAGATTACATCTGTAGATTATAGCCCAAAATGACAGATCCTGCCTCAATTACAAGGGAGCAGTGAGCAGGGCCTGGCCAAGCTGCTAAGTGGCCAGTAGAACCATAACAGAGGGAACCCTTCTCTTTTCTTTTATCATCTGGTCCTGAATTTTACATGTACATCTCTGGCATGTGCATCATCAGTAAATCAGGCTGGAAAGACCTAAGTCTCTTGGTTAATTCTAAACATCCAAGGAATAATTTAATTATGCTTGTGTCATTTTGATGGATGTTTATCAAAGATGAAGACCTCCACAAGCAATTGCAGTGCTTCACTATCCTTATTGCTAAAAATAAGGTTTTTCCTAATATCTAATCTGAATTTTATATGTCAGAATCTAAGCCCCCTACTTCTTAAGCAATCCACCATGGATATGGAAATAATACTCTTCCAATTTGCAGGTAGGCTGTATACATTTAGAGAATACTAAAAAGTTTCCTTCTTCAGAAGAATAAAGCATTTCATTCCATTTTCCTTTGTTGTTCGTACTTCCCAAATCTCTGATAACTTTCACTAGTCTCCTTTAGATTCTAGTAAGTCTTTCTTGAAGTGCTAAGTGTGTAACAGCAGTATAGCACCAGTCTTACCAACACCGAGAAAAGAAGGATTATTTCACTTTTCACAGATTATACTCCTGTTTATACAACCCAGTGTGACATTCTTTTCTTTTTTTTTTCACAAAAGCATCACACTGTTGATTCACATTCAGTTTGTAACCCACAAAACCACTTAATTTTTGCAAACAATTTTCTACAGAGCCAGTTGCTTTACAAACTATATTTTCACAGTTGATTACTCCTGTCTGCTCTTACCAGATTTTTATTGCACTTTAAATTTTTCAGCCCATTTTTCCTGTTCGTTAAGATGATTTTCAATTCTAGTCCTGCTCTTCTGCATATCTGCAGTCTCTCCCATTTTTATGTCATGCTCATATTTAATAAGTATATCATACATTCTGTCACCCATGTCATTATCAATATTACTGGATTATACTAGAAGTAAGACAGACCTCTGCAGAACTGCATTCAATACCTCCCTTAATTTGGGCATTGGTTCATTAATTGCTACTCTGTGGATGTTGTTTTTCTTGCCTGGAAGTTTCTGATGAGCAGAGAGGATTTGTTGAGCCACTGGTCAGTAAATTGACCCCTTCACATTACGTGATCCCCTAGATTGTGAACCAAATTCTTTCTTTAAGTACATGGGTAAAGCCAAATCAGTACTCTAACAGCAAAAAATCTAATGAGGACTACAATAGCCACTGACTAGGTAAAACCGCAGGGTTTTTTATTCATTCCCACATACAGTGAAACAATTTATAAACTTAATCATAATTTTTCTGTTCTCTCAGACAAGATGGCAAATGGGCCAAACAAGGCTATGCTATTTCCTTGGTTAAAGTCTCTACCATGTGCACATTCACAACTACACTTTATAACAGAGAAAGCATGCAACACCCGCTTCTGACTAGAAAGGAAAGCATCATATACACATCACCCTGTTTCACATGAGGTCTAATCTACAAACCATTAAATTTCAATTCAGCTGAGTTTGCATCTGGCATATAGAAGAGGAGTTTTGAGAAGGGCTTAATTTCCAGATAATAAAGTTTTATATTGAAAAACTCAGTTTATATTGAAATAGAAGTAGGTTCCCTTCGTAGCAAGCCTATATTCCTGGTATTTTAACTTATTCAGTGAAAATACAAAGCTTGACCTGCTTTCTTCATCCTGCCTTTTGCAGTGCCTGATAAATTGAAATAGTTTGAAATAGATCTCCAAAAACTGTTTTCTCAAATTATCCTAAAGTTCCAGAAGTTTCTTAAAAAAGATTATTAGCTAGCAAAACGTTAGCAGTTTTTTCATTGGTCACAATGTCAAGACTTTTTTTTAAGTGTCAATTTAGTTGTGAGGTTCAAGCTAGAGATCTGTAAACAAAGACTCTGCTACATTTACAAAACATAAGTTTAACAGTGAGGAACCCTTCACAGTGAAGTGATTCTAAGGAAAATACAGCTTAAATATGCAACTGATCTTACGGCTTGACTGTTTTTTTAACACTAGGTATGTGTTTCTAGAAAGGACATACTCAAAAAAATAAAAATAAAAAAATAAAGAAAGCCATGAGTGTGAGAAAAATAAGACTGATGTTTTTATTATTTACAGATTTCTGGTTCAAATGGTTGAAGTGTCTATGACTGTATTTATGACACACAGAAAATACAAATTTCAACCATTCACTCATGTTTCCTTCTCCAAACAATGATAATTTTACCAGCAATTTGTCCTTTTACAGGAAGACATCATTTGTTTCCAGTTCTAGTACAAACTGCTTTGCTTGGGTTAGCACACAAGTAATGGAACTGCATAGGGAAAGCTGACCTAATAGACAAACAGCTGATTTTACACTGAAGTTAGTGCATTTGGAAATGTTACCTGGATTATGAAAACAAGTGTTCTGCTGGAGTAAAGAAATTATATTTCTTCCTCTTCTGCAAACAAAATGAATCTAAACCTTAAGGGTGGTATTTATATGCACATTCTAGCAGCTTTAAAATACTTCATGAATTCACAGCAATTATAAACCTGATTTAAATTAAATGATATACAAGCATAGTACTGATTCTGTCTCCCATCTAGGAAGTGGTTAAAAATACAGTGCATTCCTGCTTCAGAAAGATAAAGAACAGTGTCATACTGTAAATTGATGAAGGAGGCAAAAGCTCAGCAAAGCAAAGTCATTCTCTGCCTCATCATCTTTCAGCTATTACTTGACTTTGAAATCATAATATCTATACCTATATACCTATATATCTATTATGAAATCGTAATATCTATATTACTTTTTTAGTGGAACACTGTAAAAATCAGTCTGTCCCTTCAGTGCTGTCATCATGCTGAGAAGTCTCACTTCAATGCTTATTCTGACACTGTATTTTAACATTATGATGTATCTCACAACTCTTTTAAACCTGAATTCTGATGCAGTTTTAAAAATAGGAGAAAAAAAAAGATGAAAGACTAGAGTAGGGATTCTTGTTACAAACATTTGCTAGGGCTAAACTTTCTGGAATTATCTCAGTTTTTTTTTTATTTTTTTTTTTAATGTGACTGCCCAATATTTCATAAATAAAACATTTTTTCCTCTATTTTCTGAAGTTCAACACATCAAATACTATCCACATACTATCCTGTCCAGCAGGCATCATTTATTACCTTATATTAATATATAAGATTAGCAAGATGAATTAGAATACTAAAATAACCTTCTTTAGGGTCTAGACGTTTATCTGGGGACCACTTACAACATCTTGAAAAATACAGATGTTGATGTCTCCATTAAGAATTACATAGATAATAGAAATCAGAGATAACTGAAGATTATTAGATCATCTCATCTGCCCCTGAGTATACAGAATAAAAACTAGCAACAGAGAATATATGAGAAACAGCACTGAAGTGAAATTGCATTTTACTCTAGCCAATAAAGGTATGACCACAGGATTTTTTGATAAACAAAAATCATTAAGGAACTCAAAATTCATATTTTAAAAAGAGTACTTTGCAAACAGTGATAAATTAATATATGCTGTAGAGGGTATTGAAAGCTGGTTGTAAAAAGTTCTATCCCCCCCCTCCATTTTTTGTTTTAGTCTATGTTGTTCAGATATTAATGACAGCATACATGCAGAAAGACACTTTGCTTCAAAATATGACCTGAATGTCTTGTTCTTCAAACAGTCCCATTCAAAAAGCACTAACTCTACAGACAACAATTTAGCGTTTGGATTAGATTATTTTGAAGGAAAAATAAAGGTACCTTTCAGTTCAGAAAGTTCCATCAGTTATCTCTGAAACATTAAACATGATATATTTGTTACTCACCCGTGGCTGTAAAAAAACACCTATTGTAGAACAAATTGGAAGAATTCTGTTCAATTAGTCAGTGAAGCACCCAACCATTTCCCATTATGTTTTCATTATTCTAACCCATTTGGCAGGACTGAATCTTTAAATTGGGCATTGGCTATTTGCACCTGGGTCAATAACCACACGGTCACACTGGTTACAGTTCATTGACATCTAATGAAGGGTTTAAATTTGACTAATGTAATCTCACAACATAAAGTCAGGCTACTTGGAAAGCAATTATACATGAAGAGACCAGACAGTTCTCTGGAAAAAAAAAAAAAAAAAGTTCACAATGAATGTATTGGAAGAGATTATTACTGCATTATTTATCACTATTAGTATAGAATTACTTTATTACCCATATAATAATTCGGTGTAAACTACTGTCCTTGCTGTAGGCAGCAACATCAGCTGAATAGTACAAAAGTTGGTTTGGAGGTTATGCTAAGCTCAGATCCTGGTTTTCTAACACATAGCTTGCCTATTTCCAGGACATTTACATTTTTAGTATTCTTCCTTTAAAAGATGAACATTTAAAAGCAAGGAAACTACTGAGCAGTAGTGAGCTCTCACTGGAGATGAGCCCACCGTGGACTTTTTAATAAGGGACAATGCCGCGGCCCCAGCCAACGTCACCTGCAGGGTTTACAGGTAAATGGCAAACTTGGTTTAGTTCCCCTTTGAAATCAGTTCTCACTACAGAGAGCCTTGGCTGATAAAACAAGATGGAAAGATATTACCTTAACCTTAGTGACTGTTGGCTCCCCTTAGTTCTGTACTCTCAAACTTTCCATGAAAGGTCCTCATGCGCATAAATGCATCAGAATCAAACTTAGCTCACCTGAGCTGTTTCCCTTTTTGAGCATCATTCCAGTGCACACAACAACAGCATTACCAGACCCAAACCTGGTGTCATCTCCCATTTTCATAACAAAAAGTCATCTACATCTCTACTAAAGTACACAGCATAGCCTTGAGAATAACACTAAGATAATACTACGGTACTAATTATCTTGTCCACCACATATCAGAACCATAGAGAAAAATAGTTACTTGCAGTGCAGGGTATAGGAGTGGAAAAGGTGGAAGAAAACATAGCAAGGTGAAGAAAATACAGTACTCAGTTTTGGTCCCACTCCCACACAATCACCTTCCTGTTTTACAACTTCCAGTGGAAAAATTGCCAAATGCACCTCATCTTCTCAAGCTTTCTTGCACTTTGTCTCCTTCCAGTGTCCTAGGAAGGGAAAACTCAAGCTCAAGTTTCTATTGCTAGATTCAGCCCTAGAGACCTTTCAATGAAAGAAGAATTAGTCACTGAATTAAAAAACTAGAGAGCAGGACTTCAGTAAATCCAGGAGACTGAGGACAGATGCTCCCACCTATTCTGGTAGGAAACACATACAATAACTCTGAGCCAAAATAAATGATAGATATTAGTTACTTCATGAAACATGAGCAATACCATCAGAATAATTCCCCTCAGTCACAGTCTGAGTTGAGGGGAAACATTTTCCTTACAGCTTGCAACATTTTAATACCTCTTTGCACAGGAAGAAAAATATTAAAATTCATTGAGCCAAATGAAGTTAAATAATTGCTTTTTCCCTGAATTTTAGGGCTGTTTAGGCCAGTATATTGTCAGAATTATCCTCTCTTTTGTGGATTTTTTTCCAACAGTTTGCAGGAACAAGTGAATAAAAATGAATCTTAGATATTCCTGGACAGATCATTTCTCAGTAAGAAATGAAAATCCATGTGCTATTTTGGCAGCGTACTCCTCTGCTCCAAGCTGTAGTCTACAACCCATTGATCTTTATTGCAGTATTGAACAAAGGTAGTAGCAGCAATCACATAAATGCTTCCAAAGCTTCCGCAAAATACCCAGAAATTTAGCTCTGTATGCTGACAGCTATGGAGGAGCAGGTGGTTACATTTTTCTACCAGGTAAACAGATTCAGTCTGTCACTGCAGGCTAAGGTTCCAGATGATCAGCTTATTTCAGTGTTTTGTGCTGAAGTCTGTATGCAAGAACAGCAGTCTGGACTAGCCTGCTGGACAGAAGGCATTGAGCAGACAGCTCTCGCGCTTCATTAATTTATTTTGTAGCCATTCATAGCCAAATTAATTTTTGCAGCTAATGTACAGTGATCCCAGAGCTGAGGAGCCAAAAACTGGATGACTTTGACTTGAGTATAATTCCTATCTTAACTGTGCCACATACACTGATAGCACTTCAAATTGCAAGAATTTTAAAGCAAATCTCAATATCATAGTACACTTCTGCTTCCACATTATGCTTTATCTGTATGTCCTTTGAAAAACAAAGCAAACCGATTTGTTGGCATCTTTATTTTTGACAGAAATTATATTTGCTGTTTTGCTCTATGTGTTATCATCATTTTACACCTAAATAATATGAAGTTGAAGTAAAGTGAATACTGAATAAAGCTAGTTAAATCTATTTTCTTGTACCCTGTTTTTTAAATAAGCAACATTTTAATTAAAGTACATGCAGTTTACAGCTTGAATTACTAGGCGCCTGACTTCCATATCCATTCTTGGAGTAGTCATTGCATACTACTTATCAATTTTGTCTGAAAAAAAAACTATCACAGTAATAAATATATTTAGAGGACACAAATAAAAAATTCAGGCTGGAAGAAAACAGAGTCCCTTCTCTGGAACTCTGATCAGGGCAAAGACTGGAAGAGTGAGAAGCTGCAGGAACTGTCAGTATAAGCATACAGTTGGTCAGATTGGCAGGTACCCCCATGCTGTCTCTTCATTCTTTTCTTGGCACCGCAGCAATTACATAAACATGACTTAGTATTCACCTTGTACAAGGCAAAGTGAATTTTACATGGAGCTTACTGTTCTGAGTTTTACACTATTGAAAAGGAAATTATGTTAATCCCATGAGGTGCTTATGTACGTTACCTCTTTCAACTTAGCACAAATTTTGAAAAAGTTACTGCCATTTCTAAGCACCTTTAGCAAGTATTCTACACAAAGGAAAAACCTCCTTTTTGCACCTAAGGGAAGAGCAAGTCTTCCTCTTTTGACGCCTGCTTTTATGGTTTTAGCTGCAAGCAAAGAATTGTTTGCTGGTAAGAAGTCACTTTCCTATTTTGCAACCAGACTACATTTCTTCACTGAAACGGCAAATAGTTGATACTTCCCTTACAGTGAAATAAGGAAAGTACCTCTGGGTACAATAGGGATGTTTGTGTAAAGGTGATCTTCTCTTGCTATGGAAAGTATGAAGTCCAAGTGGGTAATTGCCAGGCGTGGATACCTTTGGGTGGGAGGCTAGCACACAGAACGAAACAAACATTTCTCCTCCCATGGTCTAAGTCTGCTCAATGTCACCAAGTCATAACACATTTAGTTCTTGGCCACAAAAATATGCTATCCTGAAACTGCAAAACAATGTCTAGAGCTGTTCCAGCAAGTAGGTTGGAAGATACCGGGTGAGGGAATTACCTCTGGTTACTTGCCCTGTTTCTATAGCTAGCTTCTCACCATCTGCTTTTGAAACATACTAACATACTAGAAGCAGGATATGCACTCATTCACCCCCTTGATCTGACTAAAGTTTGTATGTATTTTTTCTCCATTCCAAACTGATGTGCAAATAAAAACAGCAGATGGGAAAAAAAAAATGTAATTTTTGTCAAAATAGTGATTCAATGTATTGAAATAAAAACTTTCATAAAGACCTCTCTGAGAGTGCCTCTCCCCTCCTACTCCCCCTCGCATCCAGGCTCCTTGGTTACCTCAGCGGTTCTTGTCAAGATGGCGCCTCCTCATGGGCCTGTCTGGCCTGCGTGCCTCAGCTCTCCCAAACACTTCTCCAAAATGCCTTCAGGGCTTCTGATCCAGGGCCTCTCATTACCACCCCCCCACCCCACCCCCAAGAAACTAGAAAAATATATATAATTTTTATTGATTAGCCTTCTGATTTTGTTCTTCTTTGGTTTGTGGCCCCTATAAAAAATTAGATCTTTACACTGCCACATCCTGCAACTGAGGGCAGGTGCAGCACCTTTCAGTCTCCCTTGCAGGCTGGAGTTGGAAACAAAGTACTCTGACCGAAAACCTTGCAATTTCAGCACTTCAGTATTTTAATATGAAGTCCCACCAACCCACTGACTAACAACCACAGGGACCAGAAGTTAACCATCTACCACACTGTCCAAATCCCATGTCTGTAGACATGCCTGTTCCTGTAGCAAAAACAGGCCTCGATGAGCCTTTTCTTCCACCAGCTTTACTAATTCGGCGTTTATTTTTATTTATTAACCCAATTAAAGATTAAACCCATACTATGTTTTCCTTATGTTAACCTACTTGTTATTTAGTTAACATCTCCACAGCTGCAGCAGAACCGCGTCCCCTGCTCCAGCAGTCTCTTCCCCTGCACTCCCGGTTTGCCGCCCAGGCCTTCCCACAGGAGCTGAGGCAGCACGAGGCCTCAGGTCTGCCTCAGGCTCCGGGAGCCAGCCTGTGCCTGCCAACAAGCTGTAGCAAATGGGGTGGGTGCAGGCAAGAAAGGTAGAGTGGTAATTTTAATGCTGCCACAGGAGAAGGGAAACTATTCCCTCTGCTTGGTCTGCAATGCTTGCATATGCAGAGAAAAGTTTCCTCGTCTTAACAAAGCAACTGTGAAACACCACATGGGGTGGGCATCTGCCTAATTACTTAATCACACTTTCTTCTATACTGATGCTGCAGAGGAAGTTAAGCAACAAAAACTAGCATCTCTGCATTGCAGCTTTTGCAATACCAGTCAGCACAAGAAGCTATCATTCACCAGCATACCGATTTATGTAGAGAAGCACCATGAGCAGCCACAGTACTTGCAATAAAAATAATATACTATTATAAAACTATTAAAATTTAGTAAATTATATATTAAAATTATATAAAATATATGCCTTAATTTAAAAATTACACAATAAAAACTTGACATGTCAGAACAGAAAGCAGCTCTTATGTGCAGAAAATAACAGTGGTATTCCTGTTCCTATTAGGGGACTAAAAACATGACAGGTATTTGCAATTTCTTTTTAAATTAAGTATTGCCAGAAGAAAATTTGGTTATAGTACATGCAACTTCACTGCATCTTGCTCTGCAGAGATGGGTTGTCTATAAGTAACAGTTGTAAAGATCTGCACAGCGTTACATCTATTTCAAATTATTCTCTTAGCCAATTGCATTAGGTTATCTCCTGCTTTCCAGGAGATACCTTTTTCCATAAACATTCATAAAGACATGTAACTTGGGAAAAAAACAGCCAACTATACCTTAATAACTAGCAACTTTTGTTTTTCATTTCAGAAGAACGTGTCCAAACAACTTCAGTAAAAATGCTTTTCTACATAGTACTCTTCCTTGGCACCATCTCTCTGTGGTGGCATTGGAGGGCAAGAGACAGGATGAAGGTTACAAATCTCACTGGCAAATATATATTCATCACTGGATGTGACACAGGCTTTGGGAATATGGCAGCAAAGACTTTTGATAAAAAGGGATTCCGTGTTTTTGCCAGCTGCCTAACTGAAACAGGTGCCAAGGAGCTAAAAGCTGAGACCTCTAACCAGCTTCAGACAGTGCTGCTGGACGTGAGAGATTCAGACAGTGTTAAGAAAGTGGCTGCATGGATCAAAGCTGAAGTTCAGTCAGAAGGTAAGTGCCAAGATATCTGCCTTCCAAAATTAAAAATAAATTAATAATAATAACAATTGCAATAAAGTTTCCCCCAAAACACCATGCTATATTCACAGTTTACTCTAATTGACATTTGACAAGTGTGCATGGATGTCCTATTGCCTTCCAGAAACATGGAAGGAGATCTCACTAGAGGCATGGTTTATACATCTGCTTAGTGGTTAGTGACAGCTAAGTATCTGCGAATGCTTCCTCAAGAAGTCAGATTTATTGACATATCATTATAAGAACAGAAATCCAGTTCCTGGAACCTTCATCTAGACTGCTTACACTTGCATGCACCTTCTGGATTTGGGTGTGAGTGCTCAGCACCTCCTATGCTATGTTACAAGGCTAGGGAAAAAATGAAAGAAATTTCTGCTTAACAAGCTTAAAGAATACTTACTTTAAAATGTGAAAATTTTTAATACATGACTTCTAAGCACTCACTCTAAGATAGCAAAAAATACATGTTCTTGAAAACTATAGGGAATAGATGTAACTACTCTGAAATACTGCTTTGCAGGCCACACACACACAGAAAAAAAAAATCCTGTTTTTTTTTTGACCCAATAAATCACGCAAGACAAATTGCTGCTCCTATTACCAATGCTAATTGATTTCAGTTGGACTAGTATAATAGGGTTTACAAAGACACAAGATTCATGGGCTGGATTCTGCTAACTTTGAGCCTTAAATCAGGTCTATTATGATGTGCCATAGTACCAATTATACTTAAGGTTAAAGTCCAATCTCCATGTTACCCTTCCTCTCTTCATAAAAATGCTTATAAATCGTTCAGATTGCTTTTATTTATAACTGTGCTTGGTTTCCAGCAAAAAGTGATCTTGTTCCCCATGAAAAGCTATGAGTAAGGTCAAACCAGATTTGTTGTCCTTTTGGCCCATCACTGACTTGCTGTGAAGTCTCACCCAGTTCAATTATTCTACCACATACAGCAAAAATTTGCTTCCTAATGTTCTTTTTTTTTTTTTTCCTTGCAGGTCTCTGGGGACTTATTAATAATGCTGGAATTATGGGGCCATCCGCTCCTACAGACTGGTTGGATATTGAACACTTTAGAGAACCAATTGAAGTTAATTTAATTGGACTCATAAATGTTACAATAAATATGCTTCCCTTGATAAAACAAGCAAAGGGAAGGATAGTAAACGTATCCAGTGTTGGAGGTCGCCTAGCCTTCAGTAGTGGAGGTTATTGCCCTTCAAAGTTTGGGGTAGAAGGATTTAATGACAGCTTAAGGTATAACATACTGTGAGGAAAGACTGCTCTTTGTTTCCTAGGCTAACAGACTAACTGAAAATCAGCACATGCAGAACAGAAGCTCATCTACAAGCCTGGCACTTGATATAAAACTGAAAAATACTAGACGCTTTGGGATAATTCTTTTTAAAAACGCTTTTTCTCAGCATATATTATGTCACTTTTGAAGCCTGAGATACAAAGCCGGTTTGGCACATACAGCATGCTGAGGTGGTACTGTGGTGTAGTTGGTACTCTTGAATATTCATAACTAACTTACCTCAGCATGCACAGGGGCCTTATTGCAGAGGAGGTTTGACTCAAAGGAACTGAGATGTCTCTGCAGAACCTCATTTTCCTGTTTAAAAGTGCAACTGGAAACTGCCAACAGCAGCCCATCCAGAGGGAAGGAAAAACATACAAACAAACACAAAACCACAAGCACCACCACCACTAAAACCACATACAATGAGTTTTTGCACGATATTAATTTCTGTCTAAGCTTTGTTCTCCAAAGTGTCTTCTCTTAACAATACAAATCATTAGAGAGATCTAGAGAATATAACACACTAATTCTGGAGACCACTATGGCTTCTTCATGTAAAACAAGGAACAATTTGTGTGCCTAAATATATAGGGCCATTTTAGATACCAGGAGGTATCCATGACACTTGCACAGGGCTGACAGATAGGAGACATGACCAAAAGGATGTGGTACCCATCTAGAGCATCAGATGGAGGTTAAGAAGGACTCACTAGGACATGTGAAATGTCTCTAGATACTTAAGTTTAGGCAGCCAGATAGTCTTACAGGCAAGTCAGATAACTAATGAGCAACTGCAAGGTGAAATAGGGTGTGAAATACAATATGCTAGCTACTGCACAGTCACTGCCTGTATATGTTCGCACTCTGTTAAACAGGTAAGATAGTTCATCCCTATTTCATTTTGAGATAACAGGCTGAAAGTTCACAACTGTGCTTGCCTCACAGTATTTGTGTGCTGGTGTGCCATGTAAAGCCAGAAATAAAAGTATTAGTACAGAAAAAAAATATACAAAAATATTTTAAAAAATAATCCCACAATATTAATAAGAATGTCTAATGAGATTAAATTGTTGCATTGTCTTTGCAGGAGAGATATGAAAGCTTTTGGAGTTAATGTTTCTTGCATTCAACCTGGACTGTTCAAAACACCATTATCCAGTCCAGTAAAGATTCTGAAAGAGAAGGAGATTATTTGGAATCAGCTTCCTCCCAGAACTAAAAAGCAGTATGGAGAGGAGTATTTTCAGAAAGGTGAGGCCATTTGAATAAAAAGAATCAATGTATTTCTTGCTGAAAAGCCTTGCAAAAGGGCATTATATCTTCTAATCATTCTGACTTTTTGAAGAGACTACATGGGAGAAGTTACTCTTCAAATGCCTCTGCATCACAATATGGTTATCCACACAAAAAACTCGTTCAGGGAAACTTTATTCAAATCTCAGTTAAAGATTAATTATTTGTGTTGGAGTGTAGCTTTTGAGCAAACTCCCAAACAGAAAAACATTTATCTGATGATGTAGCCAACCAATGTGCTTGCTATGTTTTTCTGTCATTATTATTTATTTATTCAGTAATCAAATAGGGATAAATTCCCTTTGCTTCTGCTAACCCCAGTGGTGAGGAAGCCATTCAGGAATTGCCTGACAGAGACTACTTGCTTAAGCCTGCTTCAACAGAAACTGTTTGTCTTGGACTTTCTTGCCCATCAAGTTTCTTCTTTACAACTGCATGTCACAGCTTTCTGCAAAGCAATTTCCTTACTAAGAGAGACTCGTTTACAAGCACCACAGCATTTGTTTCCCTTGGCCTTTTTCACAGTTAGGTTTATTCTGAGCTACTGTCACTGCAATACAAACCCAGTTGTGCCATGACTATGCCATAGTAAAGGGTAACTAGGCTGGTTCAGGAGTAAACTATACCACAACATCATTATGGATGGGGTACTTGGTCCCCAGAAACTGCTATGAATTCTTCTGTAGGGATAAACAACGAATACCAGTTCCTTAGTGAAACTGCACAGATCAGTATTGGATGAAGAGTTAAAAGTCACTTTTCCTGTCTGTCACTGAACAGTCTTTTATTTGAGTTTTACAGATGCAGCAAAGAAAGAAAAACTGACCAAGATCTGCCTTAACGAGGACATTTCCCTGGTTGTTGAGTGCATGGAGCATGCCCTAACAAGCCTCTATCCACGCACCCATTACATCATTGGGCAGGATGCGAAGTGGTTTTGGACTCCCCTTTCAAAAATGCCAGCAGCTGTACAAGACTTTTTACTCCTGAGAAACAGAGCAAAGCCTGCAGCTTCCCACGCAAACTAAATCTTTGCCAATATATTCTTCATTGCAGACAAGGCCGATTCCGTAAGATTTGTCCTTTACATCAACATGATACAAACCATACCTGAAATACACCCTCATGCCCTATGAATGTAAGAAATACATCTATTTCTCCAGTATCTGCTACTATTAAAAAATAAAAATAAAAAAACCTACTTTTTTATTGCTTTATTTAATTTCTAAAGGTAAACCAGAGAGAACAAAGGAACTAATAAACTTTCAGAAATGGCTGTGACTTTTCAGCTCCTCCACCTTTTAGGTGCTTAGTTTGAGAACCCTCAGAGGTTCCAATTTTCACAAAGATCCACATGACAAAAGTATCCCAAGAAAGCAGAGAATGCAACTTTAAGCCCCCATAGCTGGAAGAGTTCTGTCATCTCTGGAAGGGGAAGGAATGGAAACAGGGCCTTCCTCTGAGAGAGCTGAGCTCTTGCAGTATAAACTAGCAAGGACAGCAGGAAGTCTTCTTCCCAATGCTGATTTTTTTTAGCACAGTAATGCCTATTTTGAGGCCAACGAAAGAAAGGTGCAGTTCTAACTGGAGACAGAGCAAAATAAAATGCCTGAATTGTTCGGATGGTTGCAGTTCACATCATGTCCCACTTGCAGGACTCTGCAAACCTTGGGTGAGGCATTTTCCTGGTAATTATGCTAAATCCTGAGGATCTGTAAAGTCCAGCTCTACCCTGTGTTGTAAAGGATCTGTAGCTACAAAAGTGGATCCAGCTACAGGGACACAATGCCTGCAATTTATGTACTAAAGAGCTAACGCATTACGTTTTTGTTTTGTTGTTGTTGTCGTTGTTTTGTTTTGTTTTTAATTGGAAGTTATTTCTGGAAGTTATTTCTTGGCATAATAATAACCTTGTGTTTTGTGAGCTGCAGACCAGCTCTTCTCTTGTTCAGCTCCTGACAACACAAGTGCCTGCTACAATCCGGCGCTGCTGGAATTCATCATGACAAAGCAGCCAACAAACACATAGACCCCACCTCACACCTGCACATTGCTCAGGAAGTCATTTCCCACTGCCATGGAAACTGGCCTGCAACCAAAAAAAAAAGAATGCTTTCCCCACCCTAGTGAATTTGGCTAAAGAGCAAGTTACCCAGTGGCTATTGTCGGCTTTCGATTTACTTTCTTCAGAGCCTGCAGAACACTTTTTTTTTTTTTTTTTTTTTTTACTTTTCTCAGTGCAGCTTATGCTTAAGCTTTAGTGTGATCATTTCATTTAGATCTCAGTTATCTGAAAAGGTCATTCTTTCCAGAGAACATTTGAAGTGAATACCTTTGAACTACCTATCGGTGGCATTGCTTTTGTCAGTTTGATTTTACAAATATTTTCATGCCAAGCCAAGTAATAGAAAACTAAGCTCTCTTCATTTAACACAAAAGCCAAAGGCTGCTGTATAAGCTGTCTGGTGAGCTAGTGGCTTCCCTGTCCCAATCAGCATGAGCTGTTAGTTGTCCAGGCATGAGCTCATTCCATCTCTGTCACTGAAAAACTTGTCTCCTGCAGAGCAGGCAGCATGAGGCCCTAGAGATATGAATGGTGTCACCTGAACTTAAAGCCCTGTCAGTACCTCAGACAGAGTCTCATTCTCTCTATAGACAAAGTTAAAGCATTTTTTCCACCAAGATTACTCAGCTGAAAGTGATTAAAGAAATAAAACAAAGAAAGTAGAAAATAACAACACCTGCTCTTTAGAAATCAAAGTTTGGCTGGCTTATGTCAGCCCCTGTCAAACCACTATCAGCTGCTGCAAGACCCTAGCAATGCAATGGTTAGAGTAAAGTTTAAAAAGAATTTGGGACAAGACACACTAGCTGTAAATATATTATTTAAATTAGCAATTCAGGAAAAATATCAGCTGCTCATTGCAACTGCTAAGACACTTTTTACTGTATGAAGGGCCAGATTCTGGTGGCATGTTCTCTACCAGCATGTTTTCCAAGATGCTAAGCAGGATCTATGCAGCTTTCTGCAGTTCCAAGGCAGAATACTGAGCCTAAATCTGCAGCAGAGAAACTGCTTTTAAACTTTGCCTCCTATATTTGTGTGGCAGAGGACTGCTACCTGCAACAGCAAGAATCCTGGCCTGACACTGCTGGATAAATGTTCATCTGCAACAGACTTTGCCTGCTGGTAGCTGGCTGTTCTATGGTCACTTCAACCAGACAGCAGAGCCTGTTGTTTAAATCAGGTCAGACAGGACTAGGCAGAGGAACCAAAGAGGGAAGGAACCTGCCCACAAAGCAGAGGACAAACCTTCTCTACAGCTCCTGGCAGGGGTCCCCAGCCAGGCTGGGCAGCCTCTGATTGCCACAGGCGGGTCATCTGCTCAGGGCCAGATCACTTCCAGCTCCATCCTGCAACCGCGTCTGGATTCCCCAGCTTTAATTTTCTTCTTATTCAGTTAGCTTCAGATCAATTTTCATCAAAAGCTTATTCATTCATTCTACCACTGAGAAGGGTCTCTGCACAAGCCTCCTCTCTTTCTGCAACACCTGAGAGTGAAGGCCACGCAGCGCTAATGGGGAGGAGTGACAACTGGGGGAAAGGAGCTATGCTTGCACTTTCAGACAAGAGCAGCTGAATCACAAGTGCCCAGCAGACTCTGGGTCAGGTAGCCAACAAACTACCAAGCAGTCATATGTTAAGAGTCTTTTTTTCATGCAAATTGCAGAGCTTTTTTTTACTTGCACAGTTGGTAGAATTCAAATTTTATTTGACAAATATTGCTTAGTTACTCAGGCAGTTGATTTGTTTAAAGTACCATAAAGCTGCCCCTGGCCTAGAGCAAATAATTTTGTCCCTGAGAGCTGACAAACACATGGATACATCTTCCTCAATCTTTGTCCCCAGAAGACCAAGTCCTACCAAGAACAATTCTCTCACATGCAGGGGTAAAGATGCAGATCTGAACCAATCCCAGTTAAATCAATGGGAAGATTCCTGCTGGTTTCAACACAATGCACAGGTCAGTCCTTCCCAACTAAGTTAATTCTCTCTAGTGATTCTGGGCAGTCCCCCAGGCTTTACGGATGACTACATATAGCCAGCAAAGCTTATACAACAGAGGTAGGATAGTCAGGGATGGAGCTTATCATGGAGGATTAATAGCAAGTAAGTCCCTAAGATAGAAGCATCACAGCACAAGTCATTAATTATTAACAGCAAGGAGAAGGACTGTGTCAGCCAACATAAAACCATGACACAGAATTTACAGAGGGATTTTTCTGAAAACTACCACCACACACGTGTTGGTGCACAAGCTTATGAGTTTGTCTCAAGCAGTTTCTATGTTCTGACACGGGAAATAACTGGTGAAGTCAACTTGTGAGCACCTGGAGGTACACGGTGAGCTTACACGTCTCCCCAGAATGTGAGCACCAGTGCAAGAACAGAGCTCATGTCTAACATTACAGTGAGCAGTACCCATTATACGCATTTGCAGAGTAGCTAAGAGAACAAATTAAGCACTTGTTTTTGAGTGCATGGATGAGAGAGAACATGTGGTCTCTTCCTTTAGGAAGGATTTTAATCACTTGTTGCTTATCTAAGCACCTACAGGTGCTGAATAAAACGCTAACTCAGTAATGTTCTTCAGAACATCTGGAATCTTTCTTGACTTCTCTATTTTGAATGACTGGTTCAGTCACCTAAGAGTTTACAGGGCTTTATTTTCCCTGTGTTTTTTACCAATGATGTGGTAAAAAAAAAAATCTGAACTGCAAGCAGTTCAAGGAAAGATACAGTCATGCTGAGAAATCAGCCCTCATTTCACCGGACTGAGTTCACCTCCATGCAAAATACTGAGGAGGAGAGTTTGGGTATGTATTTCTTTTACAATGACAGATTAAGGATGATCTTAAGTTACTTGCTGAACTGAACTCTCACACTGTCCTCTTTACACAGCCAGCAAAAAAAGCACCTCTTTCCTATGAAACACAAGTGCAAAGCCCTGCACGTGCAGGAATAGCTCACGTAAGAGTGGGAGACATGATGTGTTTGTACTTGTTCAGTTTGTTAATTGAAAACTAGAGGTTTTGTAGCACTGGCAGGGTGGCTGATTATTAAAGTTTGTACTTTGCAGTATCTGCAGAGCTGCTGGGTGACCTGTCAGAGCACTGCCTGACCAACCTAAACCTTCCCCCAAGGGTTACATGAGTGCTACTTCTGAAGAACAGAGGCCATACACTTCCCTTTGCCAGCTCTTCCTCAGCATGCCAGGTAGGCCACACTACGCCATAGCAGAGCACTGACTTCTGCAGGTTTTGCACTGTAAGCACAGTGGTGGATAAAGAAATCCAAGGTGTATCCAGACCCCAAACCTCACCCGGCCTGTGGTTCTCTGGCACAACTGCCCAAGCACACCTGCTGCGAGAGTAAAGCAGTAACGTGCCCCTTCAGCAGGGTCTACGTGCTTCAGCTTCCTATACTGCAAGGAAGCAGAGGGATGCTGCATTTTGCAGTCACCTAAGGATCTAAAAAGGGCTCTCAGTGTAGTCACGCTGCTTTTCCTTAAAATCAATTGCTTTTATAATGGCACTTGTGTGTGCGCAAGAAGCCAAGCTCCATCCCAGGAGTTCTCAATTTGCTAGGCAAATATCAGCATTTTAATGGGAAATAGAATTTGCCTTCAGCTATTTACTGGCTACACTAGTAATCAGAATTCAATATTTCTGGAAATATCTCAAAACTTGAAATACCAAGCTGACATTTTCCCTGGAAACACGCTCTTTGCCACTACAGGCAGCTATTTCAAAATTGTTATGCCCCTGACAGAGAAGAGGCTTTTTAGTGCTGCAGAATTATCAGACAAGAACTATTTTCGTGCAACACTGCACATTCACAGAACTAGCCAATTTTCTTGGAGGAAAATTTTAACTGGAACTGTTTCTGATTCCGACCCAGTCTCCTTTCAGCAAATAAGACGTCATCTAGCAGAATAAATACTGGCAAAAGGCTCCAGGAGAGAAAAGCCCGCCACGGTGCTAAGCACCAAATGTCCAGGTGCTGTTGGAGAGGGAGCACTGGATGCCTGGTGGCTTTGGGACTGCAGGCTATGGACACAGCCCAGGGCTCAGGGGGAGGGATGAGCAGCGGAGGCTCCACACACAGCACTGCCCTCTCAGCTCTGTGCCTTACAGATC